CGTCGCAGCTCCAGCCAGAGCAGCTCCGCTAGCTCCGGCAGCCTACGCTTCCTAAAGCTGGGCCCCGTCCACTACGGCGAGCACCCAGGCGAGCACAAGGAAGACTACCACGAGGTCGCCGTCACCGAGTAAAAAAATTCAAACACAAAAAACTTTCTTGGGATAAATTTCCAACCATTTTTTCGTCTCATCATTTTTCCCTCTTTTCTATAAGCACTAGAGAAAAGCTTAACGACATGACCGACTACTAAAAAAGTTGTTACGATACGATCTGCACAATAGCGTTCAACTAAATGGAGGGAGGCTTAATCCCTTGGCTCCATGTTCTTTTGATTTCCGTGGCGTTCTAAGGGTCTTAGGCGGGCAATGGATACTGGCTTGGGAATGGGTATTGGGTGGATAGGATAGGTTTACCTGAATTGCAAACTTTCCCTATAACATTATGGTACACACCTTATGAGTGCGACCTTGAATCTTGGGTTTCTTGGCGGCTATCTGCGGGAGATTGAATTCCTATCTCTCCCTTGTAATGGGCGGGAAAGATTTTGGCATCGTGCCGTTCTACTAGCAGTCTAGCTCAAATAGTATACTGTATTCCAGAATTCGAAATAGAACGGTTCGGTTTTCACATGCGGGACACAGAAAACATGTGTTCCCACAGCTCTCTACCTATGCTTCTTCCCATTTGCGCGAATATGTGTGGCACAACCTATACGTAGTTGCAGTCAGCGGCCCAGTCAGCCATGCGCACTAGTGTAATAGTAGAGCATGTATGTATGTCCAGGGCATAAGTCACATCCCTCTTACATCCCTCCTTTCCCTTTGACGTGTTCCAGCGGAATGGGGACCGCGTACAACATCCTCAAATAGTAAGAGTAATAACGGGCGATGCCTGGAAAGCGTACATTCGATCACCTTGTGCATTTCCGCATCGCGTAATTCGCTCTAGAAGGTCTCAGCGCAACTCCTGATTGGCTAGCAGTGACAAGCCTGCCTGCCCCTCCCTTGCTTTTCGAAACACATCGCGGACCTTCTAGACAACTATTATATGATCAGACGAAAGAGTGTGGACGGATCTACCTATGAATGACACCCATATTCTTCATCACATATATCTGGCGATGGCTGTGTCGTCAGCACCAGTCATACCTACTATGGTTTACAAAGAGCGGCCAAGGAAAAGGCAATAATACGGCATTCCGTACCAAGACGGACTGTTGCGAGCGAGACGTTTCTTCGAGGGGCTTGGCGGGGGGGAAAGCAGGCACCGGGGCAGAGGGACCAACAATGACATAAGTAGGCATTATTATTAGCAGTATAGCGGATACGGAGTTAGACGCATTTCCCCCTTTTGCCAATCAAATCCCGCTTACGACAGAGGACCCTTATCCGCCTTGCAACGGGATTGACTGGGCACCCCGCCGATCAGATAACCTAGCTTTTTAGCGTTTCCTCATGGCCCACGAGATGTATGGATCGTGCAACATTCACGGATCAACCTACGCCACCTGCTATGACAATCCTAGCTCATAGGGGCGAAGAGGACCCTGGAGCTTACAGCTTACCAAGCCGGGGGAGCAAACCGCCCCAGTATATCACAAGCTTTTTTTTTTGTTTTACTCACTTTCTGTTCTTTCTTTTTGCTTCCCTGATCTCTGACCTCAGTTCTGAAACCAAACATCTTATCTTTTGATTTCCAAGCCGCCAAGGCATGTGCCGATGATGCTTGGCGGTAGTGGTTTGTTTTATTTACTTCCATTTTTAAAACCGAAGAGACAGATCTATGTTTCAATAGTACGTAGCTAGACTGCTAAAATAGCGCCTTTTCTCTTATTCTTACTACGTGTATTACTATTATACATTAAACATAGCGGCATAGCGTATACCCGATCGACATAAGAGGCTGAGAGGTATAACAGAGTCCACCGACATTTTCGAGCATCGCTGGCCTCTTGTCAAGCAGCCAAGCGAGCTGGGCTGGCTGGAATATGCATCATATGTTGGTATTATTACCAAGGTACATGCAGTATACATGTGCATATCTAAAGGCATCTAGATTTATGTAGGATATGCAATTAATACCGGCATATATGTTGCAGTGCAAGCTTTATGGCTGACTTTAGTGTCTGACACCCATCCTCGCTACCCTATCCACGGCCTTGGGATAACGCCGGCTGAGTCCTCCAGCTTCCATGTATTCCCCCGCGCCTTACCAGACTTTCCTCACTCCTACCACTCTACCACTCCTACCACTTCTTGCCTACCTCTTCTACTACACTATGGCCCCCATTAGCGAACCTACGACATAAAACTTGGTAATAATAGTCGATGACGCCTCGCGTGCGCTAAACCTCGCAGATGCGAAGAGAAATGTGACTGACAGTTGACTCTGGCCAGAAAACCGAAGGACGTCCGGGCCAATTGAAGTTATTCCTACCCTTCCTCACCACCCTTATCCAAATCTTCCCTTACACGCTTCCTTCTCCCACACTCATCCTCTTCTTCCGTAAGGAGGTATCCAATAGCCGTATATCCGACCTTCCATCATTTGGTATGCATGCTTTTACGAACCCGAGTCTACTTACGTAGCAGGGCAGGTATGCAACATATCTAGCGCCTGCTCGGCTGTGTGCCGAGACGCACCCGGACGCGGGCACGTGGACCATTTGACGGGAGAGCGAAGGGTAGGTAGGCAGAACCTGGCGGGGCAGGGTGATGCGACGTGAGGGAGAGAATCGCGTCGAGGCCCTCGAGGCCCCTCTTGGTGTTGCACCACCGTCTTACGATAGATTGCGGGCGGCGCATACGCAATCTATCTGGGTTGGCTACAGCACGTAAAGCACGGAGGGAGTTCTCCTCGACCCTAGGTATGTAAGGCAGCGAACCAAACATCTACGATATATCGCTTGTATCCCTAGAAATGCACCTAATTGTGCATCTTTTAGTAGCCATCGCGTTAAATAGCCAGTATGGTCATACCGCACATACTAGTAGCAAATCCGCGCGAATATCTTATGTCCGAATTTGCTACAGGTACAAATCCTTGCATGCTGCCTAAATCTTTTGTATGTACGCTAGGTGCCAAGTGCCAAGTTTGAAGGTAATGAAGATCTATGTATCTGTCCATTGGAGTCCTGCGGGATTTTTATATGAAAAAAGGCTGTGAGATAAACTGCAGCTCAGATGCCAACACCCAATAGGCCAGGCGAATAAGATCAACGGAATTATGACGTTCGCCCTCTCACCTCAGAAATGTGCACTATATTGCCAGATTGTCTCGCAAAAGTTGGAGGGCTCCTAGGTTTTCGATCCCGTTGCACGGTTGCACGGATACGATGGAAGACGACAAAGGCATATATTGGTATGATATCAGATATTGATTTGTGTCTAAATCCAACTTGTAGATCTAGTATTAGCGTTCCTTAGTATGCGTTTCTTAGTAGATGTTCTTAGTGGCGTAATTCGGCAAAGACGAAAATCCCAAGAGCTTGGTAACTCAGGTTACCTCGCCTTGTTACAGAGGGCATATGACGTCGTGCTTATTAAGGAGAGCTAGGTATCGACAGGCATTCCCCGGACCCCGAATAGATTGGGCTGGATGGATCTAAGACTAAAAAGCGTGATAAGATTGATTGCTCTAGTCAGGGCGAATCATTCCTAATCCTTCCATATTTGCCACTTCTAACTGAAACTAGAAAGGGATCTTGACAAACCGAGGTTGATCAGGTCGTTGTATGAATCTGCTGCCCAAAGTGGATGTCAGGATGTATACAATATCCCACTCGACGGTACGAGTGTACATACGTATCCTCAACCATCTCTTGGCGCACGTAAAGCCTTCCTACAGGATTGCAGATAGGGTATTACTGTATTCGGAGATACTGTTGAGATGCCTAGGCGTCGGTGTTACGCGTATCGCAAAACGCGCAACGAAGCCGAGGTTCTAAACTACCCGAATATGAAAAGCATTAGTACGTACCCAATATCAAGATCGTTGGCTTGGATATTGTACGTCCACAATCTAGAGGACGAGTGTCGAATATCCCGTACATAGACTTGTTTCGTCCATGGGACATGGGGCTACTACGGCGGAAATTTAGGCTCGCCGCAGGAGGCTTCCCTCGGCGGAGCGAAATCCGCGGTACACCGCTCGACGGAGAATGCGCCAAGCTCATACCAAGTATACACGGTACGGTCCTATGTACGTCGTACAGCAATCTATGCAGTTGCGCATTCTGCATGATCTGATTCCCAACTTCTTCTTTGTCCTCTTTGTCCTCTCCGCCGGCCTCCATATGGGTATGCCACAAATGATCACGTCCGCCCCTCGTTTTCGAGATCTAATGGTGCCCTGTCATTGCCTCCTGATGACATTCTTTCAAATCGGATATGGGTATCATAGACGATGTGTAGAACTCGCCAAGCTTCTAGACCTGGACTGAAGTAAGACATGGCACAGTGGCGTGCTTGAGAGCTGGAGAAAAGTTTCGTAGTTGGTAACTGCGGGTGATCGACAGGGACTTTCTCTAGCTTTTGACTAAGGGAATGCCGACGCTAGAGAGTCCCTTGGCAAGCTTGGCCGCATATACAGCGTAATATATGAGCGCCGAATCTTCTTGGCTACCTTTCTTAAAAGATATGTGGAATTGCGCTGTGTTTTGCCAAGAGATTTCTGAGATTGGGGGTTGTGAAAAGTCCGAGGCGACCACATGGCATAACGATAGGTGTTGATACGTTTCGTTGAGGGAACATCACGATGATTCGTGTCATCGAAGTCTGACTTGTGTGAGTAACCCCTGAGATCTACATGTCCGCTAATCATGTCATTTGTATAGTCTCATGTTGGTTGGCCATTGATGCTGTCGGATTTAAACAGGACCGCGAAGATTTCGGAGACTGAATGTTGCCAATCCTTGCGAAGATAGTCTAAATTCCCGGAACTGGGCCGTAATAAGACATTACTTCATCGAAACTCCTCCAGTGCTTACTCATGTTGATTCTCAGTAATTCCTGTCGCCAATCCGCACGATCTTTTGTCCAGGTGCATATACATCAACCATAGCTCTCCAATCTAGTTCAATCCAACCAGTACTATTGCGTATAATGGCGGTACCTTGACTGTCAACGGTCTCGTTATCCGTGATCGTTGATGTGTTTACTTCCCTGTGGAACGGGCAAAAAACAGCCAGATGAGCCTTCCAAGCCAATAATTTAACCCTTTCCAAGTATGGATCGGCTAACAGCCTCAGTAGCCCCTGGAAGGGAGGCCGTTGTACCATATCGGGGTGGGGCGTCCGATTTGCACCAAGCGAACTAGGCGGTCCTAAGCGTATTACAAGCTCTCTTAAGCTCCCGTTAAGAACCATATCAGAAAGAGCAGGTCCTAAGACACGTTCAAATTCGCCGCCTACCCTCGTGAGGTAAATCGTCATACTACGCACGCGTCTCCGGGCGTGCTGTCCTTCTTCACTAAGGAAACCCCCTCGGCTAGTGAGGTGAGTAGGTAAGCGATGGTAGTGCGCGTTTAGGGTAAACCGGTTCTGGGAGTAGAAGATGGCTGATGCCTCTTGATACATCTGCATATTGACGAGGAAAACATTTAAGAAGTTCCAAGTTTGGGTGGAAGGCAAAGTAAAGAACGTTGTTTCGTGGAGTATGACGCTCTCGTTTGAGACCAGGAGCTGCGAGAAAATAGCACCTCTCAACTCAGGGGGTAGATCGAATAATCGAAATACCTTATTCGTTGCCATGATCATATAGCCTTTTCAGACACCCACTCTCGATGGTACTGATGGCTTATCTCTTAAATAAGGGTGATCTGCAATCATATATTTGCCTAACCCCTTAGATTTTGTTGGTAGTGCTGTAAAATCATAGGTATAGATATGAATACTTTCAGTTAAAAGAACTTGCAACTTTACTTATTTAGAAAATTGAAAGAATATAATGATGATACGTGAATAGTACGATATATTTCAGATTGTGGTTCTGAGTTACATGTCAAGTAACCTTTGTTGAGGATTTGTCAAGAATTGCGTGATGAAGAAGTTGCGTTACTTGTGGCTTACCTCATCTTTATCTAAATATTTGAGAGGCTCAAAGCAACCCCACATTCATATATGAAATTAGCCATAAACGCCTACTTCTGTTAATGAGAGAGTTCTGATAGATGCATAATCGCATATTTGTTCGTTTAATGTATTATCTTATCTGTAGCCTTGTTCGCAGCTGCACGTTGCACATAGCTTATACCCTTAGCGCGTTTTGAGCTCCCAACTGTAAATATGGATATGGCAATGGCGTATCGACAATTATTCCAACTACAACTTCAATCCTCCGCATTGCGCCGACGTTGTCCCTCTTCGACACTGTACTTGAAATGAGGAAACGAGATCCACGATGCAGTGCTATACGGAGTTGACGCCACCTACGGCTGTCACGCATTCCTTATGCCTCCCTTTCATCAATGCGCAAAGCAATAACCTCGTCGTCGCAAGAGCCTCTCTTCTACAGATATTCACCACCAAGCCAGTCTCTGCTGAGCTAGACAAGGCTCAAAATGCCCAATTGCAATCTTTTAGATCCGCCGAACACTACGATTCCAGAATCAATGATGACGAAGGCCTCGAGGCTTCCTTTCTTGGTGGCGATTCCGTTCTCGTCAGATCCGATCGTTCTAACTATACGAAATTAGTGCTCGTCGCCGAGTTTCCCTTAGCTGGAACTATCACGGGGCTCGCCCGTATCAAGTCGAAAACAACTGCCTCCGGCGGAGAGGCTCTCTTATTAGCGTTGAAGGATGCGAAACTGAGCATGGTTGAGTGGGATCCGGAGAAGAATTCCATAAACACTACATCGATACACTACTATGAGCAAGAAGACCTACAAGCAGCCCCTTGGGCTGCCCCTCTTAGCCATTATGTCAACTTTCTAGCGGCTGACCCGGGCAGTCGATGTGCTGCTTTGAAATTTGGCTCGCGCAGTCTTGCCATCGTCCAGTTTAAAACTGTGGAGGAAGACATAGATATGGATGACTGGGACGAGGAATTGGATGGACCGAAGCCTGTCAAAGAGCAGTCTACTACGCTCGCAAATGGAACTAGCAGCAATGAAGAGACACCATATTCAACCTCATTTGTCCTTCGACTGCCCAATCTTGATCCTAGCCTCATCCATCCCGTGCATCTAGCCTTTCTTCACGAATACAGAGAGCCTACTTTCGGCATTTTGTCCTCTACCACGTCACCCTCTTTAGTTCTAGGTCGAAGAGATCAGCTCACGTACATGGTGTTTACTTTGGATCTTCAACAAAAAGCTTCCACAACCATCCTGTCAGTGACGGGCCTCCCACAAGATCTATTTCGAGTCATTGCCTTGCCTGCCCCAGTCGGTGGCGCCCTTCTAGTTGGCACGAATGAACTTATACACATTGACCAATCTGGAAAGTCACATGGTGTAGGTGTCAACCAATTTGCGAAGCAAACTACATCGTTTAGTTTGGTCGACCAAGCTGAGCTTGAGCTGAAGCTGGAAGGTTGTGAAGTCGAAGTCTTGTCAGCTGAAAGCGGCGAGTTTCTGATGGTTCTGCGGGATGGTCGTCTGGCAGTAATCATGTTTAGAGTCGATGGCAGGATAGTATCCGGATTAAGCCTTCGCTTAATTGCGTCAGAGGCCGGTGGGTCTATAATACCAACTGGTGTTGCGACCCTGAGCAAACTGAACAAGGCTTGCATATTTGCGGGCAGCGAAGGAGCTGACTCGTTAGTCATCGGCTGGACGCGTAAACAGGGCCAATCTGGGAAGAGAAAGGCTCGTCTCCAAGACCCGTCTCTGGACGACATTGACATGGATGATGAAGATATGGAAGGCCTAGAAGATGAGGATGACCTATACGGGGAAGACTATGCGCCTGCTAAACAGTCATCAAATTCTACCAGCACCTCAGGTGGTAAAACGGGGGAGCTTGTTTTCCGTGTACATGATCGCCTTGTCAGTATCGCGGCTATTAGGGACTTCGCGATTGGACAGGCAATTCCATCCACCAAGGAAGACCAAGCAAATCAAATTGGTGTCACGAGTGATCTCAGCTTTGTTTGCGCATGCGGCGAGGGTAACGCTGGCTCGATTGCTGTAATCAACCGAGAAATACAGCCAAAAGTCATTGGCCACTTTGAGTTTCCCGAAGCAAGGGGTTTCTGGACGATGGCTGCACAGAAGCCTATACCGAAAGCATTACAAGGTGATAAAGGGGCTACATCTATAGGAGGAGAGTATGAGACATCTGCACAGTACGACCGTTACATGATTGTGCCCAAGGTTGATCTAGACGGGTATGAGACGTCTGACGTATACGCCTTGACAGGCGCCGGATTCGAAGCTTTGACCGGAACAGAATTTGAACCAGCTGCTGGCCTCACCATTGAAGCTGGAACTATGGGTAACCATATGAGAATTATCCAAGTTCTCAAGACTGCTGTGCACTGTTACGACGGGGGTAAGATTAACTCTTTAATATTTATTAAAACGTAAGCTAATGTGCTATACTAGACTTTGGACTGACCCAAATTCTGCCGATGCTCGATGAGGAAACAGGTGCAGAACCTAGAGTTGACAGTGCCAGTATAGCAGATCCCTTTCTCTTGCTAGTCCGAGATGACGCCAGTGTCTTCATCGCCAAGATTTTCAAGAACCTAGAACTTGAAGAACTAGAAAAGGAGGATTCGGTCCTTACCTCGACCAAGTGGGCTACCGGCTGTCTATATGAGGATCGATCTGGCATATTTGCTGGAGCCCACAGCGACGAAGGCGCGAAGACCGACGAAAACATAGTGATGTTTCTGCTCAGCAAGGCAGGGGCACTACACGTAAGGGGTTTATTTCAGCTTTTAGCGACATTACTAACGCCCGTAGGTGTATGCTTTACCCGAGCTATCGAAACCCGTTTACGTTGCTGAGGGATTACCCTTCGTGCCACCGCTCCTCTCAGCCAACTATGCAGCAAGACGAGGTACTGCCAAAGAAACCATCAAGGAGATATTGGTGGCTGACCTTGGTGATATGACATCCTCATACCCGTACTTAATTGTGAGTTGCCCCAAATTCTCGTTTACCATGTCAGGATAACTCACCGTCGTCAGGTCCGACATGACAATGACGACGTGACAATATACCAACCTTTCCGTATACCTTCAACCAATACACAGGAACTCTCCACGACACTTCAGTTCCAAAAGCTGCCCAATCCTGTTTTAGCAGATGATCCAGAGCCGCCGGCAGACGATGAAGATGATGAAATAAAACGACCTACCCTAATGCGACGTTGTGACAACATTGCCGGGTATAAGACGGTCTTCCTTCCGGGTGATTCACCAAGCTTCATTTTAAGATCATCTAAGACTCTACCTAAGGTCCTCAGGTTACAAGGCGGCGGCGTTCGAGGCATGAGCTCATTCCACACCGAAGGATGCGAGCGTGGATTTATATACGCAGACTCTAAAGGTATCGCACGGGTATCCCAGATACCGATTCGCAACACCACATACGCCGACATAGGCATGTCTCTTAAGAAAATACCCCTTAATTCCGATATACACTCTATCACTCATCACCCTCCGTCCGGTACCTATGTTGTGGGGTGTGATACTCGCGAGCCCTTCGAGCTACCAAAAGAAGACGATTATCATAAAGAATGGCAACATGAAAAAGATCTCCCCTTAAAACCTACGGTGGGACACGGTTCCATCAAACTGATCAACCCTAGTACCTGGACCGTCATCGATAATATTGAGCTGGAGCCTTGCGAGATAGTGATGTGCATCGAGACACTCAATCTCGAAGTCTCGGAGTCGACTAATGAGCGAAAACACCTCATCACGGTTGGCACAGCCGTATCTCGTGGCGAAGACCTTCCCATCAGGGGTAGAGTTCTCGTGTACGATATCGTAACAGTCATTCCGGAGCCAGGGAAGCCCGAGACCGACAAGAAACTCAAACTCGTTGCGAACGAGGAGATTCCCCGCGGTGCGGTCACAGCTCTTTCCGAGATAGGGACACAGGGTCTGATGTTAGTTGCCCAGGGCCAGAAATGCATGGTCCGTGGTTTGAAAGAAGACGGAACCCTGCTTCCCGTCGCGTTCATGGACATGAGCTGCTACGTAACCACGGTCCGCGAGCTGAAAGGAACGGGCCTCTGCTTGATGGCCGATGCGGTAAAAGGAGTTTGGTTCACGGGCTACACGGAAGAACCTTATAGGATGGTGCTCTTCGGGAAAAGCTCTACCAAGCTGGAAATCCTAACGGTGGACTTCCTACCAGATGGAGACGAGCTGTTCATAGTGGCCTGCGACTCGGACGGTGGGATCCATATCCTCCAGTTCGATCCCGACCGTAAGTGCCCCTTTTTCGTTCCTTTGTACGTATAAATATGAAGCAATCATTGCTAATCACCCGTGCAAACAGATCCCAAATCCCTCCAAGGCCACCTACTCCTCCACCGCACCACCTTCTCCGCCGGCGCGCACCCCCCGACGCGCAGCATGCTGCTCCCGCGCACGCTGCCCGCGGACTCGGAGTACCTCAGCCAGCACATCAACAACGCAACCGCCAACGCATCGTCCGACCCGGACTCGCACCCCGCCCCGCCTTCGCTCATCCTCTTCTCCTCGCCGACGGGCGCGCTCTCGTGCCTCGCGGCCCTGTCGGAGCCGCAGTACCGCCGGCTCTCGTTCCTCACCGGCCAGGTGCTGTCGTCGCTGCCGCACCATGCGGGCCTGAACCCGAAGGACTACCGCGCGCCCGCGTCGTCGGGCGCCGTCGGCCGGTTCCCGCCCGCCGTCGACGCGGGCATGGGCCGCAGCATCGTCGACGGCGCGCTGCTCGCCCGCTGGAACGAACTCGGCGCCGGTAGACGCGCGGAGATCGCCGGGCGAGTGGGGTTCGCGGGCGTGGACGAGGTTAGGGATACGTTGAGGGAGGTCCTTGGTGCGGCGGGGTTGGGGTATTTGTGAGAGTTGAAGAGTGTAGATGCAAGGATGAAGATGAGGATGAGGATAAGGATGTTGTGTAAGCGGTATATAGCGCGTCTAGCTAGGTAGGTAGCTAGATGGGCTACCCGCCTGTCTAGGTACGTAGGTTTGCAATCAATAGGAATCTTGAGAGCTAGCGCGAGTGTCAATCAGAACGCGAGTTCATTCGTCTAAGCTATTCTCCTGAAACAAAACTTTAATTAGACGTAACTTGATTATTTTGCGTTCGACTTAACTTAGCGGAATTACGGGGGAAGCTTCACATAGGCAGTGTTCGAATAATATCGAAATTTCCAGAGCCAGGTAGAATTAATGGTCATTACATAAGGGTTGGTTGCCCCCTTTCATGTTCATGCTGTCTGTGAGCAATCTTGTAAAGAGCTATCTGGGAGCGCAGCTGCTGGGGGAAACTTTCATCCGACATTGATGCAGCGCGACGAGAAAAAATCCTCCAGATACAATTCGTTCGTACACTCATTCTGCCCAATCGATCTTATCATAAGCTCGCTTGGCCTTCCAAAAACACCCGACAAGATTTGCTGAACCGCCTTGTTGCTATGCTTCGCCGTGCTGAACGCGAGTGATTAAGAGAATTAATTCGACAGATGCCATCCTTGCTCATTCATTTATACATCTTCTCTGATTCGTGCGTAAAGTGCCTTCGGACGTCGTTACTTAAACATTTGTCTTATTCATACAAGGCGATGTGATTAATCACTAAACTTCGTCGTGTCGGCGACGGAGGCTGCCGATTCGTCGCTTGATGCCGTCGCTCAGGCGCTTCCCCCTCGGACTAGAAGGGCCGGAAGAGCCGAGGCTGGCGCTGCGCTGGATGGTGACGTTGGTGGCGTTCTTGTCGCTTCGGCCTGTGGCATTGGCCGTTGGCTGCATCTCGTAATCGCCGTTTGGTTTGAGGGAGTGTCTCTGCATGCGCTTCTGCTTTTTGCGGTCCTCTTCGATGGTGTATGATGGCTCGCCCTTGCCTTTCAGATCGTCGGGGTGGTATTGCTAGTGATATGTTAGTTTGATACTATATTGGTGAGTGGATAAGGCCCTAGGAGCGGGAACTAGAGAATTTTCGGAGAATCCAGGAATGAGGTGGCTGTGCTTCAATCGGAGATACTTACAACATGGGCCCATCTCTTGTAGGGGCCTCCGTCCGCGTCGTCTTCTCTCATTAAGTCTGCCCCCTCCTCGTAGTCCATTACGCGGCCGCTTAAGTCTCTGTGCCCAGGAGGGATGACGGCAGTACCTTGCAGGGGTACATGGCGTTCGAGGGAGTCCATGACCATCTCTCGAGGTGTTGCCTTCAAAGCTTCTGCGTTGCCGTACTTGACGGCCTCGACTGGAGCATATCGCTTGTCGCGATTTCGGGAAGCTAATGTGGCGTCATATGGTCCATCATGGTGATAAGCTCCGCCGAAGCCGGTGTTATCAAGAACATCGATCGTGTCAGCACCAGCGATGTTCTTCTTTCGAAGATGAGGGGCACGGTTAGCGGTCTTGTTTGCGCGCTTGATAGCTTCTAAAGGTCGTTCAGACATGTTGGTGGTTGCTAGTATAGTATATAGTAAAGGTTGAAATCCTTGTAATAGTCGAGGGTCTTTTTTTGTATGTCAAGTTGGAATGGTGGCCTGCTGCTCTGCACTTGGTGAACTGTTTCTTTCGTTGGAATGCAGAGCAGCAGAGGCTGAAAAAGAATTGCTTACAGGGTCGGGATATATAAACGAACCCTAAACAGATAACCTATTAAAGTTCAACGTTAGTGGCCAGAACCTGCCAACTCAGGACCCTGCACGCGCGTTCAAATACATGGCAATGATGTAACCCGTTGCCCGTCAAAGCCGCACCCGTATGAGCCGGACTTTCCATTATCACAAGGGTCCCACACCCTCACATCTGTCATCGCCCCACCAATCGAAATTTGGATCTGACATGACGTAATGCGACAAGGTAGCTCCAGCTACATCATTGATAACAAGCTAGGACAAGGGCAAGAGCTCGCCGATCAAGATCGACAGGAACAATAAAGAAATAACATTGAATATAGATAGCGTGATGCGGGGGTTCGGAGCATAGCTACGTGAAAATGGTTAAGCAGAAGATTCTGCACGTTTCGAACCACTTACACGATATCAAAATAGGATCATACTTGTGAAACATCCAAATCCACGAACGCGGACAGAAATATAAACACGAGAAACGGATTGATTGAAACAGGAAACAACACCAAGCAGGACTTACGGATGCGCAATTCTTGTAGGACGAAGGTACAATGTACCTTTAGGCGTGAGGCGAACAGAAGAAAACATAGGGATTACAATCTCCAGTGTAGAGAGTGTAAAGAGATACGACGAGTTGAATAAATCGTGCAATGATTGGGTTAGAAATCGACTTGGTTAGATAAACACAACGACGACGAGGCATGGTTCCGTTGCCAGATGGGCACTGAGGGTTCGATAGAGACAATATGGATCAATATCGAGGACTCAGCAGTGTCAGCGTGATGGATTTTGTTGGTATTGATTGAAGAAAGAGGGTGGAAGACATCGTGGTTCGAGGAAGGAAAAGCGTGAAGAAGGGAAACTGACGATAGGGAAAGATGAAGGTTGATATTTTTGGTATATGTAAGTTCCCAGGAGAGAAACCAACGATGGTGGTAGCCTAGGTAACAACTGACCAGCCTTAGTACGGATTTATCGTTGCGTGTCGCCAGCGAGCCTGATACCTACATAGTACTCAACCAACTACGATGGGCTTCCAAAGAGGATAATTAACAGTGCAGTGTAATAGAGACTACCATGTAATTTTGTGAGAATGTTGTAGGCTGCCACGTACTTGAGCTAGCAACTTGACGCATGAAACGACACACTTTTTATCGAAAATATTAAAAGCACTTGTCGAGTACTTGGAACTATAAGGTCTGTGAAGGAGGTTCATGGCAGTTATTATGCGTACAGTGATGGTTATGGGCGGTTTGCATAGCTATCTAATATGCATCATATCAACATTTAAAATACAACGTCGTAAGATACCTATAATATGGCCTTTATGAGATCTTGTTCGTCAATGGAATCATTCATGGGGTCTAGATGCATAGGTAACCGCCAGATCCTATGTAAACTGACACGCATGATTCCAGTATCAGTGGTGAACATGTCTCCTTGGTGGATTAGGATTGGTATATATACTAAGGTACCTAGTTAATATAAGCCAGTATTGAATCAAGGAAGTTGTTGAGCATATACGATCTTGCCGTCCAGCCGAAGAGACTCCTATTAAACATAGACAAAAGTATGAATCATTTCTACCATCCAGAATTTGAACTTTCCCTTCGATTTTCCCAAAGGTCGTGTTGGTACAGCACGGCGTTTTGGAACTCGTGCTCAAAGGTTCGATTCCTTTGACGACCAATCCTTTTTTGGTCATCGATACTATCATCACCTTACTGGAGCTTATGACGATCATGTAACCGAGACTTTGTGATCAGTTTCTTATCCTACCTATGTTCTAGAAGTTATCCATCCTCTTCGTTTGTAAAGTTAAACTGACAGGGGGTTGTCCCTTGTACTTGTGGATAACTGTATACGATGCTTCACAACGTCAGGGGAATGTGTTAATGCGTCAACCATAGTAATATGCGCTTTGAATCGAATCCGTGATTATGGATATTGTGTCAATTACCATGGCCAATATTGATATACGGTGTATATGTCATTTTATGGGGTGACGGATAGAAGAGGCTATGCGCGGATGTCCGACTTTATACGGGATTGGACGTTCTTCAGCCCTACGGGTCGTGCCGCCACTAATGTGGGCCAAGTAGCACCTCGGACCTGCCTAGGTGGTAATTATAACTTACAAGAAAGGGAACTAATGCCGAGCCCGCAACCTTAACCTTGAGACATCCCGTTTTAGACCTTGAAACAGCACAAGGATCTAGCTACGTCAAACTCACCGTCTATTGGCTGGCCATAGCAAAAACTCAATCGGGTATCTAGCTTAGATCTAAGGTTTATTCAACACCGATTTCTCGCATGCGGCTACCGGGGTGAAACAAACGTTAAGCAAACACATCTATCAATATCGCGGGCGGTATGCGGGCAAGCGGATGGCGCTAGTAGACTATTCCTCCTCGGACCCCGAGTCCGCGGACGAAGAAGCGGGAGCGGTTCCCGCAACAGCAAAACGGAAGAAGACATCTCACACGCAGACGGGCGCGGATGAGAAGAACTCCACGTCCACCGCGCTCCCACCGCTCCCCGCCGCCTTCCACGACCTCTACGCGTCGACCGTGCGCGTGAGCACCACCGACGACCCGACGCTGCACCAGGGCCGCAAGAGGGTGAACCCGCACAAGCCGGGCAACTGGCCGAGCCACTTATACGTCGAATGGCACCCGGCGGCCCCTCAATTGCACACCCTCAGCGCCCTCCTCTCCGCCCTGCAGCCCGCTCTGTCCCCGCTCTCCGTGGACTTGACCTCGTTCCTGACATCTGATTTAGGTGCCCCGCAACCGCTGCACATCAGCCTGTCGCGGCCGATTGTGCTAAGCACGGGGCAGAAGGACGGGTTTCTAGAGGAGCTCGTGGCGCGGGTTAAAGGGTGCGGTATCGCGCCGTTCAATCTAGCGCCAGTGGGGCTGGAGTGGCATCGGACGCGCGAGTCCGAGAGGTCATTTTTAGTGTTGAGGGTTGCGAGTGCTGCTACTGTTGCTGATACCGGAAGAGGAGATTCCGCTCCCTCACCCGCATCCGCAGAAGAAGCAAAAGAAGAGGAAAAGCAGCAGCCTCCTCAACAGCAACAGCAAAACCCTCATCTAACAGCCCTCCTCCAGTACTGCAACGCCCTAGTGCAGGAATACTCGCAGCCACCTCTCTACGCTTTTAAAGCCGATAACGGCGACTCCGCCTTCCACATCTCCATCGCGTGGACCTTCGCGCCGCCGACGCCGGAGGTGCGGCGGCGCACCGCGGAGGTATTCGCGCGGCACGCGACGCGGGATGAGATTCAGGGTCTGCGCGTGCGCGTCGACGGCGTCAAGGCCAAGATCGGGAACGCGATCACGCACGTGGCGCTCCCGGGGCGCGGAAAGAGGAGGTGGGAGGAGAGTGGATAGAGTTCGCTAAAGTGAGATAGTGTGGGATATCATAGAATCGAATTAGATACCATACCCTCCTAATATAGGAGTACGGTGATACAAAGGTTTGGATTACGACCACGAAACAGCCGTGGATAACCGTATTATCACGCGGCACCAAGACATATGACCGTGGACGAAATAGACTCAGGGGAATGATACGTAATTGTATGTACTGACCATCCCCATTATCTCAATGGTAGGATGTCGTACGCTATCAGGTATGCACATAATAAAACACAACACAATTTTAGGGGTTGTCAACCCGTCCACCTAATATTAAAACGCCCGAAACTCCGCCCATGTATGGATGCTTGCTCGATGCTTTAGCAAGTGCTTTATGTATACAAAACGCTTGACGATCGTCTAGTTCAACCCCGCAGTCCAACGCAAATCTCGAATATTATGCAAAGAGCAATTCTACAGCTCGTCGAGGCTGGGCCGCTGGAATGACCAGGTACGAGGCGTGATCGGCAGGCCAATATAAAACTCCCAGAGGCGCTGAAGTTCCAAGATGAGGATCCGGGAGCTGTTAAATTCGTTAGTATTCTGACAATAAAGTCATGATAAATAGGCTCCAACTTACAATGTCTTGGGGAAGGCGATCCAGTTTTCCAAGACGATCTTGGTCGCCTTAATCACCCTACCAAGCTCATCTTGGAAGATTTCGCCCGTCGTCTCGGGTTCGCGGCGTTTTCGCTTAGGTGGTACATCACCTTCCTCCTTGTCCCAACCGTCCTCAAGCTCCGACTCGGCATCTGCTGATGTAGTTTGTGATGGCCTTGGTGAGACGCTGACTGCATGTGGCTTTTTGGCTCGGTCAGGAATAACGTTTTGCCTGGGCTTCTCCTCGGCCTCAACCATGCTTCTGAAACCAACAATAGCTCTCATCGAGCTGCTTAGCCTTGCATAAGTGTTGAATAGCGCTACAAGTTCGGTTCGCTTGAGGACCGGGATCTCATCGCTGTCATTGTCGAATTCGAACAGCACCTTGAGTGCTGCACCGTATCCTGCCGTCTGCAACTTGCCCCAAAGTCTGCACTTATCGCAACCCACACAATCCATAACACGGCTAACATTCCGGAATCGGTTCTTAAAATCCTCTTTCAAGGATGGACCCTCACCGTTCTTAAACATGAGGCCCTCATCGAAGATCTGAGGTACTGATGCCGCTTCCTGTGTTACGGCGAGAACCTTGGCCTTCGTAGCGGCGTCCTGGTCCGGATCTCCCGTACAGAAGGTATAGTCCTGTAGGTGTGGTCCGATCTTAGCGACTGCGCGGGTGAGGAGCGCGTAGTTAAAGTATAAGTTGGAAATACGGTCAGGATGTGTGTGTAGGCGACTCTTGTAGCAACCCACATTAGGTTGCCATTCCCCAGTGGTCTGGTTCAGGAAATCCCAACAAAGGTGCGTGCTGATACTTGCGTGCATACCGGATACTACGCGATAGAACACGCGCTTTTCCAGACAGTCACCCTCGCCCTCGAGCCCGGCCTGCGCGAAAATAGTGTTTGGGTCTTGTTGGTGTTGCTGCAAAATCTGCTGGCGCTCCGCATCTTGAAGAACGTTCCGGAAGTCTTGCGCAGCTGGTCCTTTGGCCACAGGGCTAGTCCCAAGGGATGCCGAATGAGGGAACGAAGATCTCTGGAAACAGTTCTCTCTGTAGATAGCATCCCATACCATCTTAGCACCTTCGCCGGCATATCCTGTGAATCGTTCGGGGTTATGGACTAAGCTGACATAGTCGCCCTTAGCGCTTGCGCTTTCATCCTCTGGCACACAGTAATCTCGCTCGTCACATTCGTCGTCGTACTCCACTATACAGCTCTCGCCAACATTCTCTCCTAATATGCCTTGTAATGGCTTTTTCGGTCGTTCTTTCTGCACTGTCTTTCCAGGATGCTTCGCAGACGGTCCTTCTAGCTTACTCAACTCGCTTGCCCTCCATATCTTAGGTATATCTTCCTCGTTGTCTATTGTGTTCACTGCACAAGCTATATTGCCACACATGGCATTTTCGTCGTTCCAGAAAGGACATTTTTTGTTAAACAGATTCAAACGGTAGTAAGAGAAGAAGTCGGTTTCTTGGGTCAGCTCGTCTAGGGCGGGTTTGACTTTTCCGTTTAACTTTTCGAGCGTAGAATAGGAAGCACATGCGTCAGACACGATAGCGCGGGGAGAGATCTGGACGGTTTCATTTTGGTTAGAGATTAAGAATTGGTATTGCGATGGGATCGCTGCCAGAGAACTGGCCGTGAGGTAGAGGTAGATAACTACGTTGTACAACGAAGGCGACATACTGCGCATGATTCATCCCGAGCTTCTTTGCCTTTACATTGCCCAGGTGTTCCCCAAAGCGCGAAGAGCGTCAGGTAGAAGAGCTTCGCGGATTTCATAACGGGCGACAGGACGTTTCCCGGGTATATAAGAGGAGGGATGGACACCTAATTATTATTAGATTGGGAGGAGGAGAGACAAGACTAGGCCGTTCTCCCCCTTCGGTATGTCCAAGGTCGGTAAGAGAATGCTAATAGAAGGATACGTATGATGTAGGTGCGAAGTGGGAAGGGATTCGTAGGAACAAGCGATTGCTACCACGGTTAAATTCCAAAGACCTTGACTAGGGCAGCTAGGGATATGCGCATATGCATAATTAATATGTACTAACACACCCTCTTCATTCTCGGATTTTCCAAATGGTAATCGAGATCCAACGTCGAACCTTGGAATGGAAATAATAAAGTTGTATTAACTTTAAATGTTTAATGTCGATTATTGTCAACGTGTTCACTTTTGAAAAGAATGAAGCATTATAAATCCCGACGTCATATGGTCATACGATTATGGGATGTAGTTACTCCCATTTTCCCCATGTTCACCTTCGAAATACGGATAATGGAATGTTGCCAGCTTGCACCTGCATCGCCCTCAGGGTCCATTTATTAAGTGATACATGATACATTAGGCATGTACCCAAGTACAACCCTCCATCCCATGTGATGCATCTCACCTATCAGAGTGCGACTAGCCAACCTAATTGGCAACTCCCGAGTGGACAAGATCCATTGCGGGAAGTTCTAGAAATACCCTGTCCTGTAGACGGGAAGCTACCATCTGCCTGGCAAGCCTGGATTTAGCAAGTCACAAGTGCAGTTTCCTCGTACCTGGTCACGCAGGATGGAGCGATAGAGCGACACTTATGCACATACAAGTAGGTACCAAAGTAGCACACGGGATCTAAAGAGCATTGAAGGAAAGAGAAAACTTCGATATTAGCATATTGCTATCCTACAAACGCTCCTTATGGGACTACCTAGGTACCTATGTGATTGTGTGACTTGTTGAGTCTTGTCATCGCGGTGAAAAGCAGAATCGTATGTTGAATAGATTAACTATTTTATTAATCATCGACCCCTTTCCGCTACTTTGGTTTAACCTTCTCGGAGACTACCGCCTGCACTCTACTGTACGTCCTGTACATCTTACTGGTCTAGGCAGGTAGGTGTCCAGATCTTGGCTACCTAGCAGCGGTAGGTATGTGATCATTGCTGACCCAACCAGATCCTGCAGTTAAAAATAAATATCCGGGGTTGACAGGTTAACAAAATTTAAGCCTGTCTGGTCTCATAGTAGGTCGTACATGTTTACATGCCAGTCGGACATTTATAAAGGTATATTTTTGCAACCACAATCATACCTACCAACATTCGAAAAGCACTCAAAATGTTGGGAGTACTCATGATATCATGACGCTCTATTCCATTCGAGTTTCTATGGGTCTCAATAAACCAAAGGTAACTGGTTAAAGTGCGACCATCCATGTCCTAGTGAAAATGGAAGCGCGGGCTCATGGCAGACATCCCCGCCTTCATCTCTGTAGAACCTCGTCCTTTTTGCTACCGAGTTGCTCGAGTCCTCCTCGTTCTCTAGAACAAACGCAAATGACCGCCATCCCCTTTCTGTATATGCTGATGTTCTAGGTCGAAATCTGCTGTATAAACTTATGGACGACCTCGATGGGGAGACCATAAGGCGCTCCCAACGGATCAAGCTGAAAACCAGATGAGTAAAAAAAGAGCTGTACTGATTAGGAACGGCCATAAATCGTCGCGAAGCATTATTCCTTAATAAATGCACACGTCGCTATGCAGTAGTGGGGCGTATCAAGAGTAATCTACAAGGATGGTGAAGCCTGAAAAGGCTGATAAGTCATTGTATTTTCGGGTTGGTTTGTTCGTTCATCGGTCACTGTTGGGGTGCTTGATAATTAAGGGGCCGCCTCGGATAATGTTAGTATACTGCCGAGCCTAGAGAATGTTGAGCAGACTCACTTAAAGAGTAGAATGTGCGGCTCCGGCTCATGGACTTCATAGTGCTCCCAACCCAAACTCTACATTTTTCAAATTCTGTTAGTTACTTCTATACCGCTATTATGGTATGCTGTACCTAGGCACTAAGGTGGCTTACCTGAGTGATACCAATCGCACGCCACTCATCTTCCCACAGCAGCTTCAATGTTCCCTTCGACGGGTCATGGTAGTCTTTGGGAATGGCCTTGAGCATGGCCTTCGGGAGCTGGACGTGTCGGTATTCGTATTCGTTATCGGAATAGCTAATTTGTTGAGTTAGCAACGCCTCATAGGCACTCGACACTAGAACGGGTAAGGTGTGCAACCATACCGGGCAGAATAGTGAATGGAGTCGATGTACTCCTCGAGGCGTGCTCGCTCATCGTCACTAAGAGGACGAGGCACCTTGTTGCGTCGAGTCATATCAATGTCTAGGGGCATTGTGCCTGGTTGTACAATAGAATGCTGATTTCGGGTTCGAAATAATAACGACCTTTCTACAGTATAGTAGTTTTAGGACGGACTTTGGCGCAAATCTCTAGCGACTCGATTTCCGAAACCTAAAGAAGAATCCTGAAGCTGGCTGTTGGTCTGCAGAGAATAAATGTTGTCGCGTGAGGAGGGGAAGCAAAGATAGTAGCCTCGATTTCTAAGATGGATCACCTTTCTCTACTGCGCAAAGGTGTAATAGATCGATAACCGTGAACCGTGAAACGTTTAAAGTAATATAAAGGATACCCTGTAGTATGAACGACAAGGAATAGAAGAAGAAGTTACGAATCGAAGGTTGTAGGTTTACAAGTTCTGAGAAGACGGGAGGAGCGCGTTTCTTAAAAGTTGAAGTTGCGGTGCCCCCAAAAATTAATCGCATATTGTTATGTACCTAGAGAAGTAAACAGTGCTAAGGTGGGAACATATATTGTGCACAAGCCACATTGTTCACCTTATCTGAGGGGCATAGCAACAAACGTTGAACAGAACGGGCAACGACTGGAAGCTATGACATACTACGTAATGACTCGCGCACTGCCATTTGTGGCGCATTAGGGAATGACATTAGGTACATAATTACCGTACCGCAGTACCTATGTATCTTCAATTGAAGGGAGACGGGAAGGTGGTAAGGTGGGCTGGCTAGAAGCAGAGCTAATTGGTTGATTGGAAGTCGTTACCTACCCCGGTCAGCTCGGCACCTAGGTACCTGAGTACCTATTTCACCTACCAACCTTACCTACAGCAATCAGCTGTTCGCACTCATAACTCAATAAACCTTTGCACCAAAAACTTTCTCCATAATTCCGTTGCGTGCATCAACGAGCTTCACCAAAAATCGACATACCAAAACTACACTTGTGCATCTTAATGATATTTCCATCCTTAGTGTACTTTTCTTCCGTCACAAATTTCCCCTCTGTCGCGTTGATTTGACCGTTATAGTCCACGCCAGCTAAAAGGGATAAAACGGTCATCCCCCTACTACAAATTATACAATACCTAGCGGTACTAGCCAGCCGCGTCGGAAACCCACAAATCACCACAACTCATCGCATCGCAGCGCATCGCGTTCAACTCCTGCGACCCCGTACCCATCATTTCGACTACCATAGTTCGCAACGTTGAATTCCCCATTGACTGCGCAACATACCAGACAACAGGCTGTGGTGCGTTAGGTCGACCCTGCATGCGCCTGCGATCGTTTTCCTACCACAGCCATGGAGAACAAGAGAAAGGCCAGCGGCGTCAATGGCCTCGAGTCATCAGTAATTGATACTAATGATCGTGCTGCAAAGCGTCGCAGACTGCAGGAGGTAAGCTATTGTCCGCACCTTCAATATTTACTTCACATTCCACAACATTTGCGCGCAAGCCTCGTCACGACCCCAATTACTTCTGCCTACATCGTCGGTTAGGTGCCATGCGTCGCAGCTGCGATGCGAACGTGTTCATGGGCGAAGTTGAATTCAAGACCAGGGCCCAGTCGGAGCTACTAAAGAAATGCAATGCCAATATGTTGTCGGCTTGTCTTTCAATGACCCGTCCCCATCTTTCCCCATACAAGCTTCACAACGTCAAACCTCCAAAGCCATGCACTTTTTTGAAGCATTTCACATCCCTTTTTAGCTATCTACTCTTTGCTAATCCAATCCTGCTGCTATAGGAATTCGGTGATCTCTCGAACGGCGAAACTGCTGAATCTACCACGGCATACGGATTGAACATCCTAGAATCAATCAGAGCAACAACCGACAAGAAGTATGTCTAGACCATTTCCATTACCGTATACAATATGCCTCCTGCGGCATTTTACTTTGCTTATAATATCTACCTATGCATTATTCGCTGAAGCGGCTAATAGATGTTATATTGTGGCTAACTATATTTGCGCTGCAGTGGCCGTTCAGTCTCACCGTATTTTGAGAAGCTCCCTACTCGAAGCGAAGATCCCGATTATTACAAGAAGATTAGATTGCCGCTCTCTCTAGAGTTGATTGAACGCAAGCTCAAGAACCATGAGTATCTCAAGCTCTCTATCCTAGAGAGTGACTTCAAACGTCTGGTTTCGAATGCAAAGGAAGTTAACGAGCGCTCGTCCGTGGCTTTTGGCGATGCAGAACGAGTCCGAAAAGCCGTTAGTAACTTGATGGTCAAGTACAATCCGGCATATAAGTCTGGCAATTATCAGGCTGTTGCTACCCCTCTACCTCCGACTCCTGAGCCCGATGAGAATGCAGACGAGGAAGATGCGGAAGGTGATGAAGAAGATAACAAAGACCATATCGCTCAAGATGTGCAACCAGATCAAGATGACGACGTAGAGGAAGCAGCCGAGGAAGAGGAAGAAGCTGAGGCAGATGCAGAAGAAGTTGAAGAAGTCGAGAATGAAGAGGAAGATGGCGAAGGAGAGGATGACGAGGAAGAAGAGGAAGAGGAGGAGGAAGAAGAAGAGGAAGACGATGGTGAGCCGAGCCCCGTAGCCCGAAAACGACGACGCCCTGGCCGTCCACCCAAGAATCCTGCTGCACAAGGTCGAAAGTCTGCAACACGTGGACCAACTCCAGCCAAGGCCGATACTCATTACGAGGACAAGCCGTATAAAGGCCTGAGTTTCCAGCAGGCACAGGAGAAGATTGTCGAAGAGATGCTACGAAAGAAAGATGAGAGGTCAGTACACACTCTCCACACGTGATTCCATATGTGACTTACAATCGTGTTTAGTGGCGAATATCCATACTTCGAACCATTCATCTATCTACCACCACGAACCTTGAAGGATTACTATGAGATCATTGCTGAACCCTTGTCGCTCAAGGCATTGCAGAAGCAAGTTCGAGGTCAGCACGGTAGAGGGGGTGCGACCTATGTTAGCGACTTCAAAGGCTGGGCTGCATTTGAAGACCAGGCCAGTTTGATCTGGAAAAATGCGTATCACTATAATGAGGACGGAAGTGAGATCTCCCTCATGGCTCAAGAACTCGAGGTAAGCTACCACAAACCATTCGATCAATTTGATTTGAATCGATTTAATATCTGACTTTCACAGCAATTGTTTCATGAACAATTGAAGGAGGCGAAACTACACGTCCCAGAGCCGCCCCAGCCGAAGATAAAGCTCAAGATGCCACCTAACTCGGAAACAGCCGTTCATCCTAAGAAGATAACGATCCATGTTGGTGGCAAGACGAGTGCGACGGGTTCGCCAGCACCTGTAACAGGCCAATCCGGAGAAGGAGAGGCTACAGGTAGTAACGGTACTCCTACTAGCAGGAACCCATTCGGCGGATCGACGGCCACCTCGGTCAACTTGAGCCAACTCGAGAAGGCGAGAAGCCTATCAGCTTCCGCTGGCCCTCCTAGCCCGTCGGCAGCGGGACTTACGAAGTCTGAAGGTGCTGTTCGACCGTCACCTGGATTCGCCAACCATCAGCAGTTTGCGCCTCCGGTAATGCCGCCCTTGAGCGTCGTCCCGAATGGTTCAGTTCCACCACCCCCTCCTGCTCCCAAACTATCGGCCATAGATATCCTTGAGGCGCAGAAGTACCGACCTCATCCCATTAGTAAGAGTCTTATTCCCTTGAGTACCTATGTCACAGGTTACTAACTATATTCTAGAGGAATCGGAGGCTATTCTGCCTAAACTTGTTCTCTCATCTCACCCTAGTCTCCAGCTGGAAAACATATTCTCAGTCACATTTCTCGCTAGCCCTACCGAGTTCCAACAGGAACTCGTTTTCAACGCTCCTGCAACCCATTTTCGCATGCTCCTCAAGCCTCAGGTAGCACCGTTCCTAGAGGAGCAGCAACGCGAGTGGAAACTGAATGTGTTCCACGATACAGTACGTTTGTATCCTTCGTCTGCTCCGTTCGACAAGCGAGGCGAGCCAGTTTTTGACACCACCTTCCACTTTGGGGTCAATCGACTTGAAGTCTCTCTGATCGCTGCGCTTCCAAAGGGTGAGAAGGCACCCAACGGGTTAAACATGGAAATGGAGAAGATTGTGGTGCATTTCAACTTGCTCCGGCATTCGTAAGAAGTTGGTTTGACTTTAATGGTCGACATTAGTGGACATAGACTTCTAGCCAACAGGTCGGCAGAATTCCTTAACCCACGCCTCCAGTTTCATAGGTTGCCGGATTTATACTTGAGGGAAACTATGGAGGGGCTCTAGCTATGTACGTTCTATACAGGGAACGATTTGCTTCGATGTAAGCATTTGTACAAGTACTCTACACTCATGGTGGTTCATAAAGCCATTATATGCAGAAAACGTCACTGTGAGTTTTGCTCCTACTATGGCCTACAGCTAAAACACCCAGATAGATAGATACACGTCTAGGTAGTTAATCGCTTGATAGCTGTACAAAGACATGTTATAATAATTTCGTACGAATGATATGAGTGGGTTTTTTTTTTCGAAGGCAACCTGCAACTATCAAATTCTCATAGTAGAGCTTGTACCTCATCGGAGTGTCCGTGAACTTCATCTTTTCTTCGGTCTGTCCTTGCGTATCTATATATCAAACTGTATTTTAGTAGACGTTTGGGCGTTAATTGAAAAGTACTAGGCTCGACGCACGATTCAATGTTTGGCTTTCAAAAGTCTTAAAGCTGGTGGGGTTGTGCTTAACAACGGATGCCAAGAGGCTGGACCCTGGATTTTGAGGTCCGTTTTGAGTACGTACATAGTGATTGTTGAAGGTACCCTAGGACGCTAAACCGGATTTAAGTTGGTCCCGGCGGCAAAGGTGGGCTGGGGTAGGAAGGAAAAAAAAATTAAGATTTTGAATTATTTTTCACCGCCCGCATAAAAAATTCAGTGAAATTTCCCCTCCATAAACCCGGACACCATCCCTCCATACTTCCTCCGAACCATTTCCTACCATTTCCTCTGGACAATAATCTTCTTCCACACAATACCAACCCTTCCCGTGGACTTGTCCAGTTGAACATCATCTCTCAAAATGGCGGAAGAAGTCTACGATGGTGCCATTGGCATCGATCTAGGTACGTCGCAAAAAATAACCCCGCGCCCACAGATCGTCGCATCGCAGCCCGTTAAAAAAATAATTTAAAATTTCGATATTGCGATTACAGTGTGCTAATTGCTACTGAACAACAGGTACCACCTACTCTTGTGTCGCCGTCTACGAGGGTAACAACGTCGAAATCATCGCCAACGAGCAGGGTTCATTCACCACCCCTTCCTATGTCTCCTTCAACGAGAAGGAGCGGTTAATTGGTGAAGCCGCCAAGAACCAGGCTGCCATGAACCCCCGAAACACCGTCTTCGACGTCAAGTATGTTTTGACCAAGCCCCACAGACCTGCAATATTTGGTATTGTATGACTGACTTCGATTTGCGACAGGCGTTTGATTGGTCGACCATTCAATGACCCCATCGTCAAGAAGGACATTGAATCATGGCCCTTCAAGGTTGTCGAGCAGGGCGCGAACCCTCTTGTCCAGGTCGAGTATCTGGGAGAGACCAAGACTTTCTCTCCTCAAGAAATCTCTGCCATGGTCCTCACCAAGGTAAGCAGGAGTATCTCACATACATGCAATAATATATTTGGCCCTATTCTAATACACAATCTGCCTATAGATGAAGGAGATTGCCGAAGTCAAACTCGGCAAGAAGATTGAGAAGGCTGTCATTACTGTTCCCGCCTACTTCAACGACAACCAGCGTCAGGCCACAAAGGACGCTGGTTCCATCTCTGGCCTCAATGTGCTCCGTATCATTAACGAGCCCACCGCCGCCGCTATCGCTTACGGCTTGGGCTCTAACAAGAGTAACAAGGAGCGCAACGTCCTAATCTACGATCTTGGTGGTGGTACTTTCGATGTGTCTCTCCTCAACATCCAGGGCGGTGTTTTCACCGTCAAGGCCACCGCTGGTGACACCCATCTTGGTGGTCAGGATTTCGATACTAACCTTTTGGATCACTGCAAGAAAGAGTTCCAGCGCAAGACTAAGAAGGACATTTCCGGTGACCCGCGTGCTCTCCGAAGACTTCGAACTGCTTGCGAGCGTGCCAAGCGAACTCTATCTAACGGTGCCCAGACTACTATTGAGATTGACTCGCTCTTCGACGGCGACGACTTCTTCCTCCAAATCACCCGTGCTCGTTTCGAGGACCTGAACGCTAAGGCGTTCAACGGTACCTTGGAGCCTGTCGCTCAGGTCCTGAAGGATGCTGCTGTCGAGAAGAGCGCCGTTGATGAGATCGTGCTCGTCGGTGGTTCTACCCGTATTCCTAAGATCCAAAAGCTCCTTAGCGATTTCTTCGACGGTAAGAAGCTTGAGAAAAGCATCAACCCCGACGAGGCTGTCGCCTATGGTGCTGCTGTTCAGGCCGGTATCCTCTCCGGCAAGGCTACCTCTGCCGATACCTCCGACCTCCTCTTGTTGGACGTCGTTCCTCTTTCCCTCGGTGTTGCCATGGAGGGCAATATCTTCGCTCCCGTCGTGACTCGCGGTCAGACCGTCCCTACTATCAAGAAGCGCACATTCACCACCGTCGCCGACAACCAGCAGACTGTCCAGTTCCCCGTGTACCAGGGTGAGCGTGTCAACTGCGAGGACAACACCTCCTTGGGAGAGTTCACCTTGGCACCTATCCCCCCTATGCGTGCTGGTGAGGCCGTTCTTGAGGTCGTCTTCGAGGTCGATGTCAATGGTATCCTGAAGGTCACTGCTACAGAAAAGACCTCTGGCCGTAGTGCCAACATCACTATCTCCAACTCTGTTGGTAAGCTCTCATCGACTGAGATCGAGAGCATGATCAACGGTTCGTTTTACTCCTATCCACATGACAATACAACAAGACTAACACTTTATCTACAGATGCGGAGAAATTCAAGAACAGTGATGAGGCCTTCAGCAAGCGATTTGAGGCGAAGCAGCAACTTGAATCATACATTAGCCGCGTCGAGGAGATCATCTCCGACCCGACTATGTCGCTCAAGTTCAAGCGTGGCCAAAAGGACAAGATCGAGCAATCCCTTAGCGATGCCATGGCCCAGCTTGAGGTTGAGGACTCCAACGCCGATGACTTGAAGAAGAAGGAGCTCGCCCTGAAGAGACTGGTGACGAAGGCCATGTCTTCCCGATAAATGCTTCTCTCTTCATTTGGCGAACATAGGTCATGGTAATAGATGGGCGGGTGGCTAGGTTCCCTTAAGTCTTCTAGGTGACCTCGATGTCCATCTGCGTGAAAGGTTGGGATTGGCATCTGAAAGGGGAGAGGAATGTCTCGCTCGGTGCTGCGAGACAGGGATGGAAACAAAAAAGTCTTTCGGTTTGGTTTTCACTCTACCAGGCTCTTTTCACACTCCATCTCACCGTCCTTTTACGAATACTTTACAACCACGTGCTGGTTGGCGGCGCATTTGCATGTAGACTACTAGGGAAAAAAGTGAACCAGCAGGGATGAATTCGACGAATTTTAATTTTACCTCACGTTATATACCCTGGCTCTGTCGGATTCGTCCGTCTAGATGTCATTCTTAATCAGTGCCTTTAAATACTGTTCCCTCGACGTTAGGTAAGCATCGTAGGGTATGTCGTGATAAAGAATCCCCGCAAGTCTCGGCACTAGTTGACGCGATTCTCCAAGTCCAGGGTCCCGCAAGTACCTAGTCGCCCAATGGGGGTCGAGATAAATGTAATGCTTTGAAAAGCGATAGAAACTTGGATATCGTATCCTACATTTACAATTCGTAAATTTCTATCGCAGAATCTACAATGTCGTCGAAGGACCAGGACAGCGCCGAAGCCGGGGAGGAGCCGCAAGCGGCGGAAGACCAGCCCAGCAACCTCGGAGACTACGATCTCGGGCGGCCGATCGACGCGAGCCGGGGGATGCGGGCGGGGCTCACGTCGTACGGGGACGCGCACTTCTCGCTGTTCCTGCGGAAGGTGTTCATCAAGGCGCTGGGGTACTCGGAGGCGGCGCTGTCGCGGCCGATCGTGGGGATCGTGAACACGTACTCGGCCTTCAACCCGTGCCACGCCAACGTGCCGCAGCTCGTGGAGGCGGTCAAGCGCGGCGCGCAGCTGAGCGGCGGGCTGGCGATCGAGTTCCCGACGATTAGTCTGCATGAGAGCTTCGCGGCGCCGACGAGCATGTATTTGAGGAATCTGATGAGTATGGATACGGAGGAGATGATTGCGGCGCAGCCGGTTGATGGGGTGGTGCTTATTGGTGGTATGTATGATGGACTTGATAGAGAGGAGAGGGGAGGGCAAGGGAGGGAAGTGTGATGATGGAAGGGGATTGCTAATGAATGGGATGTAGGGTGCGATAAGACGACGCCGGCGCAACTCATGGGCGGGATTTCAGCGAATAAACCGATATTGCATCTTGTTACGGGGCCGATGATGCCCGGGAGCCATAGGGGTGTTCGGATAGGGGCTTGTACTGACTGTAGGAATAATTGGGCGAGTTATCGGGCGGGTGTTATTGATATCGAAGAGATTGCCGCCTTGAATGAGGAGCTAGCGCCGACGGTGAGTATTTGAAGCTACTTAATAGTTCTCAGGGGTTAATGTGAGTGAAAATATGCTAAAGGTTGAAAATAGGCCGGCACGTGCGGAGTTATGGGAACTGCTAGTACAAGTAAGGATATCCGTTTTGAAGTTTCTTATTACCCCTTTTCACTATTTTGGACCTACCTAGACTACGAATCGTGAACCTATAGGAACTTGATAAAGAAACTACTGACTCTATTCTGTAGTGGCGTGTATACTAGTTGGACTGGGCCTCATGCCCTTCAAAGGGGCAACAGCACCAGCCGTATCGTCAGCCCGACTCCGAATCGCCGAAGAAACAGGCGCCAACGCCGTAAAGGTCATCGCAGCCGGGGAAAGGCTTAAACCTCAAGCCCTCTTAACCCGGGAGTCCTTCCTCAACGCCATAACCGTCCTCCAAGCAATCGGCGGCTCGACAAACGCCGTGGTCCACATAATGGCCATCATAAACCGGCACCCGAAGCTCGCCGGCACCATCACCCTCGACACCTTCGACGAGATCGGGCGCCACACGCCCCTGCTCGTCGACCTCAAGCCCAGCGGCGCGAACTACATGTCCGACTTCCACAACTCGGGCGGCATGGCTGCGCTCCTGCTGGAACTGCGACCTATCCTACATCTCGACGCGCTGACGATCACGGGCAAGACACTAGGCGAGGCGCTAGACGCCGAGCGCGTGATCCCGGTGCCGCAGCACCTGCGGTGCATCCAGCCCTTCGACGCGCCTTTGCACCCGTGCTCCTCGCTCGTCGTGCTGCGCGGCAACCTGGCGCCGGGCGGCGCTGTCATGAAGGCCAGCGCGTCGAAAGACCGGCGCCTGTTGCGCCACTCCGGGCCCGCGGTCGTGTTCGCCGGGTCGGCGGACCTGGCGCTCCGCATCGACGACGAAAACTTGGAAGTCACGCCGGACAGCGTGCTGGTGCTGCAGAACATCGGGCCCGTGGGCAACCCGGGGATGCCGGAGGCCGGGCTCGTGCCGATCCCGCGGAAGCTGGCGGCGCGCGGGGTGACGGATATGCTGAGGGTTTCGGACGGGCGGATGAGCGGCACGGCGGGCGGCACGATCGTGCTGCATGTTTCGCCCGAGGCGGCGGATCCGGAGAGCGTGTTGGGGGTTGTGAGGGATGGGGACGTGGTGACGTGCGATGTGGAGGCGAGGGTGCTGAGGGTGGAGATTAGCGATGAGGAGATTGAGCGGAGGAGGGTTGAGAGGAGGGAGGTGCTGGCTAAGGGGGACTCGGAACACCCGTGGAAGGCGAGGGAGAGGATGAGGGGGTATAGGGGTTTGTATATGAGGGAGGTGAATCAGGCGGATCAAGGAGCGGATTTTGACTTTTTGAGGGCTGGATTCGAGGGTTGATTATATGATATCATTTATTATATACAGAAGGCTTTGGAAATATGGCCATAAATCGACCCATTTACAAGTTTAATAACATAGTTACGTTGATTGAGCTGCTGAGCTTTTGAAACTCCTAAATTATTGTGCTCTGATCGTGATAAGGGGTTTTCCAACTTTCTTGGCCTCTTCATTCAAGGCATCAATCTCAGCTTGCACTAGAGGAATTCCCGTCCTCTCCCTTTCTTCTTGAGTCAGTTGCTCGATTTCACCGGGGAAATATATCCTCTCGACACCGGCAGCCTTATCCGAACCAACAACTCGCTGGTATAGGAAGTCCATCCGTTTCCGAAAGTCGTCGAGACTCATGAATAAGTCGGGTTTAATAGCCACGAGAAAGTGGCCGACGTCTGACGGTTTACTTGGATCGTACGGGCCTGTGACTCCGCCTGCGAATTCCGAACCTACGTGGCCTTAATTAGTAGAAAGTAGACGTCGCCTACTATTCGCGACAGAACTCTCACCTGATAGGACCCCTGAGAATACATCCATCATAATTGCTAATGCTGAGCCTTTGGGTCCTCCCATAGGTAACATAACTCCTCCCAGCGCGGCCGTCGGATCATCCGTTGGTCTCCCTTCCGCATCTAAGGCCCAGTCCAGTGGAATCTTCTCCCCCCTCCTCTTTGCCTTATATATCTTCCCCCTCGCTGCCACAGATGGGGCCATATCCAAGATAAACGGCTTCTCCTGCCCACCGGGAGCGCCACAAGCGATAGGCGAGACCCCCATCAACTTACTCTTTCCACCGAAGACCGGTAGCGCCGGACTTGAGTTAGTGAACACAAGGCTCATCATACCATCATCGATAGCCTGTTGCACAATCCAAGCACTCATGCCGAAGTGGTTCGAGTGCTTGATGCTCACCATCCCGATCCCGAACTCGCGCGCCATCTCGCACGCCTCCTTCATGCCCAGCGACGCAGCTAGGAACCCGAAGCCGTTGCGACCATCGACCTGCGCGACGACTGGCGTGATCTTGGATAATGAGGGGGTGGCCGTGCCGTCAAGGACACCGGCACGCACCCGAGCCATGTATGACGGGATCCGATTAATGCCATGCGTGTCAACGCCCCGCAGGTCCGCGGCGACGAGACACTTGGCGACAACAGCGGCATTAGAGGCGGGCACCCCATTCCCGGTAAGTACGGCCTCGATGAATTTGCGGGCTTCCGCAGCTTCAACGTAGAGCTTGGCGTCGGGGGCAGATTGAGCGGATGAAACTTCAGCCATTGTTGCCAATTAAAATAAATCAGTACCTAGACAGTCACAAACGGGATAAGCTTAAAATGTGGATTATGAATAGCTGTTAGTATATTGGATAGATCTGATCTTACCCGCGGTAAAACGTGAATTATTTAAGTCGGCGCACTTTACCCCGGCACCTGCTGCCGGAGAGGAATCCGGTCGATTACATGTCCGAATTCGGACTCCCGACGTTCTGTTGCCGAAATATTCCAACTCCGATGGGCTTATGCCGAGGGTTTCCGCCGCCTATAAGTACCTGAGGTCGGGAACCTAGCTCTGACGGATTATTTCACTTAATTAGAATGATCTTGGCACTTTTGATGACTACATGAATAGATCCATACTATGTACTTAGTGACACATCCTTTACTCAACACTCTTAGCCTAATAATTACATCTAGGAGCGTGAGTCACGACAAAATATATGCTATACACCAACCACCTATGAATTTACACATGGATCTTAATGGGTCATATTAATATCTGTCCTAGGTTAAACTTATTATATAATAGCAAGTTGAAATGACTCTAATTATGAGAAAGCTGAAATTGTTTCTGGATAGGATCATACCAGCGATGAGCTACTAGTTGAGAACCAAAAGATACCGTTAGCAACAATGTAGAAATACAAACACATACAGCTAAACGTATTTATATCTGAATAACTCTAATCGCCCTGACTGGATGATACATCCGGCAGAAGAGTAACAGACAATAGTAGTACTAAGTATCAATTGCCCGAAAAAGAAATGCCACATCTAACGCTTCATATAGTGGAGTGGGAGCTTTACCCACGCCGTATTCTTATCTATCTTCATGAAAAGGGGCTTCTCAAATCAAAACATATTGCGATAGTAGACCAAGCTCCATGGCTGGGCACTCCACTGATGAGGCCAGTGCCTTCCCTAGAATTATCTCGTGGGAGATCTATCGGGCCATCGGTAGCCATCATCGAGTATTTCGAAGACATCTGCGACAACCCTCAAGAGGAATGGCAGAAGGAACTTGCCGCTATGGCCAAACCCTCTATGAGAGGGACGAACTTACTTAAAAGAGCGGAGATGAGGGGTGTCTACGCAATAATCGAAGAAGCATCGGTTCTATTCAATTTTGCTTCTCTTAGAGGTAGCAGGCGCCACGCACCAGTCAACCCGACGAACTCCGCGGTAGCAAACATGGCACTCGGTTTATCAAAGAGGAGCTTGAGCGGCATACAGGATTACTATAGTAAACGGTTCAGGGATAACTTCGATGATCATGATTATGGTAGAGATATCAACATCGCGGATATCGCTTTATTCTCGCTCGTGGAATACGCCAAGGAACTTTACGGTCAAAATTTAGTGGCTGGACTATTGAATCTCAAGAGGTTCTACATGGCCTTCGATCAAAGAGAGAGCGCAAAGAGACCGCATGGGTTTTATCCCGATGATATCGTGGCGCAAGCTCGTGACTGGAACTAAGGGGTATTAAGAATGAGATTACCCCTGAAGACATAAGAGCCATAGATAGGATTTGTAAATGAATTGCTTGAGTACTACTACCTAACATACGTAGGTGGAAGTCATGATATAGCACCCGATTACTATCTAATTGGACGTTTCTTAAACACCAATACCTATAACTATGAGGTACCTAGTGATAGTTACAGTGACCTTACTAGTAAAATCCTGTAGTGACATAGATGAAGTAATTAACCAAAACAATGAAAATTAACTACTATGTACCTAGCAACTCGCGTGATACATCCATAATTTAATACCTTCACAACTGTTGGCAGTGCCATCCATGTTACCGTAGTTGCAATTATCGGAGGTTGGCTGTGCTGATCATGTCAACTTATACGTCTCATTGGGTCGGATTACGACCAAGCCACGATGCAGCACGTCCCAACACAAGTCCAGGCAACTGTGACATGAAAATGAAGGCGCTTCTAGCCAGTCTGCAGCGAACCCGTTCCGATTCATCTTGGCTTTAAGTGGCACAGCAGATTCCACCAAGGTCGTATATCGATTTTTCCAGGGAATATTAAGAATAACGACACCCATAATTGGTCGAATCAAAATTGCACGAGCCATCCATGCAGCCTTGTCTGTGAACCATAAATACTTGAAAGTCGGGAACCACAGCGAGAACACTTCATGTAGATCTTAGAATTGCTATTTCTTCCTATGTTGTAGATTTAACTTTCGTCGTCCCCGACACATTGGCGAGTGGACTATCCCCGGACGATTGTCAATATTGCAGCAATGAACAGCACCTCGACTAACACTACACATCCAGCGCTTACCACGACCTTTACGCCTGCGCCAGAATGTACGGAGCTGACAATAAGCAGCTGCTACGGCACAGATGGCTGCCTCGGTGTAGGCCTCACGAATTATCAGTGCAGTGACCCGATGTACAAATGTTTCCCCGAGTCATCGACTTTCCAAACCACGGATTATACAACTGTATCACCGTACTTGACGTATTCGCCGGCCAATATTTGCCCTACGGGATGGTCAACGGCCGCAAGTGCCTTAGATCCAGATGGTGTATGGTGCTGCCCTAGGTAAGTTGTCTCCGCTGTGGTTATACGCCCCCTACATCAAGATACTTACATTATGGATGGATGAAGTGGCTATAGTTTTAACCGGGATATTCAATATTGTCAAGGAACGTTCACAGAAGGTGTAGCGGTATCAGTAGCGCCGAATTGCTCAATTCTAAGTTCTATTCCGTTCGGCCCTGGCCGGACAAATTTGATGAATGTCGCTTCATTGGGAGGAGTTGGGTCGAATACAATTCCTGCGAGCGATCTTACGGTGACGGCGAGGGCGCAAGGAATCTTCCTTTTAGGACAGACGCTAAGTAGCGGACCGAACCAGCCTTCCGAAACGTCGACGTCGGCGCCGCCACCTTCCGAAATAACAAACTCATCTATATCTACGAAAGCTGCCATCGGTGCTAGCATAGGTGGCACGATAACGATTATCCTACTCCTTAGCCTTGGGTTCTTCCTGATCAGGCGTCACCGTAAAAGGCGACGAATAGCTGAATTGAAAGCAGCGGACGATCCAGACCCACCGGTACCAGGAGAAGAGGATAATGTGGGCAGTGTGCGCAAACCAGAACTCGAAGGAACCGATACCAACCCCGCACGATTTCAAAAGAACGAACTGGATGCGAATGCAACGCGCTCAGAACTCTTGGGAGATACGAACGGGAGCAGAGAATTGGATGGGAACGCGACACGTTCTGAGCTCCAGTGTCCTACCAGTTCGGAATTGGAGCTCCAAGCAAAAGAAGTTCCTCAAGAATTGGAAACGGTTCCACGATACGAGCTCCAAGGATGACCATAAAAAGCAGCTCATACCTTATATTACTTAATGGGATATTCATAATTGGAGTTGGAAACTTGGTATTAATCTGATGTTGTAAAAAGTTATGAACCTTGGGAGTTTACCTACTATTATTGGCTTACTTAATAAAAGGAATGCTTACATAATTGTACTAATGGCAAGGTAGCCCGTTACACAAGTATGTAACGTGCAGCGTTATGAATTTAGCAGAAACATGTAGGCAGCTATGCATTAAAAGAGGTATATACGTCATGACAATGGAGCTAGAACCAAAGCTCCATTCAAATGTTCAAAGTCAAAAAGCTCCATCATAATTACTTCGTGCATCTGCGTCGTGCATCAACAACAACGCGACATTCCAATCTTCCATTTTCTCTCAGCAACGCGGGGTAATATTTGCCTGCGTCTAGCTGACTTCTCCCAATGACCACTTCTTATTTACCATTTTAATTCCTACACTCCTTGGTAGTACTAAGAGTTACAAGAACATATCCTCTGCGTCTGTATCGTCAAAATGGCTACCCAAGGCTACGTTCAGACTTCCCTCATCTGGGTGGCTTATGCCGTCGCAGTTGTCTTAGCCTTAATTGCTGCCAGTATCACGACATTTACCTGGCAGGCGACTCGCGAACGATCTGCGATCGTAAGCATTGTCGCCGTCGTTGGTCTTACCTCCGTCCTCGCAACCGTCCTCCTTCTCCCTGTCGACATCGCCCTCGTTTCATCCACAACGTCTACAGCCCTTGGTGCCAAGAAACACTGGGCCACCTCCGAGCGTATCGACAATATCCTTTTTACACTTAAGGTCGTTTATTACTGCCTCTACAGCTTTGATGCCCTTTTGTGTCTCCTCATCATTCCCTTTTCGTACTTCTGGTATGAGGAATATGACGAGGTTGAGGAACAGGAGGGTAATCAGACCTTCGGCAGTCGTCTCTGGGGCGCCTTTAAGTACACCATTGCCTTCATACTCTTGGTAGTCATTATCTTCCTCGTCGGTTTCTTCGTTCCCGCTGCCGGATCTCGCGGCGGTGGCGATCATCTTGATCTCGACTTCTTCAAGCGACTCCTCGACGAGAACCACGGTGAGAAGGCACTTACGTTCGGCCTGGGTCTACTGATTACTCTGGGCACGCTACTGTACATTGTATATACTGGAGCTGGTCTCGCCCTCTTCCCCGTCTCGCTTATTAAGTCCGCCCCCTCCGTATCCGCCCCGCAATTGTCCGAGAATACCGCGTCGCAACTAGAACAGAACAGAGAGCGCCAACGACAGATCGAAATGCGCAATGCGGGACGATCGGATGGAATGCCGCACAAGGATAGACGTGAGCTGGAGGCCCTGGCTCGCCAAGAGCGAACTCTCGTCCGGCGTGAACGACTCGCCGCGGAAGCGCAGGGAGAAGGCAAGAGCTTCGTCGTAAGGCTATGGTCGAAGATCTGCGCAGTATTCCGACCACTTAAGCTCATCGGAGGAATTCTTCTTATCGTGCTCGCCTTACTCATCTGGGTCTCTATGCTGATCACGGGAATCGACAAGGCTGCCAACTCCGTCTGCAAGGAGCATTGCGGATACATTCTCGCACACATCAACGTCTTTCAGCCTATCAACTGGATCTTTGTGCAAACTGCTAAGGCCTTCCCCGTGGACTACATCCTCATGGCCCTACTGATCATGCTATTTTTCAGTAGCACCATCTCCGGCGTTGCCGCCATCGGTATCCGCTTCCTCTGGTTGCGTATCTTCCAGATCCGTAAGGGCCGAACAATGCCTCAGGCCTTGCTCATCGCTACTGTCCTGCTGGCACTCATGATGCTTGCGATCAACTATGCGGTGGCCATGATGGTAGCGCCGCAGTACGCGAGCTATGGCACCCAAACGTTCTGTGACCTGCCGCCACGCTTCCCGTTCTCGAACCCCGACTGCAGAGAGACTCCCGAGGCTGTCAAGCCCTGCTCCGAATGGACGGAGGCGCGATCGCACGATGGCAAGTATCTACGACAGGTTTGCACGCCAACGGTCATGTCGACGTTCCTGAATCGTGTGACGCTCAACTGGCCCGTGTTCGGCGCCGTGGCCTTCTGGGCGCAGTTCGCGTTTCTGGGCGTCTTCCTCATAGTATTCCTTCTCAGCTTGTTCCGCGCCCCGCGAATGAATCTCAGCGAGATAGACGAAGAGGCTGAGGCGGACGAAGAAGAGGGGCTGCTGGCGAGCACGGGACGTCGCTTCGGCGCTACGTGGCAGGATATCACGGGCCGTGCGAAGAACACTTCCTACGGGAGCGGGAGTGGAAATGGTGCCGGGTCTAGCTCGTAAATTTGTTGCCCGTTTGTTTTAATACCAAGGCCGTTGAGGTATTATGCTATACGGTACTACGGTATGAAACAAAATCACCCACGCACGAAGGAAGGCAAATTTGGCACAGAATGAATGGGTTTCAGCTGGCGAGTCTCTACTAGGTCACATGGATGCGAAAAAGGGGACAGGCAATTGCGCCGGGGACACATATACGGAGTATAGGTTTACGGAGAGCAATATGGACGGCGTCGTGTCTGATTGATTACTGAAATTGTACTACTGGTTTGCAACGAGGTTACGGATAGGTACCTAGGCTAGGGTAAAATAGGACATGATATGGATATACGGTATTCCGATATATTGTGACCTGTGATGTTTGTAAGTACCTGGTTATAAATACGCAGTTTTAATACTAACCGACCTATGTATCTGCATCGCCATCCGTAGCGTAGGATCCGGTCTATGTCAAGGCAGATTTCCTGACAGCGCAGTTCAGCTCGCTGATGCCAAGAAGCCCGTCTCCTTACCTAAGTGGGTAATCGACAGCGAGGTCATGCCACTAACGTAGGTGGAAATTAGATAGGTGTACAGTTGAAGGTCAGCAAGCTAGTAAGATTACCATATACGCTGAGTCTTCGTGGAGAATTAGCAGTATAGGACTTTCAGCATCACGGGATTAGCTAAGCAGCCAAGAAAAGGCATTCGGGCATTTAGGTAAATTTGTGAGCTATACAAGGGATATCCAGCGTTTAACGTACATAGCGTGATAAGAATTCTTATATAGCCCAATCATATCGTACCATATCATCATCGTATCATGATCATCAGCATTCGTAAATCACCACACCAAAATTCAACTATGTACTCCCCCTAACAAACTTCTCCCACCGATGCCCGCGCTCGTCGTACCCGGCCCTCGGGCCGACGTGCATCTCGCGCCAGCAGCGCGCGCAATACACGTCGCCGTCGCAGCCGAGACACCGCACCGTGCCGTCTTCTAGACACACCGCGCACCACGTCTTCTGGTCCGCGTCCGTGTACCCTTGCCGCTTGACTAGCCCGGGTAGGGGCCGGTCCGCGGGCGCGAAGGTGGGCGCCGCGGGCAGCCCGAAGGCGTCGACGGCTGAGGTGGGCGCGGATGGTAGGTCCCGCGGAGGGGTGGCGACGCGGAGAGCCGCCATGCGGTTGCTTATCGAAGCGGCAAAGTCGGCGTCGTCGTCGGAGTCGTCGGAATCCTCTGCGTCGTCGTTTTGGGACGGGGTGAGGGGTGGGAGAGTGGGTTGGTCTTGCAGGGAGGAGGGCACGGTGGGGAGGTTGAAGGGGGATGCGTCGTTGGGTGCTGTGGGACTGTTTGGCTCTGAGTTATGAGATGATAATACGCCCTTGGTTGGCGTAGCATCGGGCTGAGAAGGGGGTTCGTTGGCCTTTTCTAATTCTGCCTCGTCGACGGCCTGGGCGAGGAAGTCGTCGGCTTCACGGGTCATGTGTTCGCCTTCGGAATCATCATCGCTGTCATCATGGTTGGCTTTGGCCCCAGGGGTGTCCTTTGGATCGCTGGAAGGCTTCTTTAATTCATCCAGAAGAGAGGCGATTCTGCGGTGCTCATTTTCAGCTATTAGCTCTTCAATATACTCCATGTCACCTTCAATATCCGAGAGGGTCGTCCCGTAGTCGTAGTCTGAATCGAAGTCATCCTCCTCGTCCGCCAAAGGGACTTTCGGTACACTTGTTTTCGCATCGGGACTTTTGAAAGTAGACTCTAGCTGAGGCTGTGGTTGTGGTGAGTTAGATAAAGCAGTAGGCCTGCCACCTTCCTCCTTTGCCCCTGAGCCACCAGTAGTATGGGCATTACCATTAGCTTGATTTCGCAGGCTCTTTAGTCTCTCTGAGAGAGCATCTTCTCTTGACAAAGGTTTGGCTGGTTCTATAGTAGACGCAGCGATTGACCTGGGTGATACTTAGCAAAGTTCGGCTCATTAAACGTAGAGGTGTCCATGTAACTGTAACTAAGAAAGACAAACTGGAAGCTTCGATGTCATCTTACTTTGATGGTGGATCAAGGTTAACGGTACTAGGTCTGAGGGCGTTTAACCTATCTAGCAAAGACCGATCGGATCCTGGGGCGTCGGTCATGATGAACGGCCGAGATGATGAGCCTTGTAGTTGGAGGACGTGAGGGTGGCTTGACAAGGCTGGTTGGAGGCGATAAGCTCATCCGCAGGCACCAGGCACGATCGCGTGCTGGGATTTGTCCGTCCCCGGATGGTACCGAAAGCGTGGTTCCTGCGGAGTGAATGATGGCTGTGCCTCACTCGATTTGGAATTAAACTCGAAGAACGAGGCTGAGCATGTACAAATCGGAATTATTCTCCGACTTGGACCCAGAAAAAAGACCGGTACGTTTATAGAGGTAACTAGTCGTTCATCAGGCTGACCAACCTGATCGAAGATGTTCCTGGAAGTATGAATGTATAATGATTGAATGTATCTGAAATCGGTGATGTCAGAGTCGAGGTGGACCAATGCATGATGTCTAGGTACTTAGTGTGTAGAACAATACTAGTTCGCATTAGATCTAGTCGCTTATCGGATTTATTGAAGCTAAGCCAAATTTAGTATTAATTTACATGAAGTATGGCCGTTTGTTGTACCACGTCGATCACCTGCAGCTGCTAGATGGCATAGCCTCATATTATGTAGCGCTGCTTCATCGATTTTGAATAATTGTGACGTTAATTGGAATAGACTAAGAGCAGGTAAGGTTGACTTCTGACCAGTCGTATAATTTGACACTTTATTCTGGGGGTTCCTGCTTATCTAATAAACTGTATACTAACTCACTACATCCAGTACATACCCAAGACCAAGTGAAACCTTACTGTTTACCTAGTCTGTATTATGTTTAACGTTAATGACGACTTAGACGGAACCTTCGCCTTTCTTTGTGACAGTGAAGGCAGTAGTAGCGATGGACGGACTTGGCAAGAGTAATCCATTTACGCCATAGGGGCACGAATTGGCCACCGACGCAATTGGTTGAATGCTATCTATATGTACCCTCAACTGCCCTCACACGTAAGGATCAACGGAGCTTAGAGTTTGCTTGGCAGTCAGAGGGAATTGGAATTATTAGCATCACCGCCTCCAAACCCTGTAACCTACTCCATCATTCAATCCTACATATAAAACCTTCCTTGTTCCTCGCTTATTCCTGTTTCTTTCAGCTTTCTCAGAATCGAAGATTATCAACCCTCAGCTGAATATACCTAATTCCATCTATACCGGCGACAGCAGCGCCTGTAATTTCAGCTTCCTACCCCAATACTCATCGAAACTTGTAACAAATACGCGAACCTCTGATGAAGCTTTCACATCTTATCCTCGGCTTTGCGGCCTTCGGCCAAGGCATTAGCGCCGCCGCGATTCACGACGCGCAGGATGGCGCGTTAGTCGCACGATCGCCAGAGTCGCAAAATCCGGATCAGTCAACAAATAACGAAGAGTTATGGAAGCGCAAGGGCGGCGGAGGTAGTGGTGGCAGAGGCGGTAGTGGCTCTTCCGGAGGCTCGTCCAGTGGTTCTTCCGGCTCATCCGGAGGAAGGGGAAGCAGCGGCAGTACCAGCGGTGGCCGTGGATCGTCGTCATCCAACACCGGAGGATCAACGACAACTGGAAGCGGCGTGCGCCCAGGTTATGGCGGCGGTACTTACTATGGTGGAGGCGCAAAGCAGCCGTACAGATCCGGTACTACGAGCCCGTCGGGTATCGTGCCCTTCGTATTAGCCGGCACCGCGCTCGGGACCCTGGGCTTCATCGGCGCGACCTGGGCCTACGGCGCGTACGTGTACCCGTACACGCACCACTACTACTACCACAATACGACGAACAACCAGAACGAAACCAAGCCCGTGACGTGTCTGTGCGATTACTACGAGGTATGCGGTTGTGATGACAATGGAAACCAGACATACTTCAACTCGGTGATCGGGGATGGAAGCTATGCAGGTCTGAACAGGTCCTTGGTTACGGTGGCGGATAATACTACTACAAACGAGTCCACTATTTACATCAAGGGCTCTCTACCTAACGGAACGACGTCATCGGGTGGTACTGAAAGTCCGAATGCTGCCGGTGGCGATTTAGTCACTCTGGCGCGAGCAGTGGGCTGGTGGCCAGTCGTGACGACGGCGATAGCTATCGCTTTCATCTAATAAATGACATCGGCCTGGACGTGATGTTTTTTGGGTGGATCATATTGATTTGTATATACAATTGGCTTTTGGAATGACGCGAACTCAAAAGACAAGAACTGCGGCGACGCATTCGTGAGTTTTACGATGGAGATACCATTGGCGTTCTGGTTTTTGAAGGGCAGGAGCAAACAGGAGGAAAGGTAGATTCAGTGCCTATGCTGCCACTTGCTACATCGTTGAATATCCCTTTGGAATTGGCAGGACGAAAGAAGCTTCCACCGAGTACTCTGAATTATAATAAAAATGTTCTTTACCATATCGCATGTGTCTTGTCTATTCCGAGATGATCTGTAGTAGCATTCAGCTAAAGCAGGCCACTGCTATGTATGTGCACTTAGTAGCTGAGGGTATCTCGCATAAAAATCAGTAAAGCATCGTTCTTTATCATCGATCTCCATCAACGGCAATGATAGAATAGACGGAGAAACAGTCCTCTATCACGTCTCTTCCAGTTCTTCAACTTCCTTAGAATCAGCAACAGCCTCCTCCTGCCTCTCCTTCCTTCTCTGCACGCACCAGTCTCCCAAAATCTTCCAAATCCGCTCCTTCTCCTCTGGCCTCAGCGTCGCAGCAAGCCCACTCGTACTCGTCGCCACGAAAACCCTCGACCCCTCCCAGCCCTCCTCGCCATCCCCCGCCGCAATAACACCCATCCTCTCCTCCTGCCAGCCGTACGCAAACTCCTCCTTCCTCAACGACCGTCCGTGCCGGACGCGGAACACGCTCTCCCATATGCTCTTGCCGACCACGCACGCGACCTCGGGCCGCCACCGGCGGCACTTGTCCTCCAGGATCGAGACGCCCTCGTCCATCTCGGCCTTGCTCAGCTCGGCGCCGTTGCGCGAGGGCCGCGCCACGATGTTGGTGTGGCCTAAAGAAAAGCGCGCCGGCATCGTCTGGTCCTCCTGCGCGGTGCAGGGCACGGGTGTTATGCCGGAGCTGTATAGCAGCTTCCAGTACAGGTTCGACGGGTGCGCGTACGCGTGCCCCGTGCGCGCCGTCTGCAAGCCTGGGTTCAGGCCGATGGTTAAGATGAGCAGGTTTGACGCGATGGCGTCGGGGAGGTGGGGCAGGTGCGCGTAGGTTGAGGGAGGGGCGTAGGAGGTGGATTTGCGGGAGCGTTTCTTTTTGGGGGATGGGGAGGAGGGGGTGGATGTGGATGTGGGCGTGGTGGTTTTTCTACGGCTAGTTCTGGGGTTCTCTGGTTCGGGGGATTGTATTTGCGTCTTGCGCTTCTTGGACTTAGAAGGTGACGAGCGTTGGGTTCCAGGGACGGCTGGCTGAGGCGTCAACAGCCGTTGACTCCGTCTTGGTTCCAAAGACGAGGAGCCATTGGTTGCTCCTTTGAACATGAAGTTCTTCAATTGAAGACGTCCTTGGAAACTAGATTCCCGAGGAACATTGTTCTCTTCCCCTAACGCCTCTAGGTCGTTCTCGTCAGCTGCCATTGTGAGGGTTACCACTTATAATGAATCTGGGTTCATATGAGTAGTCCTCTTAAATGACTAGGTAGCCCCTTTCTAATGTTATACGTTAACTGGGGTGAGGATATACACGCGTAATCTGAACATCTAGATACGTCCCCATATAATAGAAAGGAAGAGTCGATAATGCGTTGTGTTCAACCTGTAGATGTATGTTGTAAGTGGTGAGCCTCGTAGCCACTCAGTTCCCTATTAGTGGCCATTAGAAAACCGGTGGGTCCGGAGTTCTGCATATGAAGACTAGGGTTTAATTGAATTATCCAATTACCCACCAATTGCCTATTACTTGCATCTAACTAGCATTTCCCAGTTTCTTCTGCAGATCCGATCTTTTCGTATTCCTCCCAAAACACTACCAGCACTGCCTCATTGCATCTTCACCCTCCCTGTTGAACAGTTCGAGGATGAGACTCTAAGTCTGATAAATAAAGCAGTCGAGGATTTCGTGTTGGTTCCGATCGTGGGTAATTTTGTTCAGGTCCTCATATCAAATGCCGCATTGAAAGCAACCCAGTCAGGGATTTCGCAGGAACCGACAGCCCGCGATCTAGAGCCTCCAGGTTACGGCACACCTGCAGATCGGGCATGGAACGGCAGGCACTGTAGCACTGTAGCTGCGTGGTTCTCTGCAGAGTCAATTTTACCATTCACGGATTACGTATTCAGATGAACGTCGAGTCGGGAAAATTCAAACCGCAATATCGATCACATATTGTCCATATTGCACGTCGTCAGCACAGCATTGCACACCATTTCCGTTGTAAAGCACAGAACCTGGCTCATGCAGATTCTTGGATTAGGACACGAAGTTTGATTTGGACGAAGTAGCGAATAAGAAGCGGGTTTGTCGTCGCATGGCTTGTTGAAGCGGTGAGGTGAGAGATGCAGCGTCCAACCACTGAAAGCAAAGTTGTGAGAGGACGGAAGAGAAAACCAAAGATTCTGAGCAATCAAATGGCCCAATTTACGTTGACCGTGTCACTATATGCAAAGCTGAAGCTACTAAATGCATCCCTACCCCTTACCCCCCAGCGTATCCTAGCATATCCTAGCACCCCCACCACTGACTAGCCTACTAGCCCTAGCATCCTTGTTAATGCCCCTCAGCCCCTCCAGCTTATTTGTACGTACATATACGTAGTAGCCCCTCGTAATTGTCGTTCTTTTTCGAGCTTCCGTCCCAACTCTTGAATCAGTCTCTTCCCAACTTTACAACCAATAGTCCAAAGTGGTCAATTGGTCGTCTCTTTCCTTCATCTGTTCTTTTCGAACCCCTTGTAGACCTTACCATCAGACACGTTCATCAAGGTCATCATGTCGGCCGAACTCCAGAATCTCAAGGCCCAATACGAGAAAGCTGGCCAGGGCCATGTTTTCACTTATTTCGACTCCCTAAGCCAGCCCGAGCAAAAGGCTTTCCTCGAACAACTTCAGAAGATCGACCCTGCCAGAGTCCAGAAGCTACGAGACCTTGCTTTAAACCCTCCGAAGGAGCAAGGACAAGCGGTCGTTGAGCCCCTCCCCGACTCGGCCAATGCCAGTATTATCGATTCGAAGCCCGAAGATATTCAAAGATGGTACGACCTCGGTCTAGAGTTGATCGGAAAGGGCGAAGTTGCCGTGGTCCTACTAGCCGGTGGTCAAGGCACTCGTTTGGGGAGCAAGGCACCAAAGGGAGCTTTCGATATTAAGCTTCCTTCCCACAAGTCTCTCTTCCAGATACAGGCCGAACGAATCTTAAAGATTCAAGAATTAGCTGCCAAGAAGGCCGCAGACCCTAGCAAGGCTGTGATTCCCTGGTTTATCATGACCAGTGGACCGACACGCGGACCAACTGAGAAGTTCTTCAAGAAGGAGAAGCTTGATGAGCTTAGTGACGAGGAGAACGCCAACCGAGCCAAGGGTGTTCCTTACTTCGGCCTGGATCCGAAGAATGTAACCATCTTTGAGCAGGGTGTGCTTCCTTGTATTACAAATGATGGGAAATTTATGCTCGCGAGCAAGGGGAAGCTTGCGGTAGCTCCTGATGGAAACGGTGGTCTGTACAAGGCGCTGCAAGATGAAGGTGTCCTTGAAAAGATGCGCCCAAACATCAAGCACGTCCATGCGTACTGTGTAGATAACTGCCTGGCAAAGGTTGCCGACCCCGTCTTCATTGGTTATGCGGCCGAGAATAAAGTTAAGATCGCCACAAAAGTCGTGAGGAAGCGAGATGCCAAGGAATCAGTTGGTCTCATTATCCAGAAGAATGGCAGGCCCGATGTGGTGGAATACTCGGAAATCGACGACGCTACCCGTCAAGCAGCAGACCCCAAACAACCCAACATCCTCAAGTTCCGTGCTGCTAACATTGTCAACCACTACTACTCGTTTGAATACCTCGACAGCATGGGTGATGCGGTAAACAACCTGCCGCCTCACGTTGCTCGAAAGAAGATCCCATTCTTCGATACTGAGAAGGGCGAGGCTGTCGACCCTAAGACCCCCAACGGTATCAAACTAGAGCAGTTCGTCTTCGACAACTTCAAGTGGCTGAACCTGAACGAGTTTGCTTGCTTCGAAGTTAAGCGAGAAGAGGAGTTCTCTCCGTTGAAGAACGCAGACCCGGCCCAAAACGCCGACGGTACATTCGAGAAGCAGCCCGAAGACAGCCCTGCTACTAGTCGTAAACACATCAAGGAACAAGGCCGACGATGGGTGGAAGCTGCCGGCGCAACGGTCAAGAACGGAGATGTCGACGGCGGCCTTGAGGTTTCGCCGCTCACAAGCTACGTAAGTTTCTCCATAACCCACAATTCGAAAACCTAGAAGTCTCTAACCACAATATATATAGAGCGGCGAGGGCCTAGAGAGTTTCAAGGGACAGACGATTGAGAAATTGTCGATTTAGATTTACCATGATACTAATGTGACACGATAAATAAAAGGTAGATGAAATTTTGGGACCCAAGAAAAAGGTAGAAATATGGCTGGCTATCCCATCCTCACTTTTGGGAAGCTATTAGACCCGCGGGGTCATGGTTGAAGGTTCAAAGCTCGGAATTCAATGAAGTAAATATCCAAGGCTAACGATTTGGGTTTTGTTCAATCCATGCTGCATTGTGAAGATGTTATGCGAGAAGAAGACAGGTTGTAATGGCGCGTGCTATATCCAAGGCCTGCCCAATCAAGTCTATCCTCTCAACTAGCACCAGTCGTTAACATCCTCTTAACTGGTAACAGTACGTAAAGTCTTACTGAATAAGGCAAAGTGGCTCGTACTGGATCAAATCAGTAAATTGTTATGCGGAGTTAAAAGAAAATTCAACTGCTTTTGTCTTTCGCTAGTAGAGGCCGTAGTACAGTCATAGATAGCATGGCCTACGAATTTGCCTCATGGTAAATTCTACTAAAGACGTACAGTAACCAAACAGAAAGAATAGTATTAATGAAAATTACGTTGCGGCAATACGTACCCTCTAATTTATACGGAACGAGTTCCTAACTATGATATTAGTTATAGATTATTTACAATTATTTCCATGTCATAAGCACTTCTGGTGAAGAATAGCTGTAAAGCTAATTCGAAGAACCGGTGTAAGCTTGTTTATCTGCTTTTTCCAAGTCCCTTTACCTTCTTTGCTTGATAAACATTAAGCTGCTTTACTAAAAAAAATACCATAGCGAATCTATCAACGTAACCTCAATCGGAAAACAATGCTAACACTATTCTCACAGTTCATGTCATCCTCAAAGCTTGGACGGAAGCTTCATTATTCGAATTGATGTACAGGGCTAGTAATAATAATAATAGGTAGGGAGGTATTAGAGTGGATCGTACAATCCAATGTAGAGAGCTTCAAATAGGGGCGACTACGTTACACAATATATATAAGGTATATGTCATTTATACAACAAAATACGCTATTGTTATATTCACAATTTGCCATATGCAATTACTTCTAGCATAATGTCTTGGTGTATACGCTCAGGTGCTCGAAATATGTGAATGATGTAACAATGATATCTGGCAAGCAAAGAATGACTGCAGCGAAGCATCCCATATAACCCCTTAAGTGATAGAAGACCTCAGAGACCTTAAATTCCATTAGTCATAATCTGTGCAGGACTTCCTAAAATGGACCTTAAACAGATTTCTATTGGCTATTCTGGTGATGTAACTGTGAAGCCTTCTGCTGCTGGAAGTAGCTCGATGAATAAGTACCTACTTTGGTAGGTACCTAGAATCATGCACTTACCCGAGTGGTGGGGCTATATGGACCCTTTATGCATGCATATCGCGGCTAACGCGTCTACGTATCTGCGTTTAGAAATAGGCTAATTCTTTACTAACCCGATGCGACATCGTCCCATTCTTTACACCGAAATCGCATAGTAGCAACTTGTCTTGTTTAAATTTCATGTTCTAATTCGAGCTTCCTGATGTGGCACGACACGTCCGTATGTCCTATCGCGGAATTCAATGGGTCATCTGAGGGCGTCCCTAGACTGGGCTCGCATTGGGACTATTGCACTGCTTGTATTCCTATTCTCAGCCCACGTCTTCGCCTACGAGGAACTGACCGATGACGCGCTTCGCAATATTCCCAGTGGTGTCAAAGACTTCGATATTAAGACCGGCTCATTGCTATCGCCAATATTGATTCCCCGGGTGCCTGGAACACCGGGTTCTATTGCCGTACAGCACCATTTCGTCGATTTCTTCTCTCAGCAGTTGCCAGAATGGAGGATCGAGTGGCATAATTCGACGTCTAAGACTCCAGCAACGGGTGATACAGACATACCCTTTACGAACCTCATCATCACACGTGATCCGCCGTGGGCCCAAGCTGGCGATGTTAGTCGACTGACGTTAGTTGCGCATTATGACAGCTTGTATCATCCGGAGGGGTTTATTGGAGCTACAGACAGCGCTGCTCCTTGCGCCGTGTTGATGCATGTAGCCCGCAGCATCGACAAAGCTTTGACTAAGAAGTGGGAGGCTATGGAAGCTTCGGGTGACGCTGGCTTAGGAATGGATGATGAGAGGGGTGTTCAGATTCTACTGCTAGACGGAGAAGAAGCTTGGGTTACTTGGACTGATACGGATTCACTCTACGGCTCAAGGGCACTGGCTGAGAGTTGGGAATCTAAAGTACACCCAGCTCTTTCGACGTATCGAACCCCTCTTGATTCGATCAGTCTCTTCGTGCTCTTAGACCTTCTTGGAGCACCTAACCCACATGTTCCCTCGTACTTTTTACCCACGCACTGGGCATATCGCAACATGGCCAAGATAGAAGAAAGGATGCGGAAGCTGGGCCTTCTGAATTCGGACTCGAATAAGTTATTCCTCCCGGATTCTGAAAAGCAGGCATCGCAATTCTCTAGAGCATATGTCTTGGATGATCATGTGCCTTTCTTGATACGAGGGGTCAATGTGCTTCATGTTATCCCTTCACCTTTCCCGGATACTTGGCATACTATGGAAGACGATGGCGAACATTTGGATGTACCAACCCTGGGTGATTGGGCCAAGATTGTTACAGCGTTTGCTGCAGAGTGGATGGAGTTGGATGCATTCTTGAGTAAACCGCTCTCGTCGAAAGAGGAGGGGGCGGTCAGAGACAGGTCAGAGTTATGAAGCAAGCTGGTTGAAGTGTACTATAGCATTTGGGAGTTGAACTTTCAATATGAACAGCTTAGATACCCACTACCTAGCATTGGATGAATGTTAACCTTTCATCATGGGTTCATGTTCTTTCCTAAGACCATACCGTATAAAAAAGTGATATAACCTTGCAAAAGACAATAAGGAATCGTATTTCATTAAATAAACCTTCGTGATCGTAAAAAAGGTTAAGCAACTTAAGCTACATTGACGTACCTGTAATTACGGGGCTAGACGTTAAAAAGCGGGTATTCGAGCACCTAAGCTTATCGATAGTTTAGAACCACGTCAGCCACAACGACAGCAAGCAGCAACGGCCAGTAAAAAAAGTGGAACGGGGAACTGGCATCTTGTTCAATTGACCTAAGCTTCGCGCAATTCGCAATTGCACCTTCGGATCTCGAAACCCAATTCCAAGCTGCCATTGCACCAACGTAAAGCAACGACAGCCCCGACCATGCGATTCCTATCCTCCTTCGTTACGCCCTTGCTCCTGGCTGCTGGCGCGGCTCAGGCAGCTTCGTCGTGGGGGTTTGACGATGCCAAGCTTACCGTGAGCGGAAAGAAAGCTGGCGGCAGCAAGGAGAAAGATGTTCGAGAGTATGTCCCACACAAATGACTTTGCTCGTGAAATCCAATGTCAGAACAAAGCAATGTTTTAAAATACATACTAACAAAGTGTATGTTAGGTTCGACGGCAAATCTCCCTTCCTCTCGAAACCCGTGAACTTCGATACATCCGACACATTCAAGCTCAAGCTTAAGACGCAAGAGAATGGCAAGGGCAAGCGTGCGCACCAGGCATTCCTCGTCTTCCGTGAACCTACCTCCGGCCTCGAGGCCCCCTTCCCTCTGACCGTGAAGGATAGTGGAAAGGCGACTGTTGAGATTGTACGTCAATACTTCGCCTTAGTTATCATACACTTATAAGCACTTGTATTCTAACACTTCCCGCAGAAGCAAAGCGATCTCCCCATCCAACTCGCCATCTCGAACAAACCCCTTAAGGCCTCTCTTGTGATCGCCTCATTCGGCTCCTCCGAAGGCTTCAAGAAGGACATCTTCGACGTCCAGGTCACCCGCGACCCGATCGCCGCGCCCATCGCCTACGAGAAGCCGCTTCGCTACGGCAAGCTCCAGGAGATCCACCACATCTTCAAGGACGACCCGAAGAGCCCCCCTAAGATAGTGTCTCTGGTGTTCGTTCTTGCTATATTGGCTGCGATTCCGGGTCTCTTCATCGCCGTATGTTCTACCCGCCCCTGTAGTCTACTCTTCTATGTAAGGTATCCTAACTAATAATATCAACGAACAGTGGGCCATCCATGGCGCCAACCTCGCGCACCTCTCCAAGGCCCTGAATGCCGCCCCCGTCGCACATGGCGTCTTCTTCGGCTCCCTCGTAGCCATGGAAGCCGTCTTCTACCTCTACTACGCCACCTGGAACCTGTTCCAACTCCTTCCCGTCGCCGGTGTTATCAGCACCGTCACTTTCCTCAGCGGCACCAAGGCTCTCGGCGAGGTCCAGAGCCGCCGGCTAGCCGGTGAGCGATAAGCAGTGTAATCGTGTTTCTCTATTTCTCTGCGGATAATAGGGGCGGGCCGTTTACGCGTTACGGGCTAAGGGGGGAGGACTTCTAGTGGAAGCCTATGTACTTTAGTCTGGGGCGTATGATACGATGCGATTCAGGGCACGGTGTGACATATGACTGCGTATGGCGCGCCGGAACTGGACTCGGGCTGGCTCGGCTCGGTTTGCCTAGGTGGAGGGGAAAGGTGTAGATAAAACGAGAAGATAACGAAAAAGGAATGTATAACAGACTACAGAATATCATTCCGTAGCCCTTGTGCTCTTGTGTATGCTATTGCTGGTACTCTCCTATGATCCAAAAGTGGGTCATCAAAGTCAGTTAAATTCCAGCTTCATCTTCATAACAAAGGAAAAGGAATTGCACATCCATATCACAGCACCAATCAAGCCTATCACTCGTCATCATAGGAGCATTGTTCATATCATTTCTCTTTATCCCGCGTACCCCATCACCACAATGCGATATCTACATCGCATTGCATCGCGATGGACTAGGCGCCTCATTAATACTACTTCACCTTTCTATCCCTTAGCAGGCACCCAAGGGGTACCTCGGCCGTCAAAACACGCCACGATGAGAGGAGATCCATATCAGCATCAGTCCCTCCCCATACGCTGCGCTCCCCTCTCTTTTCTATTGCAATTAAGACAGTCGATGCATGCGACCTCCCTTCCCTGACCGTAGCTCCCTAGCTCCATTTGCCTAGCCAATACGTTACATACAGCGAAGTATATCCCTAGCCAGGTTTCTCTCCAGTTTTTTAAGTTTCTATTAAAACAACGTAAAAGGGGGGGAACAAGCCCGACCGTATGCAGAAAGGGCCCCGCGTTCTCCCGGAATAAAGGGGGGGGATGGTGGTGGTATTTCCAGAATCGTACATCAATCAAATCATCCACTGCGGGCTCGAGCCCACTATTCTCTATCTTTTAGCAGTAGGTAGGAGAGTAGGGGAGGTTAAAGTGGCATTTTACTGCGACTTCTTCCCGTTCGCGTCGCCGTTCTTCAGGAGGCCGAGCTTCCGCTTGTTCTCCATCTGCTTCTCGTAGGGGATGGTAAGACAATTGATGCCGAGGAAGTTGCAGATGCTGGTGGTGACGAGGTAGGCCCAGCGCGAGTAGACGACGAAGGCGAAGACGAAGTAGGCGCAGAGGTAGTAGTACTCGAGGTCGGCGGAGATTGGGGGGAGGCCGAGGCGGGGCAGGTTGCCGACGACGGCGCCGCCGACGAGCGGCACGAGCATGACGGTCCAGTAGGGGAAGGGCTGGCGCGTCAGGTGCGCGAGGATCATCTTGGTCGTCATGCGGCCGAAGACGAGCGACATGGTCAGACAAAAAAGGACGAGGTGGTTCTCGCGCAGGAGCGTCGAGTGCGGCGAGTACAGCCACGCGCCGATCGAGATCGTGTACACGCCCATCGGGATCCACTCGAGGAAGACGGGCAGCACGGGCAGCTTGTTGCGCCGCCGCGCCTTGACCACGTTGAGCACGCAGAACGGCATGTGGCCAACCACCAGCGAGGCGACGATGATGAGGATCCAGATGTCCCGGACCGAGTGGTCGCCCACGAGCTCCTCGTAGCCGAAGAGGTACTTCTTCCCCACGATGTCCACGATGCGCTCCGTCCAGATGCCGGGTCCGTAGATGCCGGAGATCGCCATGAGACATGATGCGATGAGGAGGCCTTCGGTCGGGCCGTTGATGTAGCCTAGGTATAGAGTGTGCGTGTGGTAGGTTTCCCACGTTGAGAAGAACATAGGTAGACAGGGGCATAGGGCGGTGAAGACGCCCGACTTCGAAGTTCCCAGCGCCATCGCGGCCGTCTCTAACAAGCTGCCGAGGGTGCAGTTCAAGGAATCGATGCCGTGGTCGAAGAGCTCTCCCAAACCGCTCGAAGTGCCTGTTCGTCTCGCCTGCTTTCCGTCGATGTTGTCCATGGTCTGGTACATGAAGAGGCCGAATGCGAAGCTAAGGTACAGCCATGACGGGCCCTAAAGTTTACCCAAATCGTCAGTCTAAGCGCGAACCGACAAGTTCGCATCATTGAGTGTCGCGACATACCGGTCCAACTAAATCCGGCATAAATATTACCAGTAAAGCGATATTTACTAGAATGAAGCAGAACCCTATCAGGGTCACCATGTTAGGAGCTAGCCATAATGGCATGAGCTCGACGACGGCATTCCACTAGGTCCAGTGAGTCTTAGTATTGCATACACGGTACGAGGACGGCTACGGGAGTTTGTGACGTACGTATGGACGAAGGATATAATTCGATACCGGCGACTTATCGACAGCGGAGTATTTATAGGATTTAAGGTGGATGAGGGCATCGTCCGAGATGCACTCGGCAACGGCAGTCTCTATACATGGGTACAGATCTGGTTAGAGCTGGATGGACCGCGTTGGGGGTATGGGGAATGGGTTAAAGATCCTTCTACATACTACTATTGTTCGGAGCCATCGTGAAAGGCTAGCTCTGTCCGCTTCGCAGGAAAAACCAACGTATAGTTCGCGATCAGCTCAGATGCGAAGGATGCAGAAAAAGTCGGAGCTAGCGAGGACTCGGTAAAAATCGGCAGTATAGTAACGTGGTGTCGAATGCAGGTTAGTTACCATGGAACTTTTTTTCGACTGCGCCGGTTTAGATCTTAAGATCTTAGATAGACGAAACTTGTCGACTTGGGGGAAAATATTCACTCCCACGGTTAACTAACTGCTAGTTGACCGAGTCGACTCCATGAGATGCTTCTAGTAGGCAGACAAGATCCTCCAGACGAGTATGTAGGCGATGGTGGACGGTAGCGAGTGGCACAACTGTGTCATGAAGGTTGTATAGGGAAAGTCGGCAAGTCGGTGTAGTGGTTGCTGTGAAAGGTAGAAATCTCATTGAAGGGTGCGGTCGGTATAGTGGGGCCATGATTTTCGTCGCTTCTGGGCTCTTTCTAGCGGTTCCACATGCAAAATACGTAAATATATGCAAATAGGGTGCAGAATCCGAGAACGTGGGTTTGTTAGATGACCTATCAAATTAGACCGTTGCGCGACGGTGCCCCTATTTTTCCTTCTCTTTTGGCAGGTTCCATTTGACTTGACCAAACAAAAGGAATAAAATCCCATCAATCAAGATATGGGAATCATTACCGGTTTATGAGTTTTATGACGCCCAGTTCAATAGGTGAGCTTAGCTGAGCTGACATGTGAAATCGAATCAATAGGTACAAGCTACAAAATACTAATAGCCGATGTTTAAGTCAGAACTATTACATGCCGTGGAACAACTCAAGGATTTAGCTTAGAACTTTATTGTTCCTACTATGTACTCACCACAAGCGAATCTATGATTAATACACGTAAGGGATCATAGATTAGTTTCTTCCACTTTCTTTTCATATGCGAGAAGACAAAGAGGTATGAGTTGGGTCTTCGTAAGAGACCAGGTCTTCATTCGATTCAATTATTAGTGGTGAGCCTTGTGCTCAAGCGTCCCTCGTTTGGACTCCGTTTTGTAAGTTTGCTGTACAGCAAGACAATATGTACCCGAATCCTCAAATTCTGTGGCTTTCCCAAATTCAAATACCAAGCTCCTATGCTCCAAATGATATTATATCAGCGTATGGTGTGCATCTATGCAACCTTGCTGATGTGTTAATGATGAGTCGTCGTCCCCTCCACGTTTGATGAAGCTCGTTATGTGCTGCAAGGACAGCGTGGTGAATATGTCCGCTGCCCCGACCACAGCTTCCATCTTCATCGAGAATCGTCTAGCATCGTCCTCATGGCCAACCCTCGAAGTGGCATCACTGAAAGGCTAAAGGAATTGTTCCATCCTTTCTACATTACAGCAGGAAGACTCCCAAGCTAACACTAGCTGCGAGTATAACAAAACCAAACAAGCCATCGTTCGCGCCAAGACGGAATGCGGCGTTGTCGTTGTTAGAGTCACTGCTACCAGCCAAGCCGGTGTAGACGGCATTGGAGTCTGTGGCTGTCGCACCGGTCGCCGTCGCCGAAGAGCTCGCGCTCGACGTTATGTTAGCTCTAACCGGGTTCAAGGCACCGCAAGGGTGGTCCTCCCGGCAGGCGCTGGAACATGAGTTGTCCTGTCCACAGTTCTTCACGCATTGGTTTCCCCATTCTTGGCAGACGAAATAGGGAAGAGTGAGCGAGTATTCCGATATGTTAGGTTGTTTCTGGTCTCCGCAGATGCAGCCGTAGGTCAGGGTTTTCTAGCGGGCGAAAAGTCAGCTCATGAAGATCGGCAGGCCTACTATTTCAGTGTTGAAAACTTACCGGGTCGCAGTCGTTGACCAGAGTAGTTCCGGGAGAAGTCTGCTGGCAGATCAAAGGGCACGTGCTCTTCTCGGATGCACACCAATTGTCTATATATCGTGTTAGGTGCCGCTGAGTTAAGATACGTTCGACAAGCTATGGCAGGACCTACTTCTGTCAGTCAAAGACACACTGTTGGGGTCAATGACATAGTCAGCCCGGACGGACGAGACGAAGACGACGGCCGCGGCCAAGATACTCCTTATCGAAGGCATTGTGATGTTGGAATTAGGTGTCGTTAAGTATGGTTAAAACGGAATCGTTTGCTACAGTTGCTCACACCCCTCGTGCTATTAGAACGACCGTGTAGTATTAAAGATGATATACAATAGAAAGAATTAGGTTCAGATATAAATATTAGAAGTGAAGAATTCACCGGCCGACCGAGTTTTAAAACGAGAGAAAACGGTCACTAGGATACGAAGGGGAAACGACAGGAATGTTGAGAGAAAAGGAAGATCTGGAAGAGCTCCAAGATGGACGGACCGGGGGTTGAGCTACATCTTGTATATTCGATATTGTACTGTATGGGGTACATAACCGGTAATGAAAAATAAAGGAGATATCCAGTATGGATACCCTGTCCGGTGATGGTCTCAGCGCTATCTCCCAGACCTCCAGGCCTCTCAGCTCGGCTTATTAGTGGCTACCTTTTATCGGTTGGACAGGGATGGCCGACATCTATCGACCTACCTATTTGTACTGTCGATGTAGCGAGAGTCGCACCACAGCGATGCGATGCAAGTAGGAGGATCACGAAATACCTACCTCCTAAGGTACCTTGTCGAGGATTCTCGTTTTGACGTTTCCTACATATGTCATTGGCTTCGTTTTTGCATACGAGGCATTCCCGTTAGAACCTAAAATCTTGAAAACCTTGGCTTAGACTCGACGAAGACTCTAGAACTCGAGTTCTCGTGAGAAGACTGGCTATGATGTAGCTAGCTAGGTAGCTACTACGCAGTACCTTGGCCTTCGCTTTTCCAGCTCCCAGGCCGATCTCTCTTAATGTCATCCAGAATGCGCTCCCAAGCTTCCCTGACTTCCCTGCAAAAGTCCGGACAAGGTCTCACCAGACGCTAATGTAAAGCTCCAGTTTAGTCTCAGAGCCTCAGGAAGCACAGGAAAGTCGTTGGCGTGCGACCTGCCAAATGCCAAATGCCAAAATAAAATTCCCGTATGTTTGCGATGTTTCACTCAAATAAACCGAGGACGGATTCAGTCTAGTCCAGCTTACGGCAAATTTATCGCTGATCATCTGCATTCATCATCCGATATCCATCAAGTTGGTTCATCAATCACCCAATGTCGATTCGACATCGCGGAAAATACGGGCGTTGTCTCTCACATTACTGTAATTCAGTTATCAGGCCCCAGAACCTAACGTGCTGTTATGTAGGGTCTCTACTTATTTAGTGTAGCTGACCTACACTAGCAAGTATGGATCCCACGGGTATCTGCGCTCGTAGAAAGGCCTGTGGAGATTCCCATTGGGCGAGAGTAGCATCAGGTGCCGTTTGGGGAAAGCGAACTTCTCGACTTTCTTCGACTTTTTGCCATGGTCCTCGTTCTTGCCGCGCCTCCGGCGTGGGCTAGCGTTGCTAGCCTGCTAGCAGGAGGCATCAATCCTCGTATTGCAGGCCAGGATGGTTGGACTGCAGAATCCGAAGCGTGATGTCGCATGGGACCTACCAAGTATTTCACCTTCGCTTAAAGGCTATGTGTGTGGGTTGACGGCGAATTCTACTGCACGCACTTAACGAAGCCAAGTAATTCTCCGTCTAATGTTGTGTTAATATGTTCTAGTAGACGAAACGATATATGTATGATGATGTTAATTGTCCGGGTAGATAACACTTGCTAACCTCATCATGATTAGTCGCTAAAGAATCCCTAGAGAGTCCCTAGAAGATATGACGATTCCAACAACCTATCGACGTAACTTCGCAACTCTCGTAGCGAAAGGAATGCCACTATTTTGCCCCCGCAACGAGCAAACGCTTTTATGAGACACGGGAGCCTGGTTTTTGAAGTCTTAATCAAGGTCTTTCGTTGTCTTTTCAGACAAACGACCGAAGTCCCCCGCATTATTAGCTGGTATTAAGTAACATTGTTTGATAAATCCCAGCCTCTGTTTTTTTTCTTCCTTTCTCCAGCTCAATCCCGTGGTTCTATCTGCAATGGCATCTGCTATATCCCAAGTTGGGCAGGTAGCGGATTCCGCTGCTGAATTCGATCGGTATGATTGTAGACAGTGCGCATTCCTCTGCATCGGAAGAGCAACCTGCATGTAAGTTTCCAGCCCCTCAGTGGTTTGACCATTCTCTCCAGGAAATATCCTCAGACACCGCTTCAAGTTCCTCGGAAGTTTGGTCTCCGCATTTAGATACGTGTATCCTACCTAGGTGTAGAAATACGTAGGATATAGGAGATTAGAGAACATGTCAAAAATCAAACAAAATGAAGTAAATACTACGCACCAAACATGTATGATTCGGAATGGACAGGATGGAGTCTAACACATAAATCCGCACAGATACCTAGGTAACCTCACACAGTACGACGGAATAACGCCGATATGCTGCGGCGGATCTTACGACCTCACCCGCAGCCGCAGCTCCCGGTATATACTGCAGGATCTCCGTAGGTCCGCCCTCTGAAAGGCATACCTACTTATTCTCACCTGTTTTCGGAACTATAGAGGACGTCTTGACCGCTGCTTGCCTTGTATTTCCACCATGGCCTTTTAAGACATGCCAGCCTACACATCAGCAGCTAATGCAACGTAATCTCAATTTGACGGATCGACACAAGACACCATGCACAGCTTTTTTATTTGATGAGTCTCACAGCATATCACATATCGTATGGTGCCTTCAGTTGGACGTCTGGTTGCATCTGCTTCGCCACGGCGTTTCAGAGACCCCTAATGCAACTCTACAAGCCAAGAAAGGGAAATTTCCTAGCAGTCGTTATGATCTCCAAATACTCCGACTAACCAAGCACTATAGTCCTGGCGGTTTACATATTAGGGAGCACATTTCCCCGTCAATCACAACATGACCGGGTATCTCTTCAAATGTCAATCAGCATAAGAAATGCAGTAACAGAAGCCATTTTCACGCCACACCTATCTTTTTCCACCAACTATTATCTATCGTACAGAATTCCCACGGCGTGTTATTCCACTCGTGGATTTATTAGATCATGGTTTTCAAGCCTATAATCTAAGTAGACACCCTATGCCTACGATAGTATATCGGAATGAGTTTATGTTTTGCATTCAGCCCAATGGATGAGTCAAAGCTCCGAACTCAACAGGGCATTGCGGTTCTTTGCCATTTAGCTCTTATATGATCGCAGCAATACTCTCTGCTTCCACGAGCAGTTCATAGTAACATCTACTAGAATAATCACAGGATGCTACATTGGCATAATCACTTTCCATCGTATAACGAGTTATCCCCTTCGCTTCCTGATCAACGCTAACCGCCGACCATAAAGCGTGTAAGTTACCTAAAGGGGTAGAATGGGGATGGCTGATAGTATGATGGGTTCATACATGGGAGCTGATTTTGTTAAGCCGACATATAATCTACATACAATTCACAGAATGAGACAGTGCATCTCTTAAGCTCCTATCTACTAGATACTTCAGACCGACGAAATACACATACACAAAGCAAAGATTTTGAGAAATCACAAGTTGGATAGTGTTAAGAAACGACACGATTCAACCCGCTACATGGAAAGTTAGATATCAAACAGTTCATACGAACCATCATAAAACACCAATAAGATTTAAAGAAGCATTTGAAATGAGGTCGTGCTACATGTAACTTACTCGAGCGTCTCATATGAGTACAATATGGATGTATTCAACGTCGCTGTCGAAGAACTTGAACCAGTAGATAATCGATAAGGCTTACAAACCCCTGACAATCGTCCTTGCCGAGCCTCGAAAGTTTACGTGGGCTGTTCTTACTCCCTAGGTCTCCCCCACGTCGAACGATCCACCCACCAATCAGACGGTTTGCGCTGAACTAAACAAGTACAAGGGTACACCATCCAATTGAGTCTTGTATGTTCGATTTAGCGCAAGTCTAAACTCTCAAAGAACTTCATTTTTCGACTAGTCAATTTCTATCCCTTCCAGTCGCCAACTATACTCAACCTTGTACGTAATTTGCTACTTTTCGCGCCTTGTTACTCACGACGATTTTTGGAGAGACGTTCCTTCGTATATACGCGTTGATTTGAAAGCGTGTCTTGGCCAACCGCATTTGCGGATCCTAACAACACTCCACGATTCGTCATCATCCTCGAGACGATAACTGCGCCGCGCGCGCATAGATGGATAAATGGCGTCGGCAGTAGAAACTCAGGTTCCAATTGCCATGGGAGGCAGCGCAATAGACGGCATGATGGACGGAGGCATTCACAAAAACTTGTCGCAAGCTACCTTGCGCCCAAATCCACCGCCATCTCCACCCGCAACTGAGACAGACACCGAGACAGATTCAGACGCCCCGAATACACCACAGTCGCAATTAGATCCTAGGGCAAGAATTGCATCACCATCGTTAAGCCGTGGGATGGAGATGAGCACGCCGGATTCTAATGTAAACAATGCCTCGCCCGTGACTTCGCCGATAACATCACCCATAACATCTCCGCCATACTGGATGAACAACCACTCGAACCACACGAGAGCGATATCGAGCACGTCCGTCGACTCCATACCCACAGGCGGCATCGTGCTGCGAGACAACGAAAATAGCGAGCTCGACGATCGGGGGAGCGCGTGCTGGGCCAAGAGCGTCGAGATCACGGACTACGTGACGGTCAATGGCAGTACTACCAACATCGGAGCCTTCGTGGTTTGGAACATAAGAGTGGGGACTTTGAGCGTGAGTCTTGCGAAATCGGTTCTTGAAATCTTGAAGAAAAGGCGGTGGGAGCATGGGCTGACACGAGCTTTCTACAGGGGAGTTACATAAACATACGGAAGCGATACTCGGAATTCGACGACTTTCGATGGCGGCTGATACGCACGTTTCCCAATTTCGAAGCCGCAGTGCCCGAGTTGCCGCCCAAGAGCATCGTCTCGAAATTCAGGCCTAAGTTCTTGGAGAAGCGCCGCGCTGGCCTACAGTACTTTATGAAGTAGGTTGCCACCTTAAAACATTGTTAAAAGAGAGAATTATTAACCGGCCGGTAGCTGTGTATTATTGAATCCGGAATTCTCTGGATCACCCGTTTTGAAGGAGTTTCTCTTTTCATGACACATAACTTATAGCCAGCTCAGGCTTAAATGACTGGCACGAGGTAGTGCACGATTTGGACGCACGTTACGAAGTAATGCTAATCTTGTATGAACACAATCGCTTGGAGCTTGGATACCCGGGGCGACACTCGGAAGTTGAGATGGATTTTGGACATACCATTGCTTGGGCAACTTCTTTTTCCACCATTTTATTCGTGGTACATATAAAAAACCGATGTATTATCCCCGAAGTTCGGTAGTCTTCAGATGTAAATTTCATCTAAGCAGAGGACCTTTCCATGTAAATTCTGTTCTTACCGAATGGGAATATACTCTTCCTCTAGACCCGAAACCAAGTCTATCTATGTCATAACCTTATGTAACCGCGAATGAATCATCAAACGATCGAAGAGAAATTTACCAAAAAAAAAAAACTGCGACTGGCAAAAGACACGATCCCGCCAAGCAATAACCGGTTCAGCAAGAACGCTCGGTCACAAACGCCTCGTCTATGCAACCGCGGTTACCCCTTTAAAACCCCCTTATGAATCCTAAGAGTGAATAATACACATTACGAACCCTCTCGGCCCCGGGAGGTTTGCTGGTTTTTGCATCTAATGCCGTCATTTTATTTTTCGTTCATCCCACTCCCCCTTTTTCTATATCCTATCCTACGTTCTCCGCTACCGTTCCCAGGTAGGCAGAAATCCTCGTAAAATAAAAAGAAATCCGAGCCCAAACACCAGTAAGGGTGGGTGGGACCGGGCTCCTCACTTCTGGCTGTTGATCATGCTGAGGTAGCAGTTCCAGCCGATGCTGACGAGGTTGACGACGAGCACGCGGTGCTCGAGGGGGACGAGGGTGAAGTTGGCCATCTGGACGAAGGGCCAGATGAGGTAGTTGGTCTGCAGCGCGGGCCAGTAGCTCTTGGCCAGCTTCTCCTTGGGCGGGCCCCCTTCCATGACGGCCATACTCGAGAGGAAGACGCCGATGAAGGTCGGCGCGAAGAGCAGCTGGTCGGCCGCCACGCGCGCCACCATCTCCGCCTTCTTGTTCCGCAGCTGGATCGACCGCTGCAGGATCCCGTACCAGGTCGTCGCCGCGGGGCCGAAGACCGCTGGGGGATGTTAGCTTTTGATCATTGAATTTTTTTTATTTTTTATTTATTTTTCCTTCCTCATCGTGTCCTCTGCGGAAATGTAGTACATATAATAGTAGTATAAAGTGTTGTGGGGTAAAAGGGGGGGCTAGTCAATAGAAAAGGGGGGCATTTTGGGGTAAGGGGAGAGCTATGTTGTTGAGGGAATTGACCCACTACTAGCTTAATGTGGGGTAAAAAGGAGGTGAGGTGTAAGGTGAAGTGAGAAACGGTGAGGTCCAGTGAGAAATATTCAAGCTCTGATATGAGCTCAAAAAAGCTCCAAAAAAGCTCAAAAAAGCACGAATAGAAGATGGACAGAACGTACCACCACCGTAAAGGAACATGCGGCCTGTGCGGGCGAGCTCGTGCTTCTCAAGTCCCTTTTTCTCGACGGCCTGTTGGGCAGTGATGTCGCCGACTGCGAATAGCACGGCAGTGGTGACGCTCTGCGTCAATAACGGCCGGGAGGCCAGCTTTCGTTGGTACCTGCGACGGCGAGTTAGTATCTCATCTATACATTCCAATATCGAAGATCATGATCATGAAGGCAATTAATATGCCGAGGTGACATTCATCCCACCTACCAGCGAAGCATGGTTGCGTTTCGAATGCCTTTACTGAAGGGCCGATAGTTGAATTTGGAGTTGGAAGTGGTGGTTTGATGCAAGTTTTTAATTGTGGGCTACATACAGCAGACGATTGAGAGCTTGCGGCTAATTATTTTTTAATCTTGTAAGCGGTGTGAAATGTAATGATAGTCCCGTTAGCTGCTTAGCTTCGCCAATAGGAACTATCTGGCGTCATAAGCTAAATTAATTCATACAACGGGGACATTCTTTCTTTAACCTGTATATAAGCATAAGATTCCCCCTATCAGCACGTAGCCATTCAAACACCTAGTTAACTATAAGTTGATATATGTGACTTGATGATTCCATACATTATTGTTATCAAGGTATGTTTGATCTTAAATCAAGTTTGCCCCCTTGGTTTCACCGAAGATGGCGCCGAAGCTAACGATTTCATAGTAACCTAAGTCGGAACATTGCTAGTACTAATATCGTACTATCGTCGTCTATGGCATGGTGTGATTCTGTGCGGCTCTGTTTTAGTGTTGGAGTTAGTTCAAGCGTACTACTATTTAGGTAAGTGCTTAATGCCCTTTCTACCTGTGTAGGTACTCAGTATCTATGACCATCTTACAGGCAGTCGTTAATCTGATCATATAGAATAGGTATCTTGCGTCCTTCTATAAACAGCCACATCCTCTTAATTGTCTCCCCATTATTATTATATTTCATTGACATGCACTCTAATATTTATCGTAGAGTCGCGTTCTATTAGGGGATAATGGCTTTGCTCCCCTGTCTGCAAGCCACCGGCGGGCCTCTTGCATCTGCCCTTCACTCGAGACCGGGCTCACAACTGACGGCCCTATTCCCTAGCAACTTCACCTCACCTATCCAAGACTATCTACGACATCAATCTTATGTAAGTACTCAAAGGATGCTTTCAGGCCGAAAGTATTCGAAATGATTAGGTAGACGCCCTGAACACGCACCTCGACCAATACGACTTCCAGAGAACGCGTTAGTGTGGACGAAAAAAAGAGGAAGCAGGACTCCAATGGTTGCACTGAAGACTACTTGGGTACTGTTAGGTATGGCTTGCAGTTGGGGGATTCCAGTTTCATGGATAATGCATCCGACCGATATGCTTCTGATGCTTCTAGTTGCTACTTCCTGCTGTAGTGATCCCGAGCCGGTGTTAACCGGAGATTGCTAAGGCCCCTGGGGCCCTAGGAACCAGGTAAAGAATGACTAAATACATGAGAAACCATCTACTGTTTTTATGTCTTGTTCTTTCCTTCGCTGTCTCTTCTGTCAGTTGGTATCCAAGAACTCTCCAGGCACCATCGTTTATAAGCAGACTTTCACCCCCGTCATTAGTCTCTCTCTCCCCCGCCCCCGAACGCTCAACTGGCCATTGTACGCCGTCTATCGAGCTGTTTATGTGGCTTTGTCTCCCAAAGAGTGGTCTAAGGGTTTTCTTTCTGCACGTCCCAACTCTCTAATGGGCCAGTCACCGCAGTTAATCCATCAGCAAAGTCCGACGTAAGTGGTTCCCAGTTTGGAGACATCTCTTGCAGTCCAACGAGAGAGATGAGTTCATCAAAGGAGCTTGAATCTGGAAGCTCAGAATGTAGAGAATCAGTTACCTTGTTGGCGGTAGTCGAGTCGTACTGATAGTTTGATGTATCTGTTGTTTTCCGGTTATCCCCCTCAGCGATAGGTATTTTATTTAAAATACCAGCTAGTGTGTGCGCACCAACTTCAGCCATGCTGCTCACCTCTGCAAGCATACGTAGACGATTTAGAGATCTATGAATCGCCTGGATACATTCTTCTCGTGTGAGGTTAGTTATCCCGACGCGAAGGGGGTCTCTCTTGGCCTTGGCCTCACTATTGAGGGGAGCATCATGGTTAACCCCTGGGAAGTCCAAATCCATGCACTGGTATGCCAGAAGTACTGCCGCTTCAAAGGTATAGAAAATGATTCCAGGAAAACGCGTGTGAGAACCCCCCATCATCGTGTGTAAGATAGTAACTCCATCTAGTACGTGGAGCGCAGCCACGGCCAACCCCCTTTTCTGGGATGACAGCAGCACACGCTTGTATGCCGGAAGGCTCTGGATATAGCCCATATCCTTTGGGAGCAATGGCCGATAGTTCCAACAAAGAGATTCAAAGATGAAGATGTGTAAGAGCTGTCTCTGTAGTGGAAGCTTGGGGAAACGCTTGTCCCACGACTTATCTGGGTGAAGCTTAAAACTGGATGGTAAGCTCGTAAGAAACTCGCTACAGAACTTTTCATACCTATCCTCAGCTTCCGTTATGACGTATTCAGAGTCTTGTATCGGCCCTAAATTCCTCCAGAAGTCGAAGAGGCGGGCTTGAAGAAGACGAGAGGTGAATTCCTCCGGTACGTCAGCTTCCGATTGCGTACCACCATTTTCGGCGGACACAAGTCGCATAAGAGGCCAGTTCCTCAAGCCACTAGGCAGGAAAGGGACGCGGTCGAGTTGTCTTGACGAGATACTGTCCCAGATATAGAGGTTACAAAATGTCCTCCGTCGCATTTCCCTATCTAACTCGTTCAATCCGTGCCTCGAGGTCACTGCATCACTATGAAGGCCGATGCTCTGAGCCACTCTGATGGTATGGTTAAGAGCTTCGCAAAAGGCGTTGCTCTTCCCTTCACTGAGGTATCTTAATCCAAGAAAGGCTAAATGTTGTACCCGAAACAGAGAGCCGCGGCTGTCGCAACGGTTACAGATGGCTGCCAGCTTCGTCGCAATATCGTCGCAGGTATGACGTATGTCGGCTAGCGAAACACCCCGTATTCCATCGAGTGTATAGGATGGAGACGGCAAGAATTGAGATGCATACGAGCAAATCCTCAGTATAAGCACTGCAAACTCAACTTCAGACACGCGTGTTAACTGTCTGATAGCCCACCACCGCTGGTATTGCGACAAAAACCACGGGGGGTGTATCAATTGGTCCATCCTACCCCGACAAGGATACGTTAATTAGGTGTTGTTAGAGCAGCTCAAGGCATTATCGTGACTTGAACTGGTATAAAATGCGGGTTAGCACTAACCAATTAACTTCAGACATAAAGTATTGCACTAAGAAATCCACTACCTGGCGATCGGGAATCCGGTCCATGTCTCGTTGCACCTCGTCGATGATGTTAGGTGTTAAACGTTGACGAAGGCCATGTCGGGTTTCTTCCTCGTCCAATCCCAACTATCTCGTATGAGCTTCTGTTTCTATCCATACTCACTCTTTTACTTCTCTCATAGCCACAACTTACATTTCGAACCACTGCAGCATCTAGAGTTAGCAAAGTTTCTTTCTAGATGGGCTGAGAACAAATCCAAGGCACCACGAGCAGTCGTACTCGTGTAGTACGATGGGAAGCTAGAGGAGAACTCCAGATGGTACTCACGAGCCAATGTATTGAGACTACTATCCTCGAAATAACCATACAGTTCGGCCAGCGAATGTTTGGGTTCCGGATTTATACGAGAGTAATTATTGCTTGAAAGATCTAGTGGCAGACCGACATTCTTCTCGTTCTCGTTCTCATTCTCGTTATTCATGCGCTCTTTTTGTGTTTCTGCCAAGCTGGTGGTCTGGACAGCTTGAGAGGGGTAGTAAGCACATTCCTCTGGCCGGCGACGTCGAGTGCAATTATTGCAAGGATACTCGTGATTGCACTAATATTCATTAGGCATTTTATTATCGCATATTTGAAAACTACCGTGAGTGGCGACGATGAAATTGAGGAAGTAGGAGTTTAGATGCACCCACCTTTTGCTTTTTTGAGTAACATGGTATGCAGGACGATACGGGGCGTTTCCGGCCGGTACCTTGCATCGTAACTGTAGGAGTTTATAACTGGTTCCTACCATGCAAGCAGTTATTAATTGAAGAACGTATAGGCAATTTGCTTTAATCCATATACAGCCAAAGGTGTCTTGAAGCCGTTTTAGCGTTATCAATTGAAATAGGTCATGGCTACGTTGATCTTATATCTAAGTCTATTATGCACGAGACTTGCAGTATCCTAAAATTGCACAGCATTAGCGTGTGTTATATAGGTACTTAAGATACCTACGAACTTCGTAGCCTACAGTGGCATTTTCTAACTGACGAATCATGATATATCATTATCAGATGTGGTCAGAAATCTCCACTAGCTCTCTTTGCAGTCCGGGTTGTTGGATATAATGTCAGCATTGGCGTGCGGCACAAAACGCCCAGGTTGGGGTCTTTTGACCCATTGTGGCTTTAAATCTTAAGCCACTAACACATATGTAGGTAGGCATGGCCAGATCTATATTTTCAGGTGTTCAGGAAAAGTAATTCGTTCGTGCCGTCTGACTAAGTACATACCGAGTTATCTTTTATAACAGCGAGATTGCATGGAGAACTTCGTTTAAAAGAGTTCGCTACCCAAGCTTACCAATCTACTTCCCTCATTCCCTTGTAACTTTCTGGACAAACAACCGTGTCTACCATAGCTAAAGTTCAAATAGCAACGCTTGAGAGGCTTCTTAAGGGTCGGTGCGGGTGGACACCCGATGGGTTCCTCGCTAACTGGACTGACGACTGCACGGCCAAAACACTACCTTTTAGTTCTGGGGTGCCAAGTCGCATCCGAGCAGACACAGAACAGCATTTCCCCATGGTGATGTTGTTTATAACAAACTTCCAAGCAAGGAAGCATCTGGTATCTATACTGGTTATCAATAAGTTGTCACATAAGAATAGGAGATGTTCGACGCAGGAGCTATGGAGGACTTCCTCCCGAAATTCAACCAATATACGTCTCGGAAAAAAGCACAGGGACAAGCTCAGGGCACATAACAATCTACTCGTGATACCAACCTGAGATATGTAAATGAATAAATCCTTGTCGGAAGTAGAATTAGGTAGCTTCGTCAAGCTCCGAACTGATAGGAAGTAGACCCTCTTTCCACGTGATCTGATAGCCTCCTGGGGGTGTGTCAGGTGATATTACGTAGTACCTAGACATGCTAGACTTATTAATCTCGTTCCAGTTCAAACTTGAGAACTTAAGAAATACTACAATAACATTTACTCTATTTAATCGGGACATTATGAAATTCAGTGCAAGGAAACTAACCCATGTCCGACGGTCAAGGGGATACAGGAAACATTCGGTCCATTTTCCTGTCGTGTCAAACATGTATTCCAGCGGAAGAACAAAGTGATCACTGGGTAATTCGGTACCTATTTTAAGGGCGTTTTCGTATGTGTTGTATTAACTTCAAGTTAAAGCTTAGACAAATACTTCATAACCCTCCAGATCCCGGATTTGCTCACGTGACCGTATCTAACAAAATAAGGGGCCTCTCGACCGCCGTCTGACTTCTTCTGACCACCTCTAAAATGCGTACCATTGGATATATAAATATAAGAAAATTATATATTTACATAAATGAGTAATTGAGATATTCAGGGATTCTTGGTCAACGGGATAATAGGATTGTAATAAGCGAACCGGTTGTTTGGATCGTACTTGGCTTTGAGGTTGCGCAGCCTCTCCAACCTCCATGGTTCGTAGCCATACATAGCCTGAAGAGACTCATAGCCGGCCGCATAGTTCACATACGCCGTCGGTTTTCGTTCGGGTTGGCCGGCATTCCACAGATTCACGGTATCCCGTGCCCACGCTTTCGCAAAGTCTTCGAAGGCAGAATCCGGCGCTAGCGTAGTGTCGAAGTACCTAGATCATCGTTCATGTCAGTTAAACTAGTCACATGTGTGCTACCTACATATCTAGAATGCACTTACATTAATAGATAGTCATCGCGGAGAGGGTAAGCCGAATCTTCCGCCGGGATTTTCCGAACGCCTTCTACGGCGTAGCCTTCGTGGACCACCCTGGTGCTTCCGAGTTCGGGGTGCTCTGCGACCTTTCTATTGTATAAATCGTAGATCTGGCGCTCCGTAGTAATATTGTAGACCTGAAGGCCGGCCGTTCCTACGACGTGAGTCTGATTCGGAGTACACAACGTAGAGTTTAGCCCGCCACCCAGAACATCGTTAATCTCTATATAAGGAATATTTCCGCCTGTTAATGATGCTGCGCCGAGTGAATCGAATGGTTTGAACAATGGTTCAGCCTCTGCTTGGGGGCCATCGTAAACGAATACCCAAGCTATGGTAGCCTGTACCCTGTTAATAGATGCTTTTGAGAATAGGTGGTTTACGAATGGCCTCAACTGATGACTCACCTCAGTCTTGCTCACGGCCGTGTCCATGATATAGGAACCAAAGGTTCCAAACCACTTGGTGGACAGGCTACCATTGCCGTACATTTTGTTGAGCTCTTCAAACAATGGTTCCAGCTTGTCCCCTGTAAACTCGTAGGTCCTATAATAATATGTTTTGTTGTCCGGGTAAATCTTCGCCTCGAAACTGGTGACAATGCCAAAGTTATGTCCGGCGCCTCGCATAGCCCACCATAGATCAGAACTGCTAGAGTTACTGACGGTGATAGCTGTACCATTGGCCAACACAACGTTCATGTTGAGAATGCCGTCACTGGTCAGGCCGTGCACACCTTGCTGGTTTCCATGTCCCCCTCCGAGAGCAGGACCGAGAGTACTGACGCAACTGCAGGTTCCGGTAGCTTTAACGAGCAAAATTAGTCATCTATGGCGTTTTTGGTGGTATAGATATGGCAATCACCTGTGACATAGCCCGCAGCTGCCATTGCTTCAAGCACCTCTTGGCCATATACTCCACCTTGGAATCTCGCGCTCATCGTGTCCGAGTTGATGTGAATATCTCTCAGATTCCTTAGGTCAATCTCGATTCCATTGAACTTCCCAACGCTAGTAGTTAAAGCGTGGCCGCGATTGACCGCGTAGAATTCGATTTCATGTTTGTTGGCATATTGGACCTATTAGGTGTTAGTCTCTGCGGTTATCTTATACCTAGGTAGGTATGTAAAAGGAGAAAAATAGGTAGAGAAAATAAATCCATAGAATCGAAGTGAGAACGCTTACAATTTTTGGTACGTCAGATTCTTCTCCGGGCTGAATCACCAGCTTAACGTGAGGATGGACAATAGTATTGTACCTCTCCGTTACATTAGCCCAGTCGGAATCACTTGGTACGATGATGGTGGTGTTGTTAGATAGTAGCGAGCCTAGTTCTTGCTGGACTTGTGAAGACACCAATGTATCCCGGGTGCCTAGAAGCTGAGCCGTAAGGGGCTTAGCAAGAGCCAAAGCACACGCTGCAAGAGAGAAAAAGAGCTGCATTGTGATTATTTTCAGTTGATTTTGGGAGATACGAAACTAGAGAAGCCAGAACTGGGAGCGAATTTCTCTTGTGCCCCTATGAATTTATATTATATTCAAGCCTCCTGAGTTTGACAGCTTTTCAAATCCTTCATGAGGTATTCCAAGACATCCTGCGCCTCGCCGCCAGAAAGCATCATCGCATCTGACTTCGTTTTCAAAATCTTCAAGACCATGAGACCAATCCTACCCGAACTATTCAGCTCCAGCCAACCTAGATGAAAATAGACATTCCTCCGGAAATGGCGACAAGGCTTAGTGAGGCACATGTCTAACCTACCATACCTAGCCTGGAGGTATTCCGCAATATACTAAAGACTTGCTCGGTCTAATAGAATACATGTGATCAACGCTTCTTGTGGCCAGCATCATGCGTAGAGCATCATCGTGAGAGCGAGAAGCTAGGGGGTGTAAGTTTCTAAGCAAAGACGGTTCCCTTAAGACAAAACTAGCACGATAAGTCGTATATGTTCCAACGAGGATCTGACAAATCTGAAGAATGTTAAGCAGCTGAAGCCCTATTCCAAGAAGTCAGATTCTAGAATATTACGGTAATCCATAGGTTCCTCTAACACTGCCCAGCTGTGCAAAATACCTAGTAGGATGATGTATCTACTAATACTTTAGAGCTGAGCATGTTACACAGAGAGGATTCGTTAACAAGCTGCTTTCTCTGCTCTTGGTATATCCCTTTAGTTGGCGTAAGACTACAGCTCCACCACGATTAGTAACTGTACTTCCAGCAGCTCCTGAGCTCTACTGGCACCCGCAAAAGCTTACTTCTAGTTGGTTAAACGCCTTTGAAGATCACCGCAAGCGCCTCAACGCTTACAGGCTTAAAGGGCCTACGCTATCGCCGATGTACAATTACCGGTTTTGTGGAGACTGTAGTCTTGTGCCAACTAAAGGGATAGTAACACCAGAGCGTACCTACCTAAGCATGATTGATAGGTTGGTGGACAGTCCAAGGTATATCAACAACGTTTCGGACTTAGCGATACGGTTGTTAACGGCCCAAAAACGTTACAGTACCTATTCATTATCTGTTTTCCCGTGATCTTGGTCGATAAACTTCGGCCGATAATCTTCGGTCGACAATCTTCGGTCGACAATCTTCGGTCAACAAGTCTTGGCGGACGTAGTGAAGTTTCTTTTCCTTATATACCTACCTACTAGTGCTTATTACATAGCTTATTTCTTTTGAATATTATTTCCTTTTCAGCCCTATTTTGTCATCTGTGAATATCAGGTTCATTGTGAACATTACCTAAGTACCTACACAAAGATAGCTTATAAGAGTAAGCTCTGCCCCTGTTCTAGTGACATGTGATGCTATGACAACCTCAAAACTACACATGACATATTATAGTCACTTGCTGCCTAAAATGATCGCTATATTGTCCCTTTTCCTAGTAGCCGTTGGTGTCTACTTGTGTTATCAATGGTTTCTCCCTAAACCCCTACCAGGAATCGCGTACAATCCGGAGGCAACGAGGTCATTGTTTGGAGATGCGCCTTCTATGAGCCGTGAGCTTCATGCCACTGGTGAATTTAGCAAGTGGCTGGCTAAGCAAATTGAAAACGTGAGATCACCAATTTGTCAAGTCTTCGTTCGCCCTTTCTCCTTGCCATGGATTTTAGTAGGAGATTACCAAGAGTGCCAGGATATTTTGATGAGACGGCCAGAGTTCGACAAGGCTGGGTACTTGATTGATGGCTTGCAAGGTCTAGGCGACTTTCATGCTCGGTACAAGACGAATGGTGATTTTAGAGCCCGTCGCCATCTGAGACAGGACTTGATGGCACCGAGCTTCCTTCATAACACTATGGGCCCTTTCATGCACTCCGAGGGGATTAAGTTGATCAAGCTCTTGGAGATCCAGACGAACCTTGCTAATGGGCGGCCTTTCTCTATCTTGTCGGATTATTGGCACACTGCTCTTGATGTAATGACTTATTACGCATTTGGTGGCAATATGAACGATCCCGCATTGGACCCTCAGTTGGAACTGATTTCAAAGATACGACCATCTGAAATTCCTGAGGGGCATGTCGACGAGCCAGTAACATTTCCCGAGGCCCCTCTAAGCGAATTTCTCCTAGCAGTCCAGGACGCCCCTCGTGTTTTGGAGAAGACAGCGGTCTCCTGGGTTCCAAAGCTTAGTTTTTGGTGGTGGAAACGTCAAGCCTGGGTCAAGACGATTTTCTTCCATAAGGATCGGGTTCTTCCGCAACAGCTCAGGAAGGCGTTTGAAGTCTACAAGGCGGGCAAGGTCCAGTCTGCACTCGAACACATCATCATGCGAGAGGGAATGGCAGCAGAAAAGGAGGGACGTCAACCCCAGTTCATAACCCAAAGCATCGCGGACGAAGTAAGCCTCAACCTCCCTCTCAACCCCCTCAACAACCAAGTAAACTTACTGATGGACTGATGATTCTGGTTAGATATTTACCGATGTAATATCTGGACATCATACCACTGGCGGAGTCATGGCCTGGATGACTAAGTACCTAACCGATTATCCTTACGTCCAGTCGAAACTCCGTGATGCCTTGTACTCCGCGATCCCCGAAGCGGTGCGAGAAAAACGACTGCCCACATTCGAAGAATTAAGGCACGCTCGAATACCCTACCTCGAGGCGGTGATCGAAGAGACAAACCGACTGACCCCTTTTACTATTGTGAGGGAGGCAGCACGCGATACCGAAATCTTGGGCCGTAGGGTCCCAAAGGGCTGTCAGGTCTTTATGGTCAACGCCGGACCCGGCTTCCTGTCGCCATCAATCCCCGTAGACGACGTTTTACGGAGTCCAACGTCTAAGGCCGCCAAGTCTAGAGGTAAATGGGACGAGACGAAGGACCTAAAGACCTTCGAACCAGAACGATGGCTTATCCACAACGAAGATGGCGGTGTTGAATTTAACAGTACCGCGGGACCTCACCTTAATTTTGGTGCGGGCATTCGGCAATGCTGGGGTAGGAAGATGGCGCACTTGGAAATCAGAACAGTTATGGCCTTGGTGATTTGGAATTTTGAGTTGCAGGAGATTCCTGAGCAGCTCGGGGGTTACGCCGGATACGATGGAATCGCACGCGAACCACAGAAGGCTTTTGTGAGACTGAGAAAATTAAGCCCTTAATCAGCATTTATATGTACATTCATATGTCACAGTCTAGAGCCACTAGTGGCTCACATACATGGCCTTGGCCTTACCCCTATGTGAGGCTACTTTCGTTTAACCGTCCACCTCTGCAACATCGTGCGGGTTCATCTGGCGGTAGCGATACCATCCAAATTAATTGAAAGAGTTATCATATAATTTTTCGTCGACTCTTATGCCCATAGTCAACTTTTATTATGTAGTTGCCAACTGATTACTCTGGCAGGGGTCCGTCGGACAGTTTCTTCCTTAGGAGGTACATTGCGCATCTTTAATGTCTACCAGGTTAGCGAAGACCTCAATGGGACTAGGATGGATTTATTTGGCTTGTATTAGGGTCTTATGCATTAAGCTGTAGTTCTAAGGTCTGGATCACCTGCATGAAACTGGGCTACGGGTAAGACGGGTAAGACGGGTGTAAGAGCCTTACCGGCTTTAACGACCAGGTTGCGTATATCGATTACCTACCTAGGTAGGTAGTTGATTAACTCCTTAGGAACTTTTCGAGTGATAAGATGCACAATCTTAAGAGCTTTACATCAAGTTAATTTGCCGGATTCGCAATGGCTGGTCAATCTTAGGCTCTCGTGCTGCCTCAGCGGCATGATAGTGGGAAATGTTCGCAGTTTCAGGGGTAAAGTTGGGCTGTTGTAACGCCCGGCAGTTGCCCTCCCGTATTTAACGTACCTAACATGAACATTACAAGTATTTATTCTGGCTTCCTCTATAAAAGCATAAGTCAACAACAAACAAAATCCAAACCTGAAAAATCCTCGGGAAGCTTTTTAATGTGAATATAAAATTTCCCTCATCCAAGTCCAGCGATTCAGTACTCGCCGCCATCATGCCCGCATTTGATGCTACAACAACAAGCGAGCAAGTCATCAAAGCCTTTGGCCAGCATGCCAAAGCTCGTACTTTTGTCATCACTGGCGCAAGTCAGCCCAGCATTGGGAGCTCGATGGCTACGACGTTAGCTCGAGCTTCGCCAGAACATATCGTCATCGTATCGAGGACACCTGCGAAAGTCGAACCCGTTCTTGCCGCTATCCGAGAAGGGAATCCTTCGGTCAAAGCAACGTATGTCCAAGCCGACTTGTCTGACCACGACTCTGTACGACGAGCTGCTGGGGAGGTCTTGCAGGCGACGGCGTCCAAGATCGATGTGCTTATTAACAGTGCTGGAAACATGGCCCTCAAGGAGTACACAGTGGACAAACAAGGAATTGAAATGCAGCTGTCAGCTAATCATGTCGGCCACTTTCTGTTGACCAATCTGCTTGTACCCGCTCTCCTGGCTGCGGCAGATGCCAACAAAGAATATGGTAGTCGCGTCGTCAACCTCTGTAGTTTGGGCTATCTCATCAGCCCCTTCCGCTTCGATGACTACAACTTCTCTGGGGGTAAGACGTATGACTCATGGACAGGATACGGCCAGGCCAAGACGGCGAATATCTTATTTTCCTTTGGCTTAACCAAGCGGCTCAAGAAGCATGGCGTTACCTCGTTTGCCGCCCATCCCGGATCAAATCTCGATACGCAGCTTGGGTCACACTTGACTATGGACGACTATAACAGTATATTGGAAATCACGAAGCGCAACACGGGCAAGGACTTCGTATTTGACGAACCCAGATTTAAATCATACGCCCAGATCGGTGCTACGCCTCTCACGGCTGCGCTCGACCCAGAAATTGCTGTCAAGGCGCCGGCCCTTTTGATCAATAGCCAGATTACGGAGACCGCAGAGCATGCTAGCAACGCTGAGTTCGTGGAGAAGTTGTGGGCGCTCAGCGAGAAGCTGGTTGGCCAGGAGTTTAAGTATTGAGCATAGACCTATTGGAATTCGTGGTCAAATGGGATCTATACACCCCTAGGGGGGCAGTTGACACAGCTACCTAGGTAGATTACTCGGATGAGTCACACATACAAGTACCTACTTATTCTCTTTACCTAGCAATTTCTTAGTCTAACCACACGTACTGTTAATTGTAATGTCGGATGGCTCGCGAGCCGATCGAGAGCGAACAATTGCCAAGCACAACTCGGCCTGGACTTAAGCCTTAGCTCCTGTAGCACAAATGCAGTTGGATGCTTCCCCGTACTATGTATACTAAGACGGCGGACAATAGTAACCGCGCGATACGGATATCCCCAGCAGTTCTACGAAGTAGTCCACAAAGTACCTACCGCTGAGACTAATGTTAAGGAGACTACTAGTTCTAGGAGCACCTTAATTCAAACACGTCTATATCTTAGGGGTTTCCAACGCTCTACAGACTAGGTACAGTATAACAGGTCGTTAGTTAACGACAACGGGTCCTAACAAAAGTCAACTACATCGCCATCTTCTATCCTGATAGTTGAGAGTCGGGACACCCAAAATCGAGGTCAGTCCTGTGGATACCTAACCTAAAGCACAACCCCTTTTATACAAATTCAAGGACCTTCGAGACTTGTTCAAGCTCCGTAGGGAAAACTTCTTCCCGTTTGTCGATGACGTCAAATTTGGCAAAGTGTCGAATTATCTAATACTACACCTAATAATTTCACTACTTACCTACTGAGTCTTCTGACAATCTCGCTGGCGACCCCATTGTAGCCCTGGAAAGGTTATGGTAGGGCAGTTTAGACGATACTAGTACTCTCTTCTACAGTGCTAGCGACGATTAGGTTGCGGAGGGTTGTCAGGGGCGACAGCAAAGTCCAAGATGGGAAAAGGACGGTGTCGTCCATGAGGGATAACAGGTCCAACGGGTACTTGAATCTATATAGACTATACTCTAGAATAAGCATACACGGGACTAGCATCGGCTTCAATACATCGGGAGAACAGGACAGGAGGAACAAAGTAGAATATAAGTCTAATCGAAAGCGAAAATCCCAAATTTCTCCGGGAACAGCTCTTTTCTAGCCGTCCCGAGGCTAGCTACAGAGAGGTTTCCCCAAGACCTCCCATAGTCTTCCAAGGGCCGGATTCCCGTCTTACTAGGCCCATAACTACTGGACCTCTGACACTGCCTTTATGTGCAGGAACCATGCACTGATCGTCTATTATCAAAGCGGTTCCAGGGAAGATTATTTCGAGACTCTCACGGAAGATCGAAGCCTCCATGGTGCCCGGCCCCCCTTTACTTCTATTAGCGCCATCATTACTCTGTTTTAGGAAAGTTTCTTTAAAGATGCTGCTACTCTCAATCCATCTCGGATTCTTGCCTATGCGCTTGTAATCAGATGCTAATCACTCAGTTTCCCTCTTACCTCGCGTAAATTCCATATGCGGATCTCTGGGAGAAGAGAGTACCTACTCTCGGCTGTGGCATCATTTGGTATAATGTCGCAATTCCTCTCCTTTTTTTCTAGCGCACGTGCCCTCAGCCGGTGTTCTGACTAAGGCAGTTAACCTACCTAGTTTTTCCTTGTATGGCTGTAGCTATCGTTGGCATTATGGTGATGGTTGTGGTCGTGTCCTTCTTCGCTAACTAGCCAAGGGTTCCAGTTGATCCGATTACCATCATGGGTGTGATGTTATATGCTTGGGATTCCACGAAAATACAGAGGGACGAGGGCTTAAGCACACTCATGAGGGAGGAGAGGACCCACAAGGCCCGGGTAATGAGATCAAAATATATCATCGGTGAAATGACATGTAGGTATCTATCTGGCAGGAAGAGGTTTGGGGTTAGTTCGGTGCGCGATCAAGACCATTCTGACGAATTCGCCTAGCATAGCAACTAGGATAGTATCTGAAACGAAGTAGTGCCGAAAGGAGGGCAAAATATATAATATAGAATTGATCAACGCGAAATGATTCTGATATAAGACGAGGCCCTGTTTTGTTTTGCGGGAGTTTTCTCCTTCCAGCGTGCTTAACGCTCCAACAGCTGTACCGTATCGTCGAGTATCAGAGACTTAGACCAAAGAAAGAGAGCGGGCAATCATAGGGCAGCCATTATGAGAAGTATGTTATCATTCTTATATCTTCCTGGGTTGGGTAGGCACCTCAGGTAGGTGGGAAAAGATGATAGTGATGCAGAAGCTTGTGAGGGAAAGGGGTTAATCGGCTAGTTAGACACTGTCAAAATCATAGAGCCTATACCCATAAACTATATCTTCTATTTCACGACCATAGCACGCGAAGAGGTTACTAGAACTTTACGGGAGTAACGGTTTATCATGAAGGGAGTGAACGAGGCAGAAAATTTCTCGTCCTTCCGTTCGTTTTATGCCAGATCAGGACAGACCATCTCTTCCATATGTCTAAGCGTTAAAGTTCTATGGCCGTTCCAAGATATAAGTAGAGATCTAACCGTTGGCTTCCGCATTCCGACACTAAGACACGCCAATGCAGTAATCGATGCTTAAATTGCCGAGTCGAAGGTAGCAAACGAGCGGTAGTAAAGTCTCCCGAATCCCGTCAGGGTATTAACTGTTCAATGGAAGGTGAAGTAGTTAGTTTTTTTTCGAAGTTTCTTGTCCTTACCTAGCCAAACTGTATTGCACACCACTCAATCTTTGGCTCACACAATAGGGGGTTCCGGCGCCGCAGAAGAGGGTAGAAACTCTATCTTCAACGATTATAGCTGGGACCCGACACAGGTGTGCAGCTTTAAGCATGAATATGCGCACTTTATAGATGTCCAAAGGATATACTTAAACAAGAGAACTGTCCGTTGAATCTGCTCTCCTCCGTTTCTCTCTCGCCAACTGTCCGGTCGCTGAACATTTATGCATATGTTATTATTTAACTCTACGAACTTACCATAGTTCCGGGCTCCTATTTATTGATACATTCTTTTGAAGCCGAAAACATGGCAGAAGCTCAATCCTCGTTCAAAGTAGAGAAAGGCACATGGACTCCAACAGAATTTGGTCGTCCGAGTACCAGAAGAAGGGAACCCTGCATTAAGAACAGTTCTCTACGCGAAGAGCTTGAGAAGAATATACCATCTCCTTGTTCGAGTTGTTTAGGGTTTCCCTTCAAAGTCGAAGGTTCTATGGGTTGGGCTGGTAACCAACCATGCGTTTACGGATCCCACGAGGGATGCTCCCGCCATAACCCAGAGAGATTGGCAATCGCGTGGAACAAGCGGATTCCCTCGAACAAGAAGAAGCCCGGAATCATCGAAAGGTTCCGTGGGTCGCTTAAGGTGCCTGAATACGACGAAGTACGCCGAAGCACACGTATCTGGTCCTCACTCCACCTAGATAACGCCACCGCAGATCCTCTCGATCCTATTCACGCATCTATCCGCTACGCTTTGGCATATTATCATCTCGACTGGGTTCGAACCGCCGGGTCGCCCGATTTGCAGAAGGCGAGAGTAAATTCCCTAGCGTGCAGCGGAACCGTGCTCGGGGACGGAAAGCGTCGACCGGACTTCGAGTTTTGGACCAATCCGTACTGGCACAAAGGATCTTTTCTTATCCAGCAGGTCATCCGATTCACTGTCCAACCGAAGAAGCGAAATCCTTTGCTTGGGAAGGAAACCGTCTACCTAGAGTACCCTCGAGACGACTGGACCTTCCAGGCTTGCCCGCACATCCAACACTGCTTCGGAAGATACCAGTTCGTGGAGACGCAGGGGCTCATGAAGGCGAACGTAACTTACAGAACTAAGAAAAGGAGCGCCGTGATTGAGTTAGAAACTAAATCTAAAACCCAATGGGAGAGCACGCATGGCCCTCTCTGCCACGCAACCAACTGCCAACAGTGCTGCACCGATAACTGGATGCATATAAGTCTGATCGAAGATAAGATCGTGGTCCACATGTATGTGTGGAAAGATCTCGGAAACGCACTCAATGCGTACGATAAGAAGTGGATAGCAGCGTTGAGACCAGAGGGCCCAAGGTGGAGGCGCTCCAAGGACGAGGCCAACAGCAACGCGGTTCGGGCCATCGTCCTAGCGGCGGTAAATGCGTCAAAGGGTAGCCGGGGCTCTTCGGCGAAGTAGACGGTTTTCTGAATGTGCCGGCTGTTTATTATCACGCGCTGTTTCTCTTGGCTGTACCGGGGTGCCGGCGATGGGGGAGCCGGAAGAGTTTGATCTAGTCATAACCGCATATGTAACGTAACCATAGTAAGCCGAGAAAGATGTTCCAACTTTTGGATAGCCTCAGGGTTAATATAAAGTATTTCGATTATCAATGCCAAATCTAAATGCTTGAGAAGCAATGACCGGGCCCATTAGAATTCTCACTTTGCCAAGCAGCAATCAGAGACATTTCCCGGCAAGCATCCGGGTACCTACAGCACCATAGCGCCAGCGTAACGCGAGCTCGGACTATTCTCGTGATAGCTTAGAGAGCACAAATCGCCTGAGTGCGTCCCTAGGTAGTCGACTGTCGTTATGAATTGATAAAGCCTTTACATGTCCCTCGATATTATCAAAAGCCGAAAGGGATTTCGGACACAGGGAGATCCATGTATTCGTGTATTCGTGGGGGTGCCACCGGAGACGGAACGATTAAAAAGAAAATCCAGGGTCCGTAGCATTATAAGCATCGGATTATCATGTGTACATATATGAAGCAACCTAGGTAATTGAGTGAGGTCGATCTCACCCGTATAGAGGGATTGGCACGCACGACATGACACCACTCGGCAGACGACATCCCTCTACATAGTTTTGTTTTGAGGTATTGCGGCTCTTAGCCGTTGAGTCTGATGTTTCCTGAGTTGATGCAAGTACATCATACCTGGTAGACAAGGCGGGTATGTAGGTGGGTAAAGGTACATAAAATAAAAATTCAGATGGAAAAGCCTCTAAAAACTAAATCAAGGGCGAGGATACCTTATCCAATGGTCTAATGAAGTCCAAACTCGCCTATGTAGCACAGATTACTACTAAGTATGGTATGTGTATACATATGTATGTCTAAGCAGGAACGGTTGGACCAAATCACGAAGCAACAGAGCAACGAAGCACGGACAAGCTTCAGTAGCCTCAGATGGAAGGAGATACCGACCTTAGATGTGCATGAGACGGTAGACCCGACTACTATGCTACTTACGTGTACACGTTTGTTAGTACGACCTATGGTAGGATAGTGGGTATGCCTGAAGTACCTACTTTTCAATAAGAGCCTGACATTTGGCCAATCAATGACACGCATGGACATATACCCCTGCAACGTATGCAGCGATCAACATCTGATTCGTCACTTCCCTTTCTCTTTTCTTATTTCTTCAATGTTGCTTTCCAAGTCCTTAGGTTAACGCCGTTAAAAAGACTCAGGCATACACCCCTGTGCGAAGACGATGAACTGGATGGGCAGGACCAATCCTAATTGGGATGCGTGGGTCCAACTAGGACCCGAATATCGCAATGGGGATTGGGGCAGTTAGGGAGCGGTTTCCTTTCCCTCCAGCCCTCATGATCCTTGAAGTGCTTGCCCCAGCCTGCCCCGGTTACCCTTTTAGCCCTCCTTGCTAGGGATGTAGTGTACTGTACTGTACCTATCACCTATCACCTCCTGCCTTGATCGATCCAATTCCATCCACAATCCACCTGCACCGCCCTGGAATTATCCAACTCCCGTTCTCGGTCCGTTGTTGAGTTTCTTTTTTTCCCCAACCTTGGAAGCTGACTGCATTCTGCCATTGTCACTCCGTTCATTATCTAAGATTTCTCAAATCTAGACCGAATTGACCAGACTCTCGCTCAACCTCGGCCGCGTCGTATAATCCTCGCCGGAGTTCGGGTTCCCTCGTTCATCCCATTCGCTCCTCGTCTCTTTGGGGCCCCTCCAAAAAACAACACCCACAACTGAATAGTTTCTCTTCTATTTCCTTCGTTATCAAGGAATACGAAAATAAGAAAAATTCGAAATTTCCTTTGTGAACACGTTGGAAAGCCAAGGTTACTATCCACACTCGGAGCCTTAGGTAGGCACCTACTATTATCGTCGTTCGTTTCGTGACTTGCGAATCTTACCAGGGCTAGTCAGTTTCGTTGTTGGCACCACTGCTGCCGTCTGGGCGTCCCACTTACAAATCACTTATTGCATACAATCACCCTCTATTCGAGGAGTTGGTCTCTAGGATTCTCTAGACAACGTACTTTTTAAAAAAAGTTCGTAATCGCTCACTTCGATTCCTACCCTACGAAACCCCATCGTCTAGCATCTAGCCCGTTGCCGCCGCCAAAATGAAGGGCCGTCCGGTTGACCAGATCGTCTTCGAGTGCATGTTTCCTAAACCCCGACCGAGCGATCCGCAAAACTTCCACACTCTCCTTCACCGAAACCTTATCCCAGAAGTCCGTCAAGAAGTTCATTCCTTCTACGGTCATCTCGACACCCAAGAAGCCAAATATCCTGGGCTAGACTACACTCATCGTATCCACCGCATACGGCTTAGCCGCTGGCCGTGGCATCGACGTCTGTTCCGGGCGTTCGATGCTCTACGTCTGACCAACTCCGAAATCGCGAATTTGACCAAGTGGGAGGGCACAAAATGGGCGAAGGAGCGTTTCGAGCGGGATTCTGACGTTGTCATCCACGACACCGCTTTTGACGAAATTGCGGAATGGGTTGAGCCCGAGGATAGGCCACAGACGGCTCGTGCAACGCAATCCGAGAGCTTGGAAGACGACTCAGCAACACCAGATGAAGAAATGGAGGGCGAGGAAGAAGATAGCGATGGCGAGCTGACGAGCGTTGGTGTTTCTCTGAACGAGCGCCTCCGTGCACGAGCTGCGCTTCACGAGGCTGGAGATACCTCCTTGCCTCTTGATGAAGAATGGGAACAGTGGTTGAAGAATGCAATCGAATCCGGCGAACTTCCCTTCCTTACTGAGCAGATCGTCCGGGAATCGAACAACGTCGCCCTCATTCCACAGGCGCTCTTCCCGCCACGAATGCTCAGCGCAGCACGAGCAGGTAGCTGGGGCGATATCCCGGACTTTCTCCATGGCGTACTCCGATACGCCCTGGAAAACGAAGCACCGAGTAGAGGGCAGGAGTCGACTGGGCGTTCTTCTGGGCGCATTGCCCAAGAGAGCGGGCCAAGGAGGGGTTCGCGACGCGATTATTCGGATCTACGACTCCCAAGTAGCGAGGCTAGTACCATTGCCACCCCACGAGTTCGTCTACAGCGAACCACCCAGTCCGGTACCCAGACCTACATTTCTCTTCCGTAAGAGCTTCGCGATATGGGCTCAGGCATCAAACGTAGAGATGAGAGGATGAGGAGGATAGGCGCAAAACTTTTCGATACCCATACCCCAATCGAATTCTTTCAACTTCCAACCCGCTCTGAGTGCATGGTCGCCAGGGATTCTTCGGCATTTTCGTGCATGGTTATGGTTTCTCACCAGCCTAGATGGCTACTACTTGTTCCCGAAGACGTCTTAATAATGAGCATTTCGAGGAGTGGAGGTAGTTCAGAGCATATTGATGGCATTTGGAGAGCTTATGGTTTCAGATGGCTGCATGGATGCTCTGGGAATACCCAACGACATGGTGGCGACGGCAAACTGGCTAGACGAGACTCTTTATCCGGCTGTAAATCGACATTTCGGGGACTAATTCAACGGGGTCAACGAAACAGAGGTTTTGGGCATACGGGTTCGCCGTTACAGCTGCACGCAAAATTAGCTCGACAAAGTTCCGTATCAGTTAGAGTCCCAACACCACCATTTCTTAACCTACGACATCCACCAACCAATTAATATCAGCCGGCCTTTCTGAAGGGGAGATAGTGAGGAGTACAAGGGGAGGCATCTATTCTTTTTTAAACGGGGAGTTGTGGATCGCATTCAACGGAGGCTTATTACCAGATTTTGTTTTCTTTTCCGAGAAAGGGGTGTTGCCATCAAAGAGATCCGAATTTGCGCACGGCGAATGGAGCTGCGGTACCTACCTAGGTATCTACTGGAGATGACTAAGTCGACTACCTAGTTCAGTGGAGGAGCTCTTACGGGTTAAAGAAAAATGATTGCTAATGTTCATGTTCATGATAATTTGTTTATTTTGCTGTTGTGAAATCTTTTGGCTGATTGCTTGCGTAATATGGATACTTACCTGGACAATTATTCAAGTATTGTAGTTACCCCCTATTTCTTGCCTCGGCCTCTGATATCCATCCTTTACTACGACGGCATTTTTCGTAATATACACAGTTAAGTAGGATTTTGGTTCGAACAATTATCATCACATTGGCGTCGGCCACCAAAATTTTCACAGCAATGTGTTCCTGCAAAGCAGCATAGCTAGCCGTAATTACAACGTATCCTCAACGCCAAAACGTGCCCGCCCTGTTACATGCCGATGTCCATATCCTGCAAAACGCCCCCATGTGGTATCTCAAGTGTCAATTCATCTGTTTCTGCTTCTTAGAAGTAACACTTCCCTTTTGGCTTGCATTCCTTTCCTTCCCATTGTAAAAAAAAAACCCTTTAATTCATCTCTTTCCAGGAGGCCAGTGGAGTCGGTTTGATATCATTTCCAATTATTCGACTGTTGGATTTCTCGTTGGGCTGGTACAAGAGCTTCAAGAGCAAGGTGTGCAGTTCAGGTTCGGTGGTATTTTTCTTTTCCTTCTGGAGAAGCTTATGTAGTATCCTGGTCCTGAAGGCCCAATTATCCCTAAGGTTTGGTCGGTTGTAGCCTTTAGCTTCTAACATGGTGATGCCAGAGCATTCGAAATGGCAGCAGCAGCAGCAGAAATTTGACCTGAGGAATGCTAGGATGGTTAAGATTTCTTAAGCGTGTGTGTCATTACTACGACGACCACCGCGCTCGCTCTTGCGCTCGTTCTTACGCCCGTTCTTACGGCCGCTACCAGGAGGACGGCCGCGGCCACGGCCACTGGGTTTGCGTTGCTTCGGGGTGGAAACAACCGGTTCGGGTTTATCGGTCTCCATCTTCTCAACATTCTCCACACCTTCCTCCAAAGTTTCCATAGTAGAACCCGCGAGGTCTAGCATCGACAAAAATTCCGAAGTGCTGAAAGTCGAGTCCGTAGATTCTCTTTTTTGCTTCGTCATTCTTGTCTCCATCTTCTCGATCTTTAAGTCCTCAGGGTCGACGCCCGCGCCCATGTCTGCGCAATGTCGATTCTCGTACTGTGATAGCCGCCGTTTTTCTCGCTGCGCTCCCTCGAATGAGTCCATCGCGATGCTGACCTAAGGCTCAAGGTGCGACCATTCAGGGATCGATTTGATTTGAGTCCACATGAACTTCTCCAACTTGTTCGCGGACTTGGCGTACGGCGTAGACTCGTTGTTGTACTTGCGACAATTGTCAAATATGAGCTTTGCGTCCTTGATGAACTCCTCGGGCGTGCCATACTGATCAGCCTCGAGTTTGGTCTCCATGGTGCTAAGGTCCATGGGCTCCTTAATGACGTCGTAGTAATCAGCCACGTCGTCTTTATTGACCGGGTTCAGGAACGGCCATGCCGACTGGTGGTTCTGGAGGTCGTTGAGCAGGTGAAGCAACTGGTTGTAGTTCGGGCCGTGCCGCGGCTGTCTAGCCAACTCGTCCATATCAGGTGACCAGCCGGAAGCGCGAATTGCCTCTATAGAAAGGGGATCAATGGGGGTCACGCCGCTCTTCCACTGCTTAGGCGGCTGATGGATGACATGAGATTTGGAGAAGGCGCGGATCTTAGCCTGCACACACTCCTTCTGCTTCAGAAGCATACGGCCCATTTCGAGATATCGCACACGAGGAAGCATGGAACACTGCATTATAGTGCCACCTTCGTAGTCCTTGATATATCCCATCCAGACCGATCGGGGTAACGTGATCTCCTTAGTAAACCCCTGCTTCTTGAAATAACCAATGGCATAGTTATCAGCGTAGGTGAGAAAATGCATCACGTCACTAGTCGCCTTAACGTAGTCCTTCAGATGCGACATAAGATGAGCGCCGTATCCTTTGACCTGTTGGTCACTGCTAATAGCACAAAACACAATCTCGGCAAACTGGCGTCCCTTGAACGGTCGGTAGGTAATACCGCCAACGACTTCGAGGGGCTTCTTGACGATGGCGATCGATAGATGGGTTCGGTCGTAAACGAGTCGGGCGATATAGTCTTTAGGCATCTTAGGTAACTGCTTCTGGAAGATGCACTTGAGGCCGGTGAGAATGATGAGGGATTCGCGCTCGTTGTCGTTGTTCACCACGCGGAACTCGATTTCGCCGGTTCGCTCCTCGACTACGGCAGGCTGAAACGTCTCATTAGTGATTTTTGCCATGTTCAGTACGCGCATAATAGGACCATTGCGGGGGGGCAAGAGAGATGGGAGGAATATTCTTCTTAGCTTTGTCTAAAATGAAGATATATGCATTGACGGTAAAGGCTGACTGTTCATCGTAAGGAGTGGGTAGGAAGTAAATACCTTCTCTGGAAATGGGATAGGTTCCATCGCGGGCTTCTTCGACGGATCTGACGAGTCATCATGTTTCGCTCTCTTGGCAGCGACTGGTGACGATGGCTCGTCACTAGCCTTGCGCTTGCCAGCTGTTGAGCAAGGCGGAGAGATTAGCAACGCGAAGAAATTTATCAGTAAGGAAAACTTACATTCGTCCTTCACCATCGTGTCAAACTTGACCACGCATGAGGTGCGACGTGACGTTGGGAAAGATGAGAAGAAAAAAGATTTGAGTTGTGTGCGCCTTGGAAATGCGCTCGAGTCACACGTTGAAGTTGATGACTGATTAGCGCATGGGGAAAGTCGGGGAGGTGCAGAGGTGGAATCGCGGAAATATGTGGGGAACAAGATCTGTACTTGTAATTGGGCAAGTGCTGGCTTTTGCTTATGTAACCATTGAAAGAGCTGACTACGCGACCAATAAGGCTGGAGCTAAACCCAAAGAAGACAGGCCACCTGTTTGCAAAGGGAAGCGACATGGGAGCTCAGTTTTAAGGTTCCGTACACTCCAAGTGTCAAATGCAATCAATGCAGTTGCCCATCGCCGTCTTTTAAAAAATTCACACACTTATTCACTCCCTAAAGATATGACGCCGTAACCCCGTTTCACTCAATCAAACCATTCAACCTGTCGATTTATTCTGCGTTGCCCGTTTTGCGTTGAATCCACTACAGCTACCACCTTTCTTCATGGATTCTTCACTGCATGAGATTTGGCAGACTGCACCGGGCAGCCCATTTCTTCCTACAGTAGGAAAGGGTAGCCAATTCCTAGTCGGATTTGTTCTCCTTCTTCTCGGTCTTTTCCTGACTGGCGCATTTGCGTTGAGTGAGCATCGCACTTTCTGAATTCCAATTGCGCAGGCAACTAATTTCTTAAATCTAGACCGATCTCTCGCGAACCTCCCCATATTCGGTGTCCCAGCTTCGTTAGCCGTTGCGTGCGTTATCTCCCACGATATCATCTCCCCTGCTCTACTTTCTAATGCTATAGCAGGTTTGGCACAGTATATATGTTCTGTGCGGTTGGAGTTTACGTCTAGGGGATACCCCGAGAAGAGAACCACGAACCTAGAGAACGCCGGCGTGTATCATAGATGAATTGAGGTTTACGAACGTCTCGCTTGGGTTCCTAACAATTATATGAACGTGACTGGAGATCAGATACTAGCAAAATCCCCCCTCCCCCCTTGACCCTAAGATTGGAATCTTCACATTCAACGGCACGTTAAGCTAAGCGGTAAACTGATTTCACCATGGCTTCATCTAATGGGTCAGTTCCGCCGCAACAACCACTATTTCGAGCAGTAGCAAGTTCCACGAGACAAATATATCAACTACTCAAGTGCATCAGCTTTACCGCCAAGGTTCAAGTTCAAATAACTCCGGAGGGTATCAGATTCGCGGCCGACCATTCGCGCGTAATGCAAGGTTAGTCACCAGCATTGCACGTATTAAGGCTGGGTAATCTAACTGTATATTCAGGGGTAGCGTTTCTGGATAAAGCTCTCTTTACAGCTTACACCCTCAGCATGCCTGATGAAGAGGACACCCTACCACAATTTCAAGTCAATCTAGCTGCTTTGTTAGAAGCTTTACAGATTTTCGGGGCTACAGATGTAGCCGCTCGAGCTGCTAAAGCGGAAGCAGAGAATTATCGCAGCAATTTACGTAACTATCGTCCAGATGCCTTCAACCATCAGAATCTAGGCATGCCCGGCACATGTTGTATGATGTACGAGGAAGATGGTGCCCCATTGAGCATCATCCTAGAGGAAACTGGGGTGAAGACCCAGTGTAATATGATGACCTACACTTCCGAATCGCCTGACGACATACCATTTGATCGTGAAGACCTGTCCTTTAAAATCATCATGAACGCTCGATGGCTCCTCGATGCTCTTTCCGAACTGGCTCCTATGGCTCCAGTTCGTATCACCATTGCCGCATCGCCAAACGCGCCATATCTAAGCCTATCAAGTGGTGGAGGACTTGGGGGTGCCAGTGTCGACTTTTCAAGCGGCCGAGATCTCCTTGAGACGTTCTCGGTACGTGACCGCTGGGTTCAGAGCTTTAAGTTCGACTTCATCAAATCAGCAAGTGAGGCTATGCGAATTGCAAACAAAGTCAGCTTCCGCGGGGACGGTCAAGGCGTCCTTAGTTTGCAGTTCATGGTGGAAGTTGAAGGTGGTGCTGTGAGCTTTCTCGACTTCCGATTTGTTCCTTATGTCACGCAAGAAGATGAGGAAACGGAATCTGAATCTGAAGACGATTAATGACTACCTTGATACGTCTATCGAGCCGTCCATGCGTGTACACGCGCGTCACACTGAATGTGATGGCTGTTTGCTAGCCGATTTTTGAAATCAATCGAATTTCTTTTTTCAGCTCCTTGGTGTGATATTTCTAAACTAAAGGTGCTACATAGTATGTTAGCTAGCCCCATTTACACTTCGAGACTTTTTACTCGAATCGGACCACCTAATTTGATGTCTACAATGACTATAATTTCAAGGTTAGTAGACTTAGGACTAATAGTCGACCCCGATTTTAGTATAAAGTTCTTTGTAGACGATATGGCAATGGTTGAGCAAAAGCATATATGCGATAAGCACAGGCCTATGGAGCTATGGACTCTTCACCGTCGAGTAAGATTTCCATAGCCAAACATGCTGAATACTAACAGGGACTAAGCATCACATACTGGTTCTTAGTCCAACGACAACGTCGAACTATCGAATTTCCACGTTGTCTAACAGCAAGTTTTAAGTATATGGATAGCACACCAGTCGACCAACGTCTCTAGCACCACCATCACCGGCGAATAGGCTCTGTCTGATTACAACGGATAAAACATCGAACCATCGCTTCGACCCCAAGAAGCTAACGCCATGGCGTACTTGAAATCTAAGCTTAGAGCAAGGTCGTGCACGTCCAATTGGTTCGTCATCCCATCCCTTCATAGCACATCTCTGTTCAGCTCTCCCGTATGTCTCAGCCCCACGATGATCTAAGTGAGTCTTGATTCCAACAATGCGGTAATCCCGGGCCAATCTGTGTAGGTAGCTAAGATCGGCGTCACCTTCAGTGCCCTTAAAGAAGATTCTACAGTTACGTCATTAAACGGTGCCGTGAGGTTCTCGCCCCTTATCGTGAGGTCCGACGGTAGGTAGTCAAAGTGACAAACCCCGTTGGACAGCTAGTACACTTGAATCTCATATAGCCAATTGCTGTCGTGTACCTCGGTACTTTGAACTATTGCCATGTGGTCGCAAGTGCTATTACGCATCCTTAAGTTGGCAGAGTAGTATATACCCCTCTGACCTAAAAAGGGGGCGGATTTAATAAACGCTCTTACCGTTAAACGTCTATTGGAAACTAAGAGACGAAACGGGTATAACTACCTAGGAAGAGCACAGCTAGTTAGACATCGTGGACTACGCGAGATTTACAAGCGTTGATCTCAACTTACAAGACCTTTCTACCAACATTGGTATTATACAAAGCTCCACATGCGAATTGTCGCGAGAATTTTCTACTGCATCATAGCTACAACGGGAATTCCTAACGCAAGGGAACCAATTATCGACTCGTTGGTCGCATCTATCTACCAGTCTTTTCACGATCCTTCCCAATATATTTCAGAGCGTAAAATCGCGCGTGATCCAACTGCCCCTATTCATCACCGAGGTACTTCCTATCCTTTCCCTGTCAAAATGCTTACAGTTCCGTATGTGACTTACCGAGAAAGCCACGGCCAATCTAATCGTGGTACGCTAGAACCGGAGAAATAACGAACGCCTCATAGAAGATATCCACCGAGATCATCATGAGTGATTCCAACAACGATAACGGTGGATCCAACGCTGGTTTCCTCGGCCACTGCTTTCGCTCATGTTTCGGCGGAATATCCTCCTCCAAGCTGAACCAAGAACACGAAAAATCACATGAATTGAAGGAATCTTCAGATCAGAGACTTACCAGTACTACCGCCCCTACGCAACCTCCGGCTCAGACGCCGTACGTGCCTCGACACGCCAAAGATTCGTTCCTGAAAACTACTACCACCCCCCAAATAAAGAAGGCGAACGAGATCCTTTAAGATGCGTTGTTTCGCCTCTTGAATCGTCTCGTACGATATCCCAAACGTGATATTTCGCTGCCTGTTTCCATATATAATAAGCCGGCTGACGTGGGACACGGGGGCAAAACCCTCATCGGGAACTATTATGAAATTGAAATTGAAATTGTCCTGTTTTTTTGACGTTATTTCGACTCTCTCCGAACCCAAGTTTCTGAGTCTTGGCTAGGTATTGCTCCTGTTGGTGACATAAGCGTCGCGGCTTAACAAACTACGCTTATTACGTACGACGGTTTCCTTGCCCGAGTTGGTTCTTTTGTTTTTTCCCCGGGAGAGGAAGCGCCGCGGCGGCACGAAACTCGGGCCGGCCAGGTCGGAGATGATGTGATGTTCGCTTCTTATTTCCGCATCGCGCGCGTCCTTCCGCGCGCAACGCACGCAGAAGACTTCATTCGTTAACTGAAGGGGCTTTTCCTCCTGCCCGAATTCGTGGGTTTCTTGCCTATCACGCCCTTGTTTCTCCGGCCGTGCCAGGAAGGGCAGATCACCTGCACCTAGTGGCATATGCCTCTCTCGTTTTTTTTTTTCTCGTCGGGAGCGAGCTTGGTTGGGCGGGCTCCGACACGGAGGATTGGTTTACAGAGGCGACGGCCGGATATACATACTATGTAGGTATGCATGGTCCTGGCAGGGAGGAATGCTGCGACAGATGCTACCTACTTTAACCTTCGCCGACGCCGACTCCAAACATCGGCGTCGAGACAGCAGCCTTCTCTCAAGGCGCCTTGCGGCGGCAGATCATTCGCGTACCGTTTTAGCTCTCGCCACATCCATTATCCTTCGCTTTTTGGTTCCTGGTCTCAGGTTGAGTAGGAAAAGTAATCTGGCGCGGGCAAGGGGGCTTCCCGTACGACCCAGATTCGCAGTTCTTGGTCTCGAAGGATTCCAAGATGCAGGGGGGAAAAGAGGCGTAGGCATTTTTTGGGTGGACGGGGCTAGATTTTAACCTAACCTAGGCGTTGCTAAACCGGACACAGTAAATCAAGATAACGCCAGCCAACTCTAAAATAACTATTGCATATTATTCCAGTGATTTCGCGAATTAAAAACGTGGGCAGATTTTGGGCTCCTGGTCCGTTTAGGCAGGTGTGTAAGCCTCGTGCATATGTATTTGAATCCTTTCGCCATCGCGAGCCAGGCCAAAACTGGGGATCGAATCGAAGCAGCTTCCAGGTTGCAATTCGGACACGCTTCGCTAATTAAGCCATCCTGTTGGATCATGATTCTACGGCTTTTCGGCATTGAAATTTCAACGTGGCCTTCCTTGGAGTATGTTTGCTTGGCTTGATGGTAGCGAAGTGTAAGGGATGTCTCATGTTCCCGTGGTGTTCACATCTTATGAGGCTGAATCTGCAAGAGTTACTTTACAATAGATGGTGTATGTGAATTCCCTCTGAATGTCTTCAATGCCCTCAGAAAAGACTTACTGTTCAGTGATGTCAACTCCTAAGACCCCGTCATAGTGCGGGGAGATAGGATGAGGATCGCCATATTAGGATGCGAGACCCTGAATTGAACAAGAGAAGCCTCGGTATAAGTTTAATCAACTCGATCTGCTGCAAGTCATGCGGTATTTGTCGGCATATCTGTTTATATTAGGCATAGCCTTGAATAAAACAAAAATCCCTTAAAATAATTTGCGAGCTAATGGATAACTAGGGAAGGGGGATCTTTTTTGGTCCTTGTCGACCGGGGGGTTCGACGCTGTAGATATATCCCGAACCTGCCAAATAAGCCTTGCTCAAGCCTCCTATGTCACACGTGGGAGGATTCGACTAACCGGACAAGTCAACGAAACTAGATCTATCCAAGCCCCGATTCCTTCGCAGGAATGCCGCGGGTCTTTTTCAGGCATCTACGCAAGATTTTGAGATATTACTAGGCTGGTTTAGTCATGATCCACGAACTCCCGGCAGGGACATGGGCTTCGTCGCTGGGGAGCTACGTACTTGAACGCTTTCAGGGGTTTCAAATCCGCACAGACGATGCATGGCGGCATAGGTACGGGGGGCACGATTCACGTGGCGCGATTAACATACGTATGCGGAGGCCGGTGCGGCTTACCGTAATCCGTACGGGGTTGTGGAATTGAATGCATACCTACCTACACATATACATACTACTGCGTATGTACAACACACAGACAACCCCCGGATCGCCTACTCACGTAGGGGGCCAGGGGTCGGAATGCATCTTTGCAGCTTTGGAATACTCGAGCAGTCTCCCAGATCAGAGCTGCAGGCGAATCGTTTCGTTTCATCTCTCTAGGATCGGTAACATTGGGGGTCAGATGCAACCCTTCTAACACGGTATAGTAAGAATGACAGGAGAGAGGCGCTGAGAGAGAATCGAGAATACCGCTCGAGTGGTTGATCGCGTCAGCCCCTTGCAGCAGCAGACATGACGGGGAGCGAACGTCAAGCAGAGGCACGGCGTCAGCACTGCAGGTGTCTAGACCATTAAAGCTACGGTGACATGATCAGACGTCGCCCTGCAAGTCATGATCACGGCGAAAGACCATTCAACTGGTATTGCAACTTACTGGACACTCGGGTATTTCGGCTACAAGAGTTCAATAGTTCAATAGTTCCAAGGTTGGTTTCAAGATTAAAGAGGTGGTAAATTAAAACCGGCATATATACTACCTAAGTAGATTAAGAGTGCATGATCCTAACCACTACTCTATCTTTGAGTGAGAATTCCAACACTGAGATTCATCCAGATTGACATCAATCCCTACTTCTATCAAGTACAACGAAGATACAACATTCGTGCTCGCAGTTATGTATTCAAATCTTGCCAAAGGCCAAGGCTATGAGAAGCAGCAACTCCCTTTCAGGTTCAGATGTCGTGGAAGGATTTCTTACTAATATTGATGTTGGGTAATGGGAGCTTACCTAGGTGTGTTTGTGACGTACACCAATCCTCGAAAATCCTATCACGACATCATACCGCTCTCTACGCGCGAAAAAAAAAAGTGGGAATACCTTAGAATATTTGCCTTCACAGGGCAGCCACGTTTTTGAGGCCCCTATCATTACCGGCAAAGAAGTGGTCTTTAACGATGATACCTATCTATACTGCAAATGTCGTCAGATCTCCACAACAGCATCCTGTATCCATTGGAAACTTGGTATTCGACTAGACCACAATCGTATAATCAAGCGTCCCAATCGACTCGTTAATTTGGTTCGGGAAAGGATGTAACACGCGAGGGCTACTCAATGAGGCAGAGATGGCGCTTCCTTGTCTAGCTGTGTTTGTTTTGGCTGTGGGACTCCTCTCACCTAGAGAGCCTCTATCCAAGGCAGACGGACAGATAACTGGGAATGGCATCATCTTGAAATAACTATACCCCTTACCTTAAATTCTTTCTATATAGATGGCTAGAGTTAATGAATCTGTCGTTTCAAAAGTCCATTGCTTATCGAATAATCCCAAAAATAAGGATTACAATAGGTAAAGTGTCTCCATTCACAAGCCACTTTTAGATATTCAGTGACGGAAATAAAACACGTGTATAGATACGCATGCTAGGAATCGAGATAGGTATGCAACGGTATTTTTATACCTATTTTAGCTATACCCACAGATACCTACATAGACCCATGTCGACGCCGGGTTAGTGGAATTTATGGACTCGGTCCATTTAATCGCGTGCGGTGAATTGAAACTTTGGTCTTTGGACATTCCCTAAATACCGAGACCGATGCAAAAAGGCTTCTATTCGGATTTGAATGCTTAACGACGAAGCATGGCGATCAAAACACATCACCTGTTCCAGTGACTCAATTGACGATGATTTCGGTCTTCGCGGATGTAGCTAGGTGGAGAGGAATGGGTAATAACCGTAACGTCAAGGTGCGTAACTTGCGTACATCCATGTAAACGAAAGGAAGGCTTAGCAATTGAAAATAGGTGCGCGACTTGGGCGGCTTCTACCTAAGCGCCGCAGTCCGTGACCTATTTTCCCGTAAAAGTTGTAAAGTCGGAGGGCGGTGTTAAGACGTAAGCTTACGGACGTAGCGGGTAATGTATTGGTGAGATGCATCCAGATCAACACGAAAATCTCACCATAGCCAATAGCTATCGTCATTCTAAAGTAGGTTACCGTATCCTTTTTCATGGTCTAAAAGTTCCGCAGTCTAAAAGTTCCTGAGAAAGAGAGGCATATAGATTAGATGAAATCGTGGGAGAGGGAAAAAGTATCATTACGCGTCCAACATGGCCTATTAGTAGGTACCACGGCAGTTCATAAGGAACATGATTGGCGACGGATGAAGAATGTCGTCGATTGTGGGTGTCATGGTAGGAACTGTTAGAAGCCGAGATGGGTTCTCTTTTGTGAGCCGAGCCGGAGAACGAGATCATTGGCGCGGCCGCGGTTGTTGGTGCGAGCTGGACACATATCGCTGGAACATCGTATAGGGGAGATGGGGGCCATAAGACGCAATGGGCCGCTGAAATCGAACTTGGCGCTTATTCCAGACACGATTATTCGATCCCGGCAAGCGAACAGGCAGCGAGGCTTGACAGGACGGTTTTAGCTATAAGCCACAATTCACATATTCGACTCGGAGTCGTTTGTGTGTCCGTGTGTCTGAATTGCAGGCCCAGCGATTGATTTCCCACTCGGTCGGATACGCGGTCAATTACCGAAAAAAGATATCAAACAAGCACAAAATAGTGGTGGCTCAGTTGAAAGTCTGCAGCAAGGCAGCGGTTGGCTGCATGCCCAGGATGTCCAGGTGGGAGCTGGAGCATGATGTACTTATGTATATTACCTAAGATTTAAACTTCTTCACTGGAGACAAGCGGATCTTGTACTCGTACAGTTTAGCCACATCTCCACTTGCTGTTTACCGAAGTACCTATATACGAAACAAATATGTCCTAATTGAATTGTCTCTGGCAGCTCTAGGAAGTAGCTTACTGTAAGTAAGGCTGTTTCCGTGTTTCGCTTGTTCGCTTGTCAAAAGTTGCGGGTATCACGTGCGAGTGCCGATTCCATGGCTTCCCGATCTGTACTAATTACAAGGTAACAGTGGACAGGGTGGACAACTCTAAACTAGAGGGAAGCTGGAGGGGTCGAGGGGTAGGTACCTATGCGGTAGGTAGGTACTTACTTTGAATTGGATCTTTCGTCTTTTCGCTGTTACCAATCCAGTCCATCTTTTTTTCTCTTATCCTGCGCCGTTCATATGCACCTATCCCTCAGTCATACACGAAATTACGTCCCTTAGACACGTTACACCTCGTGCTCCTGAAAGAATTGCCTTACTCGTTTGTCTCCTTCGATTTGCTACTTTAGAAATTGGACCTAGGTCGTTGACTTGGTCTCTTTCTTCCGTGGTTGGCTTGACTTTTACAGGCATCCTAGGTAGCTTGGCTGACTATTACGAACATCACGGACATGACTAATTCGCGATTATATCATTATTTCCACAGAAGGAATATTGTTGCCCATGACGTTCACTTCCACGTTCGCTTTCGTTAATTTATTAGTAGCTGGTCAGCTACGATTATGGGAAGATTGCCCGAGTCGTGCCTCTATTAGGACCTGGGTATCTAGGATTCATGGATCTTTGAACCAAGGACCTCGGTTCCTAACTTCTTAGCTACATATCCTATCTTACGTCGCATCCTTTTTCTACTTTGTACTATGCGTCCCAGAAAACCAACCCAACCCGTTTCGTCCCCCGGTAAGTAATGTACCTCGAATCTGCCAACAGTCCACTGAGTCCAGCTCATGTTACCTCATGGGCTTCATGGATTGCGCGCCCACCAATTGCCCCTCAAAAGCTTCCCCCGTTGTGGGCAGGCTATGCTGTTATCCCAAGGGACACTGGGGACATTGGAGCCATCACCGACGTGCCGTTGCATTGCGCAATGCGGACGAAGCCCTCCTCTACAGCTCGGTAGCTCATCGAGTAGCCCGCAAAGTCGGTACTCGATATTTCAGCGTACGTATGCGGGCTCCAGCAATACTTCCACCGTTGCGGTCCCGGATGAGATCACCGCATAGGTATCTTACATGGCTAATGTTGTGCCGTCCCGCCGTGGTTACCGCGACACACACTTGCGAAATGCAAAATCCAAAATGCAGAACTCAAAATTCAAATGATCGCGGATGGAAGCACTTGTGACCACATCAGCAGGAAACACTGCATATTACCCGCCAGTCGAATTAAGACAGAAAATTAGAAGACACCTAGCCCGCCTACTCAGTAGTAGGTAAGCATGACAGCAATATATCGAAGTGAGAAAAGTGAGCATATCCTATCTGTCAATTTTTCAATAACCTCTTAGTCAAGCCAACTAGTCGATACATTGCCCCGTACGAATGTAACCTAGCGATAACATGGCAATTCGACTTCCCTTTTAATACGCCCATTGTGGTATCATGGGCATCATGGTTAGTCGTACGCTCCCCCAGGCTAAGGCTATGCGGAATACATGTACATCTGATGTCTTAGGGTACATGCGCATGTATGTACCTATGATCCAGATCGACTCATGGCAGCGCGAGATACGTATCTCGACCAATATCCCGGCTGATCCGCATCAAGCATCATCTAGCAGGGAACTACAGGATATAGAGAACATGACTTGCACGAATAGTAATTCCCGAGTGGACCAATAGACGATAAAAATAACGGAATCCCTAGTGAGAGAAACCCCTGCTCCAAACTGGGCTGCCCAGGCTTGTCTCTTTTCTGCAGGACCCCCATTTCTTCCCGCTTCGCAGGGCTCCCTTCACAGAGCCACGCTCGTGTACGCCGTAGAGGCCGTACTCAAAAGATACTTACATAGTAGCGGAGACCAGGGTCTACCGCCGCATTCCGTCAGTATGCCTCTCTTCCTCTTACATAGGTAAGTACATGTGCCACAGTGTACTGTCGAATGACAAGATGCTCAGTAATAACTACCATGTAGCATGCAGCTGGCCCTCTTCCTTGGTTGCAGAGCCTTGTGCCACCCACCAATTGTAGATCCCACACTCATATATGTCGAGTCCTCCCCCCAGAACAGCCCGTTCCCTTCTGTTTGTCTGAATTTCCCTTGCGTCCGCGCTCCACCATGATGCTATCTAGACCGGGAGTTAGTATTCGGAGGTTCATATCACAGAGACGAGTTCAAGATGAATATGATGACGGGGTTACTATTGGAACCGACAGGCTGGGTAACAAAGCGGGACGGAAAGACGCCGGCACGCCTAAGAGGCGGCCCTATAGTAAGAAACGACCGCCGCCGCCGATTATAGTTAGCAGGGAACAAAGTATTCATGACATACTGGACCCTTTACCACCACTTCCATCACACGAAACGCCACGTTCTTCAGCTAGTTCATTGAATAGCAGCGACCGACACAACGACTATAACTTATCACAATCATTCGATTCAAAGAGGTCAAAGTCGCCGCTTTGTTCCATATCCTCAAAGGAGGATTACAGCAGGGAGTCTCTCCAACTCTCTAGCGCCACGAGCTACGGAGGCGATGACTTCCCACCCAAACCTCCACCCAAGGGTCACGGAAGGTCTTCAGAATCTCTGAGGCGCCAGATTGATTTGCCAGGTTCGAATTTTGATCTGACGGAAGCTTTATCTTACCAATCGGAGGACAAAGCACCGACATCAAAGCAGCGCCTGCGACAATCTGAATCATTGTCGAGTATCTCGGATAACATTCAACAACTCATTCAAGAGGCAGATGAGGCATTCAGGACCATCAGCGCTCTCACCGAAGTACGAATTGCGGGAAATACCAATACAACAAATAACACAAATAACGCACGTAACACACACAAAGAATTACCGCGAATACCTACACCTGATCAATCGCCAATATTGAAGCCGGCAACGCCTGTCCCTCAAAATCGAGTACAGAACCCGCCACTACAAGTTGTCACTTCGCCGCTTCAATCGCCTAGACGAACATCAACCGCGACTGCCGGAGTGAAGAGGAAGAAGTCTAAGAAGTCAAAGACGAGGTCAATGCGGCCGAGCCGGAAACCTGGTGCCGCCAAGTCGGCGGCGAAAAGTGGACCAGGATGGGCATTATCGGATAATGTGACGGAGCTGTTCAGCGGGAAATTCTTCCGAAGGGTCGAGGTGGATGAAATGCTTACGCCGAGCCAGTTAGAAGCGTACAGACTGCGTAGGATGTCGATAATGCAGTCGGAGAAGTCGACCGAGACTCTTGACACCGAATCGAGCGATACGCCGATTGAGCCATTTCACCTCGACGACCTTCCCTCTCGCATCAAGTCTGCCAGCGTGGAACTCGACGTCGAGACTCCGACTGCGGAGAGACCTAACCCACCAGGTCTCGAAGCCGTCGTACGCCGAGACTTTGCGCTGGAAGGTCACAATGAGAACCAGAATTCCAACATGTCGGCGGCGTCTCGGACGGATATTGGAGAAGAGCCGATGGAATACAAAGATGCAATTTTCCCTACGCCACCGCTGAGACATTCCGCACGGTTTACTAGGAGAAGTCAGGGGACCTTGCCTAGTATACCGGAGTCCTCAGCTGTCACAACACCCAAAAACGACCTTTATAGCCCGGGTCTAGGGAATTCACGAGATCTTGTAGCCGATTCAAATTACGTTTTCCTTCAATCGTCACCATGCTCCATGACCAGTCCCATTTTCCGACACGGGCCAATCCGATTAGCAAAAAGCGATCTGATAGCAGACATGAAAGTCGGAGCGGACGAAGGACTGGACTGGACAGCGTTTCAAATGGCTATTTCCGGAGGAGCCGGAGATTGGTTCTCTGAAAGCGACGACACGATTCGCCGCAGAGAGGCGGAGGAGGTCCAAGAATTGGTCGAATGGTTTGATTCGTGGAACTTTAGCCGTCCCGGAGGCCTCGTAAAGGACTACGAAATTCCCAGTCCCACGAGTACGACATCGGGTGAGGACTACTCAGACGTGTCATACAGTGAAATCGAGAGGGACAACCCGTACAGTCCGCACCACCGGTGGCAGCAGTCTCAGCGCAGGATGGCGGCCGAAAGCCGTCAACTAGATCGTGACATGTCCGGACTCGAGTTGGACACTTCGAAAATGTTCTCCGACGACCAATCGAGCTACAAGAGCTATGACGGCCGCGAGAGCTACGCCAGTCTTCCTCAGAGCCCAATGTTAGACCTTCGGGTTGTTCGGAGCCCAGAGGGTGACGATATGGACGTCGTCCCCATGGGCTACAATCTCGGACACGACCTGGGAGATTTCCTTAGATGGGAGGCAGAACATGCCTATGCTGGTGATTTTTACAGTTAAAGAGCTCAGGCGTTATTTTGGGTTTGGGCTCTTTTTGATTTTCGGCTTTTGATTTTTCGAACATTCATGTCATGAACAAGGCGCATATGTTTGCTGGGAAATGCCAACTCACCTTTTCGATCCCATTTTTACTTCTCTCTTTTACTTGGAATGAGGCCTATGTCGGAATTTTACCACACCATTTACTGACCTATCTCACCGTCATTATACCATTTGTTCTTTCGGGCGTTGGAAGGTACACGCTCCATACAAAAACAATACTCGATACATTTTGGGGTATGCGAAGCGCGGCGCTTGGATTTTTTCATTTTATAAACATCATTGAAGCATTTTGATTTAGCCAACATACGTCATCTGTATCTAGGTATTCGTTACGCAGTGCAGAGACTTGGGAGGTATGCTGATGTCAACCGTTTTTACATCGGGAATTTATGAGGGACACGGGCTAGGATAATTGGAGTTCAATGTCAGGAGTTATCGAGTTATCAAGGTGATGGGAAGGTGGTGGGAACTTACGCGGTCAGGCCGGGTAGTTGCGACCATTTGTCGTACAGAAGTTTATTGGATTTTTGAGATTTTTGATTTTTGTTAAATATCGACTCATCTTCCAAATCATAACCACCATTGACTATCTTCAAAGTTACACCGCGAATTATCGTTGGTGGTGCGCAATTGGAAAGGTGTCATTTGTTCTTGTCCACCCTCTCTATTGACGTCGTCATCCATCTCTGGGTTACCTCTAACTTGACAGGACACATGTCACTGCGATCAATCATAACCTTACTACATTCGGAAATCCAACAATTCCACCTAGTTTGCGTTCCGACTCATCCACCATATCCGGCTTGGCCACGACTTTAGGCCTTTTCCCCTTGGACGAAACCTAATCGCAGACTGGCAGATCGGCATACTGAAACGAGTATAGTTTTGGGCCTACGTCACCCACCGAAAGTCAGGCCCGCGACGTAATGCTGTATATCTTATTGAAGCATGCCTTAATGGGTCTAAGCCGCGCGGTAACCCCGTTCTTGTTGTTAGGAGGTCCCGCCGCAGCCATGCAGTACGATAATTCAGCTCTCACCATCACCTCCGTGGGCACTCCGGATCCCTTCGTCACTGTTTTCAGGGGGCGCTATTATCTCGTAAGCTCTCAGCATCCTCTTTGCCTAAATCAGTAGACTGATTTTACTTAGACGTTTACTACCGGGAATAGAGTTGAGATATGGTCCTCCCGTAGTCTGGTGGATATAGAGAGCTCTGCGGATAGACATGTAATTTGGTATGGTTAGCCTCTAAAGATATCTTAAACACTCCCTAAGCTATGGCACTGACTCGTTATTCAGGACCCCGCCTCAAGGCACAGACCACTCGGCCGACCTCTGGGCTCCCGAGCTACACGCTCTAAACGGCCGATGGTATGTCTACTACGCCGCTGCGAACCCAGCTTATGGTAATAAGAGCCACCGGATGTATGTGCTAGGCGGACCACCCGCATCCGAAGATCCATGCCGGGGGCAATGGGAATTCTTAGGCCGTATTCACGCCACGCAGGATCATTGGGCCATCGATGGTACCGTATTCGAGCTGAACGGTCAACTTTACTTCGTGTACTCAGGCTGGCCTCTCGACAACCAAAACGACTCGGACCTCGTTCAGCAGTTGTTCATTGTGAAGCTCTCGGATCCGACGAGCGCAGCTAGCCCCGCCATCATGATTTCCACCCCGCAGCATGAATGGGAGATCACCCGCGAGGGTAACGGCACGGACCATGGTATCAACGAGGGCCCGCAGTTTTTGCGATCGCCCGACGGTGGCATCTCCTGGCAGGGTCTGGTCTTCAGCTGCGGAGGCAGTTGGACCCACGAATATAAGATGGGACTGCTCAGGTACACTGGCGGTGACCCGTTAGACCCGGCATCGTGGCGTAAGGGCGAGGAGCCGCTCATGCAGACGCGAAGACACGGCGCGGGTCCGTACGGGCCGGGCCACGGCTCGTTCATCGCCCTCGGAGACCAGGTCGTGGCTATATACCATGCCACTGACAGCCCGACGGACGGGTGGGAAAACAGAAGGGCTCGGGCGCAAAGAGTCGCGTTCACGAGGGACGGACCGTACATGGGCAGGTCCCTAGGCTTGGAGATGCAGAAGCATGATGGAGGGCTGGTCAAACGCATGAAGCTGAGGTTAGGGATGAGTGGGAAGAGCAAGGCAGAGGCAGCGAGCGAGAAGAACTTGAGAATGTTATTGGGGAGTTGTTAGGTGGGGTTTGCTACATACTTGACTACTAGTACTTAAGCTGATGAATTGATGTGAAGAGGTTTGTGGTGGAGGGGAGAGGATACAACCTAGTAACTTGAAGTATGGTAACGCATGGTATATATGGTATGATACGGTATGAGATATTGAGGTCACGAGATAGGTAGTGTGCTATTGCTTATGATGACTGTTAATTCTATAGAATCTGAGAATCGTAAGTTATCTACTTATGATTATGTCTTGCTTTCTTGATATGCTTGACAAGAGATATTGGCAAATTAGGCAATAGGTAGCTTTCTTTACAGGTGGGCATGTGGTTAAGTTTGGGTTTAGGGGACTTCGTATAGATGTGTCAAGGACTTTGAATATGGAGATCCATCATGGTGACTAGGTATATAGGGCAGATGGGACAGAATCCCGGCTAGATAAAAGGCTTGTAAGGGGTAACAAACGCCAACGCCAAATCGAGGTATAAGCCGCCTTAATAATACACTGATAGCAACAGTAGATATCTTGAAAAGTTTCCATAGATACTTAGGTACCTACCAGTTTCAATACGCCTCACTCCCTTTGACGTCTTACACTACCTACGTCTCACCCAGTACTGTTCTAGAACTAATCTTTTGATATAATGCCTACCTAGGTAGTGGTAAATTTTACAGCACTAGTGTTTAGAATACATGAATTTGCCTAACAGTAGGTAATATGCATAAACGTCCAGCAGTTGTAATGAGATTGTTCTAGCATGAGAATCGGGTACGAGGCCTCGTTACCCCCGTACGGCGGGATCGATGAAAGGCTTTGTGTGAACATTACTTTCTTTGTCCCGAGGGAAGATAAATAATGGTGGGCTAAGACGGAACATCGTTATTGCACCAGGTAGGTATTGGGGGATAGGGATAGGGGAAGGGAAAGGGGTAATGGTGGAGGTAAGAAAAGGAGGAGGAGTCGGTTTTTGGCTTCTCGGAGGTATTGGGTAATGATAATGATACCTAATGACCATGTATATATAATGTTATGATAGGTATTGTGTATTCTGTCAAGGATGGGTTGGGGGGTACCTAGTGGGAAGGTCTCGCGATGAACGGTAGGGCAGGATATGTCCCACGAGGTGGATTTTCTATGGACCTGGGTTATAGATGTTGGTGGTTTCTATGTGTTTGATTCGTAGGAATTATCTATATATGAAGAGTGTTGGGGCTGGAAGCTTTTCTGTGGTGTCTTTAATTCGTTCAGCGTGAGCTGTGCTTCCTTATATCCTCTCAATTTTCTTGGTATTTATTTCATGATAGGAGATGCAGTATAATCCGAACTTAGGTATGGAGTTCGGGCAAGTTACATAAGGGAAATTAACTTAAGAGTTTTCTATTTGTATACCTTATATGTCGTAACTCCAGGATCAATCTCTCTAAAAACCATGACACGTCCTGTCCTGATACACTAGGGCATGAGTTACAAGATCACGATGTCAAGATAAGGCAAGAAATGCTTCAAATGCATTCGTTTCTCTTTCCTAAAGTCCATCTCGTATATCATCCCCGACAAGGCGCCAAGAATATTATTTTGCCACTATAAGTACAAGAAAAACACTGTTGTTGATCGATTGTTCGGAAGAACGCGAGACCCTCTCCTGTCGTGTGTCGCATAAAAGCCCTTCCACTTCCACGCCACCTAGGTCCTGTCCGTTCATCCATCCTATCATGTCATCCGAAACAACCGGTGCTCAAGAACTCCTGAGATTAATCTCAAGAACTCCTTGAAAACAAAACTGTATGCCCTAAATATCATACCGGGCATCCCCATAAACGTCGCAAGGTTTCTCGTATTAGACATTAATAATAGGTTGCCATCTGCAACCGAAGAATGCCGAGACCGTCAAGCCTTCTAAGCTGTCATCTCTGGTGCTCTTCCTCGGTGCTCCCCGTTCAATCCAGTCTCGGAATCCAATACAGAATGGGCTTGCTCATCTTCCTCTAACTCTTCCTCTTCGTACTCGTGATTCTTGGGTTCACCAGCCGCAACCCACGATTCGCGGTCGTTAAGCGGCGCATCCTGACCTGACAGGTCTAGGCCTTCTGATCGGGCTTTGATGTTGTTACGACGTCTCGTCGACAGCGTGCGAGCTCGCGTGGATAGCTTCGGGTTTACGGCTGCGTTCGATGACACCCAGTTAGTCAGCGCATCTTCGCAGTCCTGAATGATGGCTTTGCTGGCTTCGTAACCGTCGTACGCGGCGCGGGTTTCGCCGGGAGTCACAGGGGTATCGTCGATTAGCTCGAGCAGATGTTTTCCGTACCCTGCAATGATTGCGACTTTCTCGCAATGTTCCTGTAGGGCGTCGAACTGGTACGCATAGGCGGACTTCAGCTTCTCACGGGTAATGTTGGATAGTTGGGCTTCGGCAACGAGCGATTCGGCTTCGGCGCGAACTAGTTCCTGCTCAAGGACAACGATTTTGGGCGAGTTGGGCTCCTTGTATTTGAGCTGAGCGATCTGGTCGGCGATCTTCTGTTTGCCTTTACTGGTATTAGCTGGTGGGCTAGGTTGTTGGTCCGTTGCCTAGCAATACTCACGGTCTCGACTAGGCTGTACTGATGCCTCAATATTCCTGATACTCTTCATAGTGACTCGGTACTGGTCATACCGATCGACGTATTGATCTTCGAGCTCACCAATCTCGTAGATGAGCACACCAAGTTTGTCGGTGACGTCAGACACATCCTCGTCAGCGGCCTCGCCCCAAAGGGACAGTTGTTGCTAGGGGGTACGTTAACAAAACATAACATAATTTGGCGCTGCGGGTAATGTAACATACAGCGACCTCCATGCGCTCCTTCGCGACAAGCTCCAAGCTTCGCATCACATTCTTCTCCATCTTAACAAGCTGGGTCAACTTCTTGGCAAGGTCGGGCCCGAAGGCGCCAGCAGCATTGCGACGGAGCGCATGTCCTAGCATTCTTGTCAGCCTATTGAACTCCATAATGCCGAAGATAGTAACCCGAGAGGTGATCGTATGTTGGGAACTCCTAAGTGACTTACCAAATCCGCCTCTTCCGAACAGCCTACCGGACTTGGTGGATGATGGCGGGGGAGGGGGGTTCTGGAATCAACGAGGTTAGCAGTGTGTCGTAGTCATGGAAGCGCATTGAACAAAGCAATGAATCCTTACCTGGATCTGAGAGGCAGTAGGCGCCCGAGTCTGGCGCATAGAGTAAGTTCGATGCATCGTGGCAGGCGAATTGGCGATGAATCGTGAGATTGGTGCAATGATGTGACGTGAATGGACGTCGAGAAACAACCTTTAGTTCGGATGCTGTTACAATATTATCAAGGAGCCTCGGTAACTTTGGGCTTGTTTCGCTTGAGGCAGGCGTATAGAACAAGTAGAATTTAGAGGTAGAGGTAGAGATGGAGGTAGTAAATGTGAATACTAAAAGCTTTGTATGGTTGAGTCAGAAAGTGGAGGGGAGTTAATAAAGGTAGACGGATTGGGATGATCGCATACGTAAGGTACACACTATTTTTTATCTTCTATTTAAGAAACGGAAGATGGAGATGATGGCCCCATGGGTGAAGAGATACGGGCTGCGGGCATGGGGTTGTAGCGGATTGGGCTGTCAGCCAATCCGTCCACTGGCTGTTGGAAGCTCTGACAATCAGAAAAGTGGAAACAAAAGAAATAAAGCTGGTTCCTTTCTGGCCCTACGTCATCGCTGCCGAATTGTACTTTTTAGTCTTCAATAGGGCCAGGCTAGTCCCAAAATGACAATTGACTCAGATAGGTAGTGTGCTACTAGTGTCGATCTTATTCTTTAGTAAAGACATTCACGTCTTAGACGAGGTCCTTTTCAAATATACTTGTAGATCTGTAGATGTTACGTTCCGCGTGCTTCCAATGCATGCGTCCATATTAGCTCCCAACTAGGTAATTAACTGCTTTCTTGAAGTTACGTAACCCTGGAAATCCGCCTACTATTGCTTGACTCAAGAAAGTTTAAATGAAGAACAATCATGAGACTGTCTTCTTATTCATATACGTATGACTATATGACTAGTAAATTCAAAGATTTCTACAACTACTCAGTATGTAGAAGACCTATAGACTTCTAATAGATGAATATGTTCTTTCTCATTTGAATAATGACAGCGTTGAATTTCATGAACTGCTACATACGTAGGTAGCTATCGATAATTGCCTAGGTTATTTAGTGCAACTTGACTTCCTAGGAAGTCAACAGAACCTTGCAGCTAGATTTGTAAGGTGAAGTGGAGTACATATTAGCCACAGAAGCAGCCACCTGAGCACTCTCTTTTTGACTGATTAGATAAGGAAATTCATCTCGGGTCATCTCGTATCACTTCATCTCATCAGCGCGTCACTCAAAAGTTAAAGTTCACGTTAAATCAGGTTCGTCAAAGTATCAACGTGATTTGTCTTCAAAAGATTCTCTTCATGATAATTACCTAATTATCCTCCATTCATTGGTTTGTCTTACCTTAGGCCTAAAGATTTACTATGCTAATTTTATCGTAGACTTTCAAAGGATTAATTTTAAGGGGTTCCGAGGACATCCAGGTTGTTGGAGACGCGTCGGTATCCTTAACGCGTCAAATAAAATTACTACTATCACGACTACCTTCAGTCAAAGTCATCTAATATATGGATCGTATTAGATGATGGGTCTATCACAGTCGCATCCTTGGTAGGCTCAAGGACGAGTATCAAAGCGGCAGGGGCGGTACGAGCACATCGACTTAGATTTTAACGGTGTGCGCCCCAGCGGCAGCCACGGTGGCGCAATGACGAGAGATCATATTGACTTGACCGCCGTCGTGTCTGACTCTGAAGAATCAAATGCCTTGGATGATTCTTCTAGAAGAAGCACGCAGTCACAATCTCAGCCAGGTTCACGTATCCGGAAACCTGATAGCCCTCAACGGTCTTCAGATCAGCGAGCAGCATCTTTGCAAAAAGACTCTACTTCTATCCGCGCGGCAACACCGCCGAGACAAATAAAAGGTTCTGCATCAAAGCCTGTCGGTCAGGATGCGAAGATGGCCTCCCTACCAGTTAGATCGTCTGGTAGCTCTAGAAATGCTCCAGATACAACTCCCCCGTCATCTCATCATCACACATCCTCCATCCATCGGACACCCAAACACCACACCCCAAGGAAGCTTGAGTGGAATATCGACAAGGTTGAAGAAACTCTACGGAATTTTTCAGAAGAGATCGGTACAGACGGGGCTAAGCTCACTGCCCGCTTAATTCACATGGCCTGGAAGAAGGAAGCTCCTGTGCAACAGTTCACTAGTAAGAAAGATTGGTTCGCCGATATGAAGCGGACCCCGGTCGAAGCCTCTAGCAAGTCATCAGATACGATGAGAATTAAAACAAAGGTTTGTCTCCTAAATGCATGAACCTGAGTAATTCGCAATCCTATATGCCATAGGCTGGAAAATGAGTGTTCAACTAACGAATATACAGCAAGTAGGCCAAGGTAGATCCGGAAAGCAGGAAAAACGTGAACATCATCACGTCATCTGCATCAAGACTAACGTCGATATGGTCCCTTCCTACAGCTTCCATCATGTCGAAATAAAGAAGAATATCCTCTCCCCCAATACTATGTTAACCTATGTTCCTCATCTGAGGGACCTCGCAGATAATGAGGAGGGTGTTTACCGCCGTTGGCTTGAAAACCTAGAGAACATGGACAAGACTTCTGGGTTTGCTACGCTCAGCAGACATCAAAAGGTGACCAAAACTATTAAAAAGGAGCGTGCCACTACTCTACTTCTGTACCTTGATTCGTGGCTAGACAGGCTTGCCATTGAGAATTGTACTAAGACTACACTCATTCGGTATATGGTGAATCAGGGCGATAATGTCACCCCTCAGCAGAAGTCGAGCATTTTGAACTCATATACTGACGAGCCCGGATCCCCACGATCAGCTAAAGCAGTAAGGATTTTTACAGAAGCATTCGACCGAGTCTTCAACGATCCAGCTCTGCGTGAACGAGCTGTACCTCTTCGCGACGTCCTCTTACTAGATAAGTCGGTTGATACCATCGTCGATTCTAAGAAATGGATGAAGGAAACTCCCAGCCAATCTAAAGTCGCAGAAGAGCAGACGACAGTTGAATCTTTCCTGGAGACATATGCACTACTCGGTTGCTTGGTATGCACTAGTCATTCATGCGAGCATGGAGAATACGGCGTTGATAATGAGCGGAAACGCTTTTCTGTTGAGGTAGTCGGTGGTTTATCGCCCATGATTCGGCAGCAGCTTACGCAGAAACCAAAAGAAAGGGGTGACGATGGCCATCCTACGCCTCGCAAGGCCAAAAAGCCTTGCGGTGAGGATTGCTACTTGAATGTACGACCGGGAACGCGAGCCAAAGCATGGAACGACAACGAGATAATGCTCCTCAAATCGTTCATTTCAACATTGAGCAATACCAGCATTCCTATACAGTGTGCAACTGCTGTTGCTACTGGAAGACCTTGCTGGGATGTGCAGCGCCAGCTCGATAAAGTCGAACTGCCGAAGCCTACTACCGCCCCGTCCCCGGTACAGCCCATTCAAGTTAAACCGTTGCCATGGTATGATAGGAAAAAGAAGATGCTCATAGGAGACTGGCAAGAGCATACCAACACTCACGAACATCAGAGGAAGGACTTTTTCGATCCATGCAATCACGAAGGACCATGTACACACAAGAACTGTGGGTGTGTCCAGAACCACATCATGTGCGAACGCTTTTGTCGATGCACGGCATCAATTTGTGCGAACAAGTTTACCGGCTGTGCCTGTCACTCTCACGGGAAGACATGCATCTCTAAGCAGAAAGACCGGCCATGTATCTGCGTACAGCTGAATCGCGAATGCGATCCTGCCCTGTGTGGAAGCTGCGGTGCATCCGAAAGGGCTCATCCAGCGAACGCAGACAATGATGCCCTACATGCCACAGGCTGTCAAAACTGCGCGCTGCAGCGAGGTAAGTCAAAGTCGCTTATGCTTGGAAAATCTAAGATTGCCGGTTACGGGCTCTTTGCGACCGAGGATATCGCCCAGGACGAATTTGTGATCGAGTACGTTGGAGAACTTATCAGTCAGGATGAGGGTGTCCGTCGTGAAGCACGACGTGGAGATGTGTTTGACGAATCGTCTAATTCATCGTACCTCTTTACTCTATTAGAGCAGGAGGGCATTTGGGTAGATGCCGCCATATACGGTAATCTCAGCCGTTACATTAATCACCAGGAAACCAACTGCAATGTTACACCCCGAATTCTCTACGTAAACGGCGAATATCGCATCAAATTTACTTCCTTACGCGACATTAAGGCTGGAGAGGAACTATTCTTCCATTACGGCGAGAATTTCCCGAATCTCACCAAGAAACTTTTGCAAGAAGAGAAGGCCGAGAAGAAGCGACGCAAAGCTAAAGAGCAAGCTCGAAAAACGGCGCAGGGTGGAGAAAAGGTGAGGAAGAAGCCCGGTCGCAAGCCGGGACGGAAGCCAGGACGAAAACCAGGTCGCAAACCGAAGAAGAAGACATTCGCTACTGTGGAGTCGGAGCCGGAAGATGACGACGACGTCCTCGAACCTTCAGAAGAACCGTTTCCCGATATTGATATCAAGCCGCGCAAGCGTAAGCGTGCTATTCTTGACGACGAAGACTCGGATGAGGGCGAGTACCGTCCTGGGTCTGATTCTCAAGGTGGCGTAATGGCTGACGCCGGCGACACATCGCCAACTCGGAAACCGTCCCGGTTTAGAAAACGACTAGGAGCACCAAGAGCAAGGAAAGGCTTCCCAGCTACTTCGTCTAAGCGCCAAAAAGCAAAGGAGGCGTCGAACGACGACGACGACCCCGACATCACACCGAAACGTCAGCGGAAGAAGCCGCGGCGGATCCTTAACGATGCCACACTCGACGAGATCGACGATGCCTTGGTGGTGGAGAGCAAACCTCCTGTAGTAACCACGCCTAAGAAGCGAGGTAGGAAGTCGAACAAGCAGAAGGAGCTAGAGGCCAGGCAACGCGCAGAACTCGAAGCACGCCAAGGGGACACGGTCGTCATAGGAGGCGCACAGATCGTCCCCCCTCCGGCTCTAGGCAGCGCCCCGGGGAGCGCCCAAGGCAGCAACCGTTACAAGCACACGGAAGCGCGGCTCGAGCTGGAAACGGACTCGGCGGCGGGCGAGGACACGCCGTCGCGCATGCGCACACGCCGCCAGGCTAAAGACCAGGAGTCCAGCCCGCTCTCGACGCCCGACTCGCGGTTCGGAGACCCGGCGGCGGCGGCGGCCGACATCTCTGACTCGGACGTGCGACCGATCTCCAGGAGGGGACGCGCGAAGAAGGGCGCCAGCGGCGACGATGAGTATAACGGCAGCAGCTGGAACGATAGCGACGGCGCCCGGCACCACGGCGGCGGTATGATAACCGACGATGATGACGATAGCGAGGAGGAGGATGAGGACGGCTTGCCGATTGATCGGTCGAGGAATAGGAGGAAGCCCGCTCGGTACGAGGATTAGTTGTTGGCTCACACTTCGAAGTTGGGGGCGTTCCGCTAGGTGGATTCGATCGATTAATTCCTTGCATACACACCTGCCTACCACAGTACTTGAGATATCTGCTGCTAGTTAGGTACGTGGGTAGATACCAGGTAGCCAGATATTGGGTTTTAGGGGTCCAGTGCTACATTAATTCAACAATGTGTTTCTATTACAACGACAAGGTTCATAACTCTAGTCTACTAAGAGGGCATTTGAGATGTTATAACTGTTTGTAAAGGATCGATGAGCACTTTTTTGTAGTCCCTTCGCAATGAGGTAAATCCCGCCGTTCCCTGTGCTGTGAATAGATAAGATGTGGTATATATAAACAGAAAATTTGCGCCTCGCTCTCATTAAACCCAAGAACTCATTTCTTAAGTAAGTACCTAGGTATTTAGCTTGATTCGTCTCTCTATCGACTATGCTCCAAGATGTAGGTAGTATGCGATGAAGAACCTGGGCGGGGGAAGGGGTTGTCTATCGGTGATTGGGTAGGTATGTTTCGTAACTTGAGACCAGCATCGACGGTAGTAACTACTACTGTAGGTACCTACTCAGACATGATAGCAAAGACACTTTGCTATAATTAGATCCAAAGGTTTTCCAATCCATACTTATAAAGGCTGTCTAAGACCTACCTTCGACATGGCAAAGTGTAGGTACGCCGTACAGAAGAAACAGTTTCACTTCAGCATAGTACTATTTTGGAATTTGGAGTTGAATCCGTGATTACTGAAAACCATCCTACGAAAACTATCTACTCCAATAAGTCCACATGAGCTCAAACACATTTCATTCCCATTCTCACAAATTATCAAAATACCAGAAAAGCCACATAATTATGTCGTTAGCTACCTAGCTAGTAATGGTACTCGCGATATAGGCCCATAGCCCGTCCCATCTCCGTCCCGTCCCGTTCCAATCCGCGGTAGAACAAGACCGGAACCAAGAAAAAAAGCGTGGCCGTGGAGCCCGATCCCAAAAACAAACCAAGGCAAAGCGGCATATTCACTTCGTGGTAATTAGCAACTGAAAAACCCCCCTCCGATAGTGTACACGATAACATGAAGGACCCATAACGCGCCATTTCCCTTCCGTCGTCCTTCTTTGCCATTGTATCCTGGAGGTATCGGAGGAGAGAGAAAATAAAAACACGCCGATTCCTCCTCCCCCTATCCCGTAAGCTCGCCGGTCAACTGATAACCACCCGGGCTCTAGTTTGGTATTTGGTTCCAACTGCTGGTGTAAACCGAGTAGAACCATTTCTGGCCTGCTCTCTCGTGTCCGCAAGGATTGCTACACCCTCCGACTCTCATTCCCATGGCACCGTATTTTTCTGCCTTTCTGTCCGCCTTGAGTTGGGTTGTTGACCGGATCTAGTTCGACGACTTTGGCGTTAGGACTTGCCGTTAAGCTAGGTCCCCTCCCTTGCGCATCGCACTTCTTAGCATTCTTCTAAGGGTGAAACTATTCGAGGCGAGAGAAGGCCTGCAGGCCTAAAGATGCGTCTCTGGTCCATAGTATAGGAGTTTTGGGTTCAATTTCGTTTTCGCGCGAAATGAATTTGTCCATATAATAGTCTCGCAAAGGGCCCTCGTATACGCGACCCTTCAGAAGAGTCTCTACACACTCTGGGGATACACGCTAGCAGGCTAGAAGAGAAAAGTTAGTTATAATTGGTATGCATCCTTTTAAACGTAGGCTAACATACCGGGCTGTTCAACATGTTGTTCCGCTTATTCCTGCCCTTCTTAATGTGGCTCTTGAGTGCGGAAGAGTCGAGCGGTTTCAGAAGTTCGAAGCTACATAAAAGCTCCGAAGAGACGGACATAACAGCTCCCCAGTTGTCGAATTCGCCGCAGTACTAAGATCAAATGGTTAGTATATAGATTAACGTATTGAGGACGAAGATTTTCTTACGTTTGGCGCGCTGAAGACAGTGACTAGAACCCTATCATTAAAAAATTCGTAACCGTCTTCGACGACCATGTGTGCTCGGCAGACTAGATCAAAATCGTGGGTCGCAAGGAAATCCGTGATGACCTTCTTCCCAAAGCAGTAACTAACACCCCTTTCGTTGGCTTCCCAATCCGCTTCCATGTCGGCGGGGTCAGACCAGAGTAAGTCGTTAAGCAAGCCGTAATCTGGAACGTCGGTAGGACGAGCGATGTTGCGAATATCATCCATGTGACTCAGCGCCGGAGACAGGCCTCCGTGAACACAAAAGATCTTCCCCGCAACTATAGCAGCGATTGGAAGCGTATTAAAGCAATCGATAAACGTCTTCCAAATCTTAACGTTACACCTCCGCTTGCATTCGTCGTAGAACCCATATACCCTCGTCACATTGGCGCATTCGTGGTTTCCTCGGAGGAGGAAGAAGTTCTCGGGGTATTTAAGCTTGTAGCACAGCAGGAGCAAGATGGTCTCCAAAGACTGCTTGCCTCTATCGACATAGTCGCCAAGGAAGAGGTAGTTTGCGCTTGGCGGGAATCCGCACATCTCGAACATACGGATAAGGTCCGTGTACTGGCCGTGGACGTCGCCGACGATCTTGACCGGCGCATCAAGCTCTAGCAATGCAGGCTGGGTAAGGAAACATTCGCGAGCTCTCTGGCAAATGGCGACGATTTCGGCGTTCTTGAGACAGACGCTCTTCGTTACCTTCCCAGCGTAAGCAGCATCCAGAAGTCGCTTAATGAAATCATCAAGATCAATATCTTTGATGTCGCTCATAGCAACCCCGGCAGGCGAGTCATCTTTTGAGGAGGACCCGGGCATCGATATAATTGGGTTAATAGTATTCTCCTTCTTAACCAAAATAGGTGCGCCAGGTTGCTGTTGTATGTGTGGATTCGGGTTCACAACCCCAGAAGGGGGTTGGTCTGACACATGATCCACCTCACCCGAAGCTTGGGCGGCGTTGATATCGCCGTGGCCAGCTCTGATGGAGGCGGATTGAACGGGAGAAGGAGGCGGTTGCGAATCTTCAAGTCGCAGATTCGCTATATCCGGTGTTGTTGGGGAGGACGGAGAAGCGAGCGAATCAGCACGGCTCGTTCTCGATCTACTACTTCGCGCTGACTTTACCGACGCCGCATCCGACTTGTCGAGGGCATCTCCGTTAGAGATAATCGCCGAGCTTCGTGGGCTGTCTGTCTTCCCACCACCGGGTATCTTGGATCGGAGGTTTTTGGAAAATGAGCGGGTAGATTCCTTGGTCTCGGACTTTCCAAAGGAGGGATATGATTGCAGGTGCTCGGCGCGGTCGCCGGATGCGCCGCCAGAGCTCTTGGAGTTTCCTCCCTCTTTCGACGCTTGGTTTCCCATTGTCCTTTGTCGAGTATTAGGTTTCAAAAGATCCTCGGAATAAATGTTCAAGATAGCTTCGCGATCCCAAAACTTAATAATCGAACCACCCAAGCAAGAATAGGCACTGAAGCCTACCACTACGTTGTTCAAGGCCCGGCGATGTTTTGTTCGTTTACGTACAAGCTACTCCTAGGGAGGATGGAACAGTCGGTCAAGGACGGAGAGGAGGAGGGCTTCGGAAGAAGAGGAGGGAGCCGTTTTGTTCTCCGTCTTCGTGGCTACTAGATCGTATGGTGAGCGCCGGCGTCCTGGATAGGTCGGAGAGTTGCGGGAAGAGTAATCAGAAGTGAGGATGGGGTACGCAGTGCTGTCGCACTGAAAGACGGAATTGTCGGGGCGAAGAAGGTAGGACTGATAGTAATTGCGTAGGAGGCTATGCTGGTGAGCTTGAGGCTGGCGGAAATGTAATTAATCTAAAATGAAGGTCGGAATAATCAGTTATGGGGCACATGCGTGTTGAAGTTGCACATGTATAAGGGTATCGGCAGTTGTCCAGTCAATCCATCGGAGAGGAGGGGGAAAGGAAGCTGGAAAATTGATTGCAACGATAAAGAAGACCGGGGAGTTGCGGAGGAGAGAAGGATGAGGTAAGAAGATGTGCGAAGGGAGGGAGGTTGATAATGATGACGATCACGAAGGTTTGGGGCCGGTCTCGTCTCTAGGTATATTTTTTTTTCCTTCTACTCCTCTCTTCTCCTCTTCTTTTTTGGGGATAAGACAGCCCAAAATTCCAGGGAAAATGCGGGGAGAAAGGCTCTCGTCTACACTCCTTCAGAGAATGCGGCGAAGGTGATGAGTAAGGGTTATGGGTATGGGTATTGGTGTGTAGTGTGCGCAGTGTGCGTAGTGTGTGTGTATGTAGTAGGTATGTAGGTATGTGGAAGATAAGACAACATGGGGATAGGATATAACCAAGGGACCCCTTGGAGCCAAGACAGAGGTCAGAAGAACGTGCTAGACTCTAGTGGATCTTTTGGCCGCGGCGCCAAGCAACGAGGGTAACCGTCTCACCGTATTATACATACAGGTCAGTACTTGACGTGTACCTAATGGAGAAACTACTACATATGTATGTGTATGTAGTATGGTGTAGTAGGCATGAGGAGACAAGCTGAGTAGCCTGATCTGATTCCGATAATTCGAGAGTTGTGTTATACACACGGCAAGATATGCTCGTGTGTATGTCTCCAAGTCCAGGTTCGGATGGATCTATGAATCTAGGTATGGATCGATGGATTGTTGGGATCGCCCGTTTGTTTCGTTTGTTCACTCGTCTGCTCGTTCGGTTTAATTAGGTATTTATCTATTTTCTGCCTTCCCTACTGTTCTGGTTGTCTGGTTTTCTTCTTTCCTTTTCTCTATGCGCGCGCAAGCCAGAGAAAGCGAAAGGGATTGGGTTTTAACGGTAGGTGTAACGAGGTAAAAACGTCTCGTCGCAGCTCAAGGTCATTGATGACGACAAGCTACCGACAAGGTTGGTCTAAATGCTGGACTGGACTGGCCGGATTGTTACAATGCACGATTTTTGCAAATAGAAATATGTCGCTTTATTTAGGAGGGGCTCCGCGGTTGTGTATGTTATTCTTTTCTCTTTAAGCTGCCTTGGTTGCAAGGTTGGGATCGGGTAGGACAATGAATGCAGCACGTTGGAATTTCAGGCTTCGTGATAAGTTGATTATTGGTTAGGTAGGTAGGTATTGGTAATGGTAAGTCGGCTAAGAGCCTAGTCAATTGAGGGAAGAGGGAAAGAAGAGAAATACGTGAGTCGAAATATCCCAAAGTCCCAAAATATGTAGATAGGCAACAAATGATAATGATAATAATAATGTGTATATATGACAGATGTAAGTATGCGCAGATACCTTGTTAATTCTGGAGTTGGGTGTGAGGTAGCTGCTTTCCACTTTCGAATGGTCCGTGACGCCGTCCGACTGGCGCGAGCAACTTACAGCTAGACTTCCACCTAAGCAATTTAGTGGGAAAGTGCAAAGTGCAAAGAGCAAAATACCAGGTAGGAAAGTACCAAACCTGCCAACCATATCAGACCGCTATGTATGTAGCTAATTTTCGGAGGGGCTCCGTCCTTCCGGCTCGAGTCAAGTCGTCTAAAGTTGCTCGACTCCATTATTTGTAAGTTGGATTCTATTGTAGTTTCTCGGTTTTCCTTTCCTCTTTTTTCTCTCTTTCTCTCATTGATTGGCAACAAAGAGATTCTCGATTCTCGATTCTCGGAGGTAATAGATTTTTAATGTCTTACACGCGGCTCATTTAAAAATTATAAATTGATTGTGTGGGGTTGGGAGAGGCAAAGCTCGATAATAATACGTCTACCTTAACATCCAACATGCCAGGTACGGTAGGAGGTCAGGCCCCTCCCCTACCTTACCCTGCTTACCCTACCTCATAGTGCCTAACGCTCCATTAGGTCTGCGATGCTGCGAAGTTGCGGGAGAGACATGGTCGAATGGACAACCGAACGGGCATTTCCAGTAGATCAAGGTGACATGCAGACGGGAACAATCTAGTCAAATATATTCGACTTCAAATGAAAACCAATGAGAACAAGTGAACCTCGTCGATCAGGGAACCTCAATGACACCTGCTGCAAAGATCTCAACTGCGAGCCCGGCTTTTGTTCGTCTCTTTGATTTGTATTGCCTAATACGGACAGTGGCAACTGGTTCTGCTTGTCCGATAGGTAAATCTCTTAATAATCCATGTTTCGATTCATATTGCTGACATTTTATCGAAATGTATTTCATTCTACATGGAAACTCTACATAGAAATCTTCATATATCCGACGTTGTCTGAAGCGAGCGTGAGTTTTGATATCACGATGCTTGGCGGTGGCAATTACAAAACACTCCGTAGCACCACAAGCGAACATCGTATGCCTTTCGAGCGTCTTGGCTTTGGCTTGTCAGGTCTGCTTACTTGGCATCTGTCGTCCCAATTTGGGTACCATTTCTATTGGAGTCCACCCAAAGCTTGACACTACAATTAATACCGGCACCGTGGCAGTTGCATACTCACCAGCCTCTAACATGTTCGGATTGATTAGCCAAGAACACGTTGTAGATAAAGTAAAAGCTTACAGGTAGCTGTTATGTTTGATAAAAGAAAGACCCAATAGGAATCCTGTGCGTCAGGTCGTGTCGCGTGCTACCAAATCACCGACCGTCCATATTAGAAGTAGTGGGATCTGAGAAAAATACACTCGCTCGGTCGTCTAGTCTTTGCTATCTTTAGATGTTTAGGTTGATTTCGACCCAAGGGTCTGTTTTCATGCGTCATCAAAAAGTAGCCAGGTACCTGCTTAGGTATTTCCTACGGAGCCGCTCGACGATACGGAATTTAGTCAGCTCACCATGTCACGATCTACGAAGCCCTCCGTGGAAATCAAAACACAAAGTTTAGCCTTGGAGACGGTGATAGTGCATGACCATTCTGATGTAACACTACTTAATGTCATGTTCAACAGCGTCAAAAGCTGCACCTTTATTATTTACGAGCCAATGTCGTGAGATGTTTCCGTCTTCCGTCATCGAACGGTGGTGAGATAAATATGCTTCCGGATGCTTTGAGTCAAATGCCAATTGGATCATTAGGGTAGGACTATTTACAACCATACTATCACATCACTTTTGCCGGTGACGTACAGCTTCTTAATGGAGAAACTCTTTAATTGGTAACGGACGGCAATGTAGTGACCTATGATAGCCTCGGCCCGTCGACGCCATTATCACCACCCGCAAAGTGACTCCGACCTGACCCGGTCCGTCGGTGCATTCCGGATCCGGCAATGGCCTAGAATTCAGAGGCCTCCCACTTTTTCCAGACGCGGCCGGTAGGGCTGTACATTTGATACTCCGGCGCACGTTTCTCGGAAGCCGGTCGTCGGCAGCACGAAAGCAGTTACTAGCTATGTTATGCCTCAGGAGTATACGAGAATCCGGAGAATTTCACATGAGGTCTTTTAGATCGTTTAGAAAAAAGGACCCTTTGAATCTCGATAGATTACGTACTTTTTTCAAGCCACAACCATTGGCCTTCTAGATTCCCTATTTTTAGGTGCCTTCTTGTCAGAGATCTACCCCCGATCCTGCCCTAGCGGGTCTAGCATGAACCCGCCAAGATCCCACTAAGGGACCAAGCCACATTTGAGGTGCTGCGAGAAGCTCTATCGACTCCAATTCACAGCTGCAGACCGGGGTTTCTCTCGAGTACTCCAGATCCTCCTTCTAAATCCTTTGTGTTTCCGTCTTCAACCATTAACCCCTTTAGCTATCAGGTAGTTGAATCCATGATGTTGTTCTCATTGTCTAAAGTCTCGACCATGAATAATCAGGTTAAGTGTCTCTAAGCCGTTTCGGAAAGTCGGCAAAAACGTATGTCTTGGCCGGTCTCATATGACATCGGAACGGGACAGGATGGAGAATCGAGATAAGATGGGGACGCGTCAAGGGCATTGCCTCTTCGAAGTTTGTGTGGTGCTGACGCCACAAAAGCCCCGGAGCCCACGCCAAAGTCCACGCAGCCTGGCAGTTTAGCAGCTCAGACATGTGGGAATACACGATACATGCGAGAACACGCCCGATTCGAACACAAGCTGATCAGATTAAAAACTTTTCGACCAGGGCAGCTAAGGTTACTAGCCACGCTGATCTACATTTCCCCATTGTAGCTTCGCTGCGAGTTCCTCGAGTTCTGTGAAGCTCGACGCGGCCCCTCCACTTATTCTCTATTTTTCTCTGCCCTTTTCGTATTCGACGATGTCACCCCGTTGCCCTACCGAACTGTGTTTGATTGCCCTCGCACACGAAACAACCGAACTGCAGTTTACTAGTTCGTCTAGTTTGTTTCTATCAGATGCTAGATGTAAATGCACACATACCTGCTCTCGGAAGCTATCCCCAAAAGATACTCTCAGACTGCCGAGACTATGTAATTTAGGCCCTGGTCGATCGCCTAGCCCGGAATTGTGATATGCTTCCAAGGGTTGTTGGTCTTTTGTAGCGGTTTGTAGCGAAAATGTAGATGTCAGCCACGGCACCCATGAAATTCGTGAAATCCTTTGACCGGAATTTCTCAGCTGCTGCAAGCCTTTATCTCGTCTCATCAAACTGCATTTCTAGCTATTTCTGGTGCTCGTTAGGTTTTAATGCCTAAAACCGACCTGATGAAGCGTCCCAGCTAAGTATTAGGTAAAAGTAGAAGTTCGTGAATTCGTTCTTTGTTCTGCTGACATAGTATTAAAACAAAATTCGTCATCTCATGATTTTCCACTACATGTTTCGCATGCATCTATGGATCAGCAAAATATCGAATGCCATCAATCAAAAATACGGAGGGACTTGGAACTGGTCGGGTACCTAGATAGTTAGGCTACTATGTAAAAGTGACTAAATATTCGTCTAAAGTGACTTAATGTGGTCGAAGTGGTACGGTTGGTGAGTGATATCTTTTTCAGCGGGGTATCATTCTCGTCTCATCCTGCCATTGGTGAGTTTGCAGGGGGGCTGAGCATTTGGCCCTAAACAAGAAAGAAGCCAGGTGAGCTGACGTCGACTTGGAAGGCTCCCCCCTCCCCCCGCCGCGTCTCAATGCTGTGTTGGCAGGGCTTGTGTAGCCCCGGGATACTGCGCCACGCTTGCCTTTCAGTCCTACCAGTAACTTGATCATCCTCCTATTGACACCAGACTGCGTAATAAATACAACCGTCTTACGCCCTCTGACCTACCACCTTATTTTTAAGTCCCATCGCTCTTGTACTACAAAAGCACCACAACTTTATTTATTTACCGTCGTCGTTGTTAGGTTGGACCTTATCTCGCACTACCTACACATATCATCGTTTATTTGAATAACGGTCACACTCGTTAACTAACGATCGAATACAACAACGTACATACTCATCTCGTCGCGCACAGACTAATTTAGCCATGGGTGTCGGAAGATATGTTTGTGTGGCTCTGCCATTCATATTAACAGTCGGCAGCATCATTTGTATGCTGATCGCCGGTCTCACCGGTGTTACCAGCAACAGCCTTTACATCTTCCAAGTCGACATGAGAAATGCCAGCGTCGACGCTTCGACCCTCTCGAGTCTAATTAGCAACATCAGCAGTCTCGAGAACGTTGCAAATGAAATCAGCTCTCGTTCCCCCGCCCCCGCCCCGGAGCCGTTGGATATCTCTAGCATCATTAGCAGTCTCACTGGAAGTGGTGGCAGTGACAACATCACGGCGGCCGAGCTTGGAATCGATAAGCTCTACGATGTTACCCTTTGGAACTACTGCAGCATCTCGGCTAACGGAACCGACAAGAACTGCACTAAGGCCAAATTCAACTGGGCCGAGACCGAGTTCAACACTACCTTCATCAATGACTTCGGCAGCGACGTTGGTGCTAACATCACCATCCCGCAAGAGATTACGGATGCCTTGAACACTTTCAAGCCTCTTATGAAATGGACCGAGGTTGTTTACATCATCGCTATGGTTGCTCTTGGCCTTGAGCTCGTCGTCGGTCTATTTACCGCTTGCTCCCGTCTTGTCTCATGCTTGACTTGGCTCATTTCCGGTATCGCTACTCTCGCCGTCATCGCCGCCTCCGCTATGATGACCGCCATAGCCGTCGTTGTCGTCGGTGCAGTGAAGGGTGCCATCGGCAAGTATGGTGGTGATGCTAGCTGGAACCACAGCTTCTTGGCTTGCATCTGGATCGGTGTCGCATTCGCTCTTGGCGCTAGCTTATTCTGGCTCTTCTCCGTCTGCTGCTGCGCACCCGAGCGCCGCCCCTACGCCGGCCGCTCGCGTGGCGGTCCTGAGGGCGAGAAGTTCATCCCCACTGGTTCATACGTCCCGCTCGGTGAGCAACGCAACTCTGGCTACAACTACGGCGCCCCACAGCGCGGTGGTGCTCGCTCGGACCTTGCATATGAGCCTTATTCTCATGCTCGTTAAACGTGGAGGACGTTTTGGGAATGGCGGGGAAACTCAGTGCGCGATTGGGCCGTTTGGCCTAAGGGTTAGACCATTTGCATTATGCCGGCGTTAAGGCTTGGGAATGACAAGACTGGATGAAAACGCGATGTTTTCGCGACGGTATTAGGCAGAGAAGTTAGACGGAAGGATATTTCTGTGATGAACGGGATACCCGGGATTATTATGATAGTGTTCAATTTCGCATATAATGAAATGGCATATGATGAATTAACAATTCATGAAGAAATTGTCCCTCCAGCAACTGATGTGACGATGCTGGGAAGCCTCAATATTCGAGTGCTGTAACAGATGACCCAAAGTGTAAGAATCCAGCCAATCACGTGGCTAGTTAAAAGCTAAAGTGATAGAATTTTCCCCAGAAGTCTTGTAACTTGGGCAGGTGCGTAACGGTTAGTTTGTCAGCCTTATAAACGAAAAATCAAAGTTTAAGAAATTCAACCTTAGACAATTCATCGCGCAGACAGCACATGGCAGTAGAGCCGACCTGTTAACCTCGATGTCTCGTGAGGTGAGCACAGCGTATCCTGTTCAACCGATAAAATTCTATGGCACCCCGCCCAATGATCAACTTATTTATACCCCACGTCTCAACACTGACTCTTTGAACAGCTGGCTGCTCTAGGCCGCCTCCACAGAGAACATGTGCTGAATCCAATTACGGCGTTGGCATTTTACACGTCGACTGATGGGGAGAAATATCTCTTGGCGGGAGAAGACACGGACATTAAGGTCTACCACGTCCAAACCTCTCGCTTTTGTGGGCAGCTGTCCGTATTCAGCGCCCAATCTATCCATGGCATCGCCGTACCACCGGCAGACATATCCGAGCCGTCTAGTTTAATTCTTGTCTGGGGTGGACATTCTGTCAAGATCTTACCTAGAGATGTCTTCGAGGACCTCATCGAGGGCGGGCAGCGTCTGACGAGAGACATTGCCGAGGCAAGAGCACCAGATTGGATTTTCGATGGAAGGGTTTCTCCCTTTGGAGATGACCGTATCCTTCTACTCACTGCTCATAATGAGGTTATCCCGGCTCACGTCGATCCTAGCCGGGGTAAACTCATATTTGACAAGATCCTATCCCCTTCGCGACCGATCCTATATTCCGGTAATTTCTTCTGGGTTTCCAAGGAAAGCGTACTCGTCGCCGCAGGAACGGTTTTCGGGGAGATACTAGTCTGGAAATGTTACCTCGGAGTGTCGGAGCAAAAACAGGATTGTGAGGTCCTTTTCGTATTCACGGGCCATGAAGGTTCCATCTTTGGGGTCCACATTTCACCAGAGATCCGGACTCAAGCGGGAGAAAACCTGAGACTGCTAGCTAGTTGTAGTGATGATCGGACCATTCGAGTATGGGACATCACTGAAAAACACGAGTCCCAAGATCCCAAAGGGAATGGGCATAATACCCATATCTCAGACGCACGAGAGACTGGATTTGGCAACAATGTGGAGGCATCAGCTCACGATAACTCTTCAGCAAGATGCCTAGCTACGGTCATGGGCCATGCGTCGAGGATATGGCAAGTTGGATTTCCACAGAACCAACTTTTATCGCGGACCTCTAACATCGTTGGGCTCTACTCATTTGGCGAGGATGCCACGGCCCAAAAATGGAACCTCTCCCTAGATTTACCACTATCTGAACTTGGCGTTTCTAGTTCCCCTATCAAGCCCGTTGCCAAGTTAACGCACCAGTCAACTTTCTCAAATCATAGTGGGAAGCATATTTGGTCTCATGCTATGACATCGGAAGATGATGATATCCTCATTGCGACTGGCGGCTCTGATGGGAAGATTGCTCTTATAGGGGTTGGATTAAAAGGCGGTTCGTCAAGTTTGACAGATGACAACCCAACAGTAGACAAGAAGAAAGCTATTGCGTGGTCCCTTACAGATGTGCTACAATCATCCCAAACAATCGGCGCAACTATAGACACTAAAACGGGGCCAAATGACATTTCAGATAATACTCCTTCGCCGTCGCGGAGTACCAAACCTAAAAACGCAAAGGAAGCTTTCAATCGATATACATTCATCTCCGATAAAAGGCTGCTTGCCGCAACTAATTCAGGTCGGATTTTTGTCGGTAGTTTTGGGAATGACCTAACATGGATAGAACTGGCTCTCCCTGGTGAAATTGGGCAGGTACTCTTCTCCCACGCTTTACATGGTACATCACCGGCATATCCGTTGGCTTTTATTGGTACAAGCAATGGCTACATATATTACTATAGTGAATCCGGGAACCGATCTCTTCAGTCACTGGCCAAAGTAGATGGAAAGGTAGCTGACATCTTTTGGCTATCCGATGCCAGCACATCTAATAAAAGCGAATTCCAAATTTTCGTTGCTATCCTACGCAGTACTAACGCAGTAATCATTCACGTTAACGCCGATACTCTGACCACAAGACAAATTAGCGTCATTTTAGAGCCAGGTTTCATGGTCACCGCCGCTGTCTTCATCCAGGGATATCTCGTTCTCGGGTCGAGAAAGGGTATTATTGCTGTCTTTAGCCAAGGCGAAGACGGTAACTATTCCGTTATACTTACGGTCGAGGTACATCGAGACGAGGCAATCACATCGCTGCTACCTCTTCACAGCCGGGAGGACCGGCCACGCAAATACATATTGAGCACGTGTCGTGACGGCAAGTACAGGATCCACGAAATCTCAACAAAGGCTGACCAATCCGCCGCCGTCCTGATTCATGAGGCCTTACCACCGTTCGTGTCCTCAGTCGAGGGGGCCTGGCTCGCCAATGGCAGTGACGGGACCAGGGACCTGATGCTCTGCGGTTTTCGGAGCAGCAACTTCGTGGTCTGGAACGAGAGCCGGCGTCACGAGGTCGCCACGGTGGATTGCGGGGGTTCTTCTAGAAGCTATGCTTGGGCGCCCATTCGATCCCAGCCCGACGGGTTTCGGTTCGTCTTCACGAAGGCGGGGCAGATGCACGTTTTCTCGCAGACGCATGCCCCCCATAGGACGCTAAAGCCAGGGGGCCACGGCCGAGAGGTCAAGGCGGTGAGCGCTTCGCCTGGGCGCTACGTCGCTACCGCGGCCGAGGATACCGTCGTACGGATTTGGGAATACGGTAACGGCGAAGGTGAGGGCGAAGGTGAGCATTCCGGGCTTAGGTGTGTCGCGGCGCTGGAAAGGCACGCGACGGGTATCCAGGCCTTGAAATGGGTTGGAAACGAATACCTCTTCAGCAGCGGCGGCAATGAGGAGTTCTTCGTCTGGAGGCTGAATACGCTGGAGAGCGACGATTTCGCCGGGCTCGCGGTCGTGTGCGAGGCTGTGTTTCCGGATAGATCGGAGATTGGTGACGCAAGGATTACGGATTTCGACGTTACCTGCGTCGGGGGTGATGGCGGTGGCGCAAAGGAATTTCGTATTTCGATGGCGCTATCGAACTCGACGTTGCAGACCTACACTTATGGTAAGGAAGTAGGATTCCGTCTGTTGAGTAGATGGACGTATACGGGAGCGTGCCTCACGCAAGTCCGACATCTGGGTAGCAGTCATATCTTGACCGCGGCAACGGATGGATATTTAGCTATCTATGCCAATACGAGTCAAGCAACAGATAAAGATGCAGATGGTTCCCCTTTACCCATCGTCGTGAAGCTTCACCAGAACACCATCAAAGCCCTTGACATACGCCAGGTAGCTTCCGACAACGCCGGTACCTCGCTCGAATTCCTTGTTGTCACGGGCGGCGACGATAACGCGCTGGGCGTTGTGCATATTTGCATTTCTCCGAGCTCTCCCCCTTCGCTTCCTGCTTCCCCCCCAGGAGGAGGCGCGGCGGAGGTCACAGTTAAAAGTAAATCCATCATCCGCTCCGCCCACGCCGCCGGTATTACGGGTGCTGCTATCGCGCACCTCGGCGGGGATAGCGCCGTCGTCGTTACGGGAAGCAATGATCAGCGTATTAGAGTCTGGCGGTTGGCCGGCTGGTGTGGGGATGAAAAGGAGAAGGAGAAGGAGAAGGAGAGGATCAGGGCGCAATTACTAGAGGATCGGTATAGTGCCGTGGCTGATGCTGGGGGCTTGGAAGTTTTTGAAAGGGGGAAGAAGGCGATTGTCGTAGGCGTTGGTTTTGAGGTCTGGGACTTGCATGCTTTGAGTGATGGGGTGATATGAAATCGGCTTTCCATCTAGAGAAATGAAGCGAGGTAAAGAAAAGGGGTTCGTTAAGGGGAAAGCTATCGCATATTTGAGCTTATGATATCGGAATCATATAGGTGTTCTAGATATTCTGTCTGCATCATCCCTTTCCTGGAGACATTGCGAAAATGTAATGTTCGCTCTACTTCCTTCCAAATAGCTTGGACGCTTTTACGGAATGCTGTTATTCAGTCTTATTCTCATTCTCTTCTCGCTCTTCGTTCCCCTATATAGCATCTATTGTAGAACACTTCTCATCACAATTTTAATCAAAGCAAGACAATTATTTCTCATGGTCAGATTCTGATTTAGATTACTAACTAGATACACACATACGTACGTGTAATGCGTGAGCGGGCGGGTTCCAAGGGATATATGGGATATATGTGTATATGCAAGTATATGTCAAAACATCACTTCATCATACTGCCGTCTTGTCTTTCGTCTCATCACCAACCCAATGCTGTGGACTCTGCTGCCGTAACTCTGTAACCGACCAACTACCCCGAGCCAAACCGAACTGAAAGAAAAAATCCAAACCCCCCCTATCCGAAAAGAACACCTACGTAACCCCCCGAGGCCGTGTTTTGGGGAACCGGTAAGAGCAGAAGCCGCTGCATTAGTTGTCAAAACAGAGCCAGAAAAAATAAAGATAAAAAACGTGAATCGGTGTAAATAAATCAGCCGCAAGCGCCGTTATGCCGAGTTCTCGTGTAAACAATATGCGTGTGTGTGTGTACGTGATCTCTTCTCAGATTGCTCCAGATCCGCCAATGAACTCCCCTGAATAGTGCGAAAATAAAACAAAATCTATGTATAATCTCTCCCGGGTCCGAACTTGCGTGCTACGTCGCTAGAGACGCAGATGATGACTGAATGATCTTGACGAAAAAAAAATATAAAAAAAATAAGAGAGAATAACTGAAAGGCGAAAACAACACCGAGCCCCCGGACCGTTCTTTTTGATGATCTGCCCTGCTTGCAAAGCTTACCACCTAACACCTGATGGGAGCCAAACGCCTTGCATGATAAAACGTGAAGTGCGAATTGCAAACGGATTATGCTTATAAAAGATGGACATGAAATCTTGGAACTCTGTGTGCTTAGAGTTCTCTTCTCGGAAATGATTTAGGAGGGTGTTTAATTTTGTAAATATTATTGTCTAGCCTGCTGCTGTAGCTTCGGCGTACGGAGTATGAATCGCAACAAGTTGCTCTATCCTTGGGATGAGCTCAGGCATGCGAAACGGTTTAGAGATAACATCGTCCTAAACAACTTGTTAATAATAATTCCTCTAAAATTTTGGACCGTAGTACTTACAACGCCCGCGGCTTTGGCATTCTCGATTTGTTCTGGCCGCGCGTACGCCGTAACGGCGATGATGGGAATGTGGCTGACGATCGTTCCGTTTCGTTCGAGTTCTCGAATTTTGCGAGCGCAAGTCATACCGTCCATCACAGGCATTTCAAGATCCATTAATATGACGGATATGTCATCCCCAGACTCTTCTTTTCCAGTCCAGTAGCGCGACCGCTGTAATACTTCCAAGGCTTCACCTCCATGGTTGGCTACTTTAGTGCTATTCCCAACATTGCGTAGCGACCTCTGGAGCACCTTCTGGTTCACGAGGTTATCTTCGACAATGAGTACATCGAACAACCGTCTACCATCATCCGAATATCGTGCCTTAGAGACAACTTTTTTGTTAGAATTGGTCAGCATATCGTAAGTAGCGAGTTTCGGTTGCCGTGTCTCGATGGTCGTCGAGGATCCGGGAGCGCGTGTAAGCGGAGGTGCAGCTGGTAGTGCGTGAGTTTCGGCCGATGGAGGATCGGTCTTTCTACTTTGGACGTAGAAGGAAAATGTACTGCCGATGCCCTTTTGTGAAGTAACCCCGATCTGTCCTCCTTGCAACTCGGTTAGGATTCGAGAGATGAATAGGCCTAAGCCTGATCCGCCATATTGGACATGAGTTCGAGGAGTAGCTTGAGAAAAGCGTTGGAAGAGAAGTTTCCTCTCATGTTCGTCCAAGCCTCTGCCTGTATCCCGAACAGAGAAATGGAGATTAATCTTTTCTCCATTACCCCATTCAGGATGATCAGTAAGGTCGTCCTTGTCGGCACGATCGCTTGGAAAGTAGTCAATGCCTAAGTCGGACATACTCAAGGCCGCACTGGAAGCGTCGAGTGTTACTACAATTGACCGGTTATGACGAGATTGGGTAAATTTAATAGCATTAGTCATCAGGTTGATCAGGACTTGCAAAAGTCGCGATGGATCAAGCTTAACCCAGTCGACGCCCATATCAAGATAGCGGTTTTTGACTTGGAACTTCATCTCGATACCGTTCGTATTTAACTCGCTCTCGAACATTTTCAGAACGCGCTGCACGACAGCTAATGGCTGGACATCGACGGGTGTCACAAGCAGAAGTTGCGAATCAAGCTTAGAAAGCGTGAGGATGTCGTCGACGATTCGTTTCTGGTGACTTGCACAGAGCGTAATGGTGCTCGCTGCTTCCAAACAACCCTCCATAGCAAGCCTCAGGTTTTCGCCTTGTTCACCGGCCTCTGCAGGTTTGAGATTCGACACGGTCCCGGCAATTTCGTCGGCGCATTGGAGGATCGCACTAAGTGGATTGCGCATCTCGTGGCTCGTGATGTCGATGAAATTCTCTTGCTGCCGCTTGAGCTCGACCGCTTCCTCCCGTCGCTGCATCTGAATCTGCTCGGCTAGCTTCTGTTGCGATATATTTGTGACGCATCCGAAAATTCCCTTGATACCACCGTACGCGTCTTTCTCCGGGTACGCACTCATTAGTACCCAAGTGTCAATAACGCTCTCCCCTTCATGACGTGAGCACTTGAATCTGAACTCATGCGTGATTGCAACCTTGTCCTTAAGTAGACATTGCCATATCGTTTCTAAAGCGGGTCGATCCTCTTCCTTGACACTTTCCATCCAACCATCTACGCCCTGCGACCTGTTGTGTCTTGATATATCCCACCACATATCATTGCAGTAGACAATGTTGCCTAAATGGTTAGCGATAAACATTCCAACGGGCGCAAATTCGGCCATTCTCGTAAATTTGAGTTCGCTTTCTTCAACCTCCTGCGTCCTTAAGTGTAGCTGCTTAGTCAGTTCCTGTCGATCCGCGGCGGCCATTTGAGCTGCCTTCTGACCACGCCGTATCTCTTCTTCGAACAAGACGACGGACGCCAGCGAGGTCGCAAGTTGTCGAGATAGGAGGTTTATGAAGAGTTGATAGTCATCATCATACGGACGTCTAGGGTTGACACCCATTACGATAAAGCCTACTACGCTCTCGCTGCCAGTGGTTGGATGAACAGGGAAGATAACAATTGATTTGCACGCGTCACCTGGGCCTCTCCAAGCCAATCCGTCCATAAGACCTTCAGGAAGTGTCCCATCTCCGGCGGACAAGATTACAGGTTGTCCAGAATTTGACATAGATTCCCGCATATAGGGAGCAAAACCTTCGTTGCTTGTCCTGAGGTTGAGGGATTCAACTAATAAGCGATGGCCCTGAGGTACCCCGAGAGAAGCTTCGAGCATTAGGAGAGGGGGATTTACCCAGCTTCCCGAGTGCATAGAGGATACATCGCTCTCAGACTCCTCGGTTACGGAGTAAACTAGGTTGAAGGGCACGTCATCTTCGTTGTAGTCGAGACCCAGATTGACTTGACTCCAAAAACTCTTAACATCACGGGCCAGAGCAGTCTTTTCTCCCACTTCACGCAGCGTCAGCATTCTCCTCTCGGCTATCTTTCGGCGAGTATTCTCGAAGGCTGGGTTGAATAGACCAACAACGGATCCATCGCCACCAACAAGCGGCACGATCGACCAAGAAAAGAACGTTTCCTCATCAAACCCGTGTCGTCTTATGATGAGGCGGTCGTCATTTTTCATCGTCGCCTGACCAGATTTCCAAGCGCTTTCGAGGATGGGTTGCAACTCAGGCCAAATCTCACCCCAAGCTTCCTTATAGCTTTGGCCCATGAGTCTGGGATGTTTTGCACCCGCCACGGCAACATATGCTTCGTTGTATATGGTAATAAATTCCGGTCCCCAATACAATGCCACAGGATTGGGACTACCCATGACAAGATTTGCCATCTGTCGGAGTTCTGCCGACCAGTCTTCAATGGGCCCAAGCGGTGTCGACGCCCAGTCTATCGAACGGGCGAACTGTATGTGTTCTGGGAGATCTTCAGTAATAGGTATCCGAGTCCAGTCAAAGGACGGTTGTGCTACAGACGGCGGGATAGCAGTAGCCTCCGGCGTCATTTCACCATCATAGTGTAGTGCCGAAGCAGTTCCTTCATCACTATTCGTATCCTGCTGAACTGAATCATCAGTCTCAATAGCATTCCCAAAATAATCCCGCTCTCGATCAGGTAATACTATATCAATAGGTGACTTAATTGGAGCATTTGGTGTCGGGTCACGAGCCCGAGATTCAACACTAGCCTCGCGATCCATTAAAGGATCAGGGGATGTCCGCGCAATCGAGGCAGCGCTGGTATTTGCACTAACAAATCGGTACCGATTCCTAATAGTCGAGCAAGTCCAATTATAACCGCCATAATGGAATGAGGGTAGGAAAACATCGATCCCGTCCGGACTGAGGCCCCCTGTTTTTACCCATGCTTTGAAGGTGAAAAAGTCATCCCGCGCTTCCACGCTGTCCCGAAAATCTCCAGAAAGCAAATGGCGGATAGGATCCGAAACTTGAAGAGCTGGGTTTACGTAGAGAAGATTCAGAGGACCAGGGGTGCTGTTGATCGGAGACAGGCCGTCGACGATAAAAGTTGGCCTATCGTCGCGCTCTAACAATTCGAGAACACCAATGCCTTGCAGCCCTTGCAACCCCGGGATAGAGGCTGCCGACTCGGGACTCCGCGCGCGATTTCCTGCTTCGATAGAAGACCAGCTACCCGGTGTACTAGACGACCTCGCCGGACTCGCAGGGTTTACCGTACCCCGGGCGAGCTTCAAGGTGGTCACCTCCGTTCCATCCCGTGCACTCTTAAACATGGTTGCCGCCTCGGATCCGGAAAAATTTGGGGGTCTAATAATCAGAGGTCTTTGCTTATGCGAAAAGAATAACGGGGACGTAAGACCGTCGGGAGGCTTCGGAGGGAACGCCGGCCTGGCGAAGGGGCTGAGGTCGATCTTACGGGGCGGCGTGAGCCGAGCGCGAGGCCGCTTCAGCGCACGTCGGCAAGGCGGACGCTCGTCAAGCTCGTTATCCGACGACCGCTTCCCTTTACCATGCGTCGACGCGGTGCGGTGCAACGGTTGCACTGCGGCGTTATTGGCCCAATTTGCCCTATTTATCCACGGTCTCGTACTTGACTCGTTCGGCGAGGGCACCTTCGGGTCCCCAACGATCGATTGATGATGAGGAGAGGCGGCGGGGGTTAAACCATACTGTCCAAGTTCAGTCGAATACTCCTCCAGAATACGATTTACAGGACCACCGGCGGTGTCATTAGCGAGCGTATAATGGTGTTGCCGCACCGCTCGTGCGAAAGGCCGCGAGGCACAGGAAGCGGCGAACGACGTTGGATCGGAGCTGGCGGTGTTGTCTTCAAGGGCAGATGTCGGATGGTTGCCCAGAATGGTTGGGTGATTAGGCTTGTCTGGATTACTTTGGAGAGTCATGAAGGAGTATTTCCGTTTGGAGAATGGGGTTTCCGGCGCCAATATCAAAGTTCCTTACTCGAGAATAACCCCGAATTACCTACTAACAACGAATGGGGGGTGGAGTAGCGTTGGGCCGTGGCCATTGATGGCGCTGGCCCGAAGATGAGGACGAGAAGGGTGGCGAGACGAGTACGGGATGTGGATACGAATAATCCAGCAGGAGGACCTCATACAACATCGAGGATCCTCCGAGCCTTTTCTTCTTCTTTTTTTTGCAAGGCCAGGCGCTCCAGACCGAAAGACTAAAGGTCTGAGAAGCTCTAAGGCCAAATACGAACAGTTCCCGATCCGAGCTCCTATTTCCCTCTACCTGACAAAAGCGCTAAAACGTTTCTCCTCCGCAAAGCTAGTTTGCGACCAAGAACGATTAAGAGGTAGAAAAGGGATAGAGACAAGATATACAGAGAGTAAAGACAAGAGGCGAAGAGGCGGTAGATAGAAGAACAGCGCTTCAGCAAGTATAAGCCCAGTCCGCTACAGAAATGTCCTAAAATGCGGTAGGACTAGTGCGTGGTTTGGGTAGTTGGCCGCCTGAGAAAAGAGCCTACGCAATGCAGATGCACCGATACTTGATAGAAGACTAATCTATCGACAGGGTTGGATAGGGAGCTAGGGATGAGTGGGTGGAAAGTCCTGGAGCGTAGTCTGAGTGGGATGATATTATTTGCTTAGGTAAGAGAGAAAGAGGACAATTATTCGTGTTGAGCCGAAGCTAAGGAGTATCGGTACAAGCCCTGAGTAATGAGTAGTATAGTAGCGGGAGTCAGTGAGATGGTGGCCGATGTATGAGCGTGTGAATGTATTAGGAGGGTAGCAGTTCTAAGGGAGGTCCTTTTACTCTGCAAGGCCTTTGCAAGGTTTGAAGTAAAACATTCATTCGCGTGGTAGAAGTACCGTCGAATCCAGATCCGAGAGAAATTGGGGATTGCATGGGTCTAATTGATTTACACGTTCCAGACCTCTCAGTAGACTCCTGCTACTCCAGCAGTTCGGGTATCGATTTGGGGAAAGTATCACTGGCGATCTCCATACAATAACAGGGGGGCTGGAGCTTGTTGATCACTTAAACCTAACTAGGCTATACAACTGAGAATTCCGTGCAGCAGCACTGCCCGTCGACTCGTGGCAGGCAGCCGTAACACATCTGTACCATCTGTACCATCTGTACCGCCGCTGTATTATTTCGTACATCTGTTCAATCTATTTGCTTCAGGACAAGATCATCTAAGAGCAAGGCATACACGAGGCGCATTGTTTAACTATCATACGTTTTTATTGATGGAAACTTTCTTTAAACAGGTTATGTACCTGTATACACCTATACACAACACGGAAAGAGAGGAAGGAATAACGATCGTACTATGTAAAGTTCGACTACGGATAATAAGTTTGTAATACAGACATGGATCCCCTACTATGTATGTACATAATCAGGGGAGGCTAAGGAGAGCTAACTTTTAGTCGGTATAACTTATCCATCTACTAACCTAGCACTATCCCAGTACCGGGGGAGTCACCCTATAATCTCACGCCCACGAGCAATTCGCACTCGACGTAGTATAACGTAACCGAACCGAGGCTAGAACTTCTAGGCGCCTCAACTCTTACATGATGTGTTACACGAGATATTCTACTACTCGGGAGCACAACTTTGGGTAATCAGACTATTAAACAGCTTATATGTAGGTGAGTCCCCAAAGGTAACACAGACACACGTAAGACAGCAGTATAAAAACTGATAAATGAGCATCTGGTATCCATTCAAGGTGAGCAAACCAAATGACAACACATTTCCCCCACATAAATCTTGATACCGAAGAGCTACGTGTACGGGAAGGGCATTATTAGTCAACCTGGTTTACGGGAAAGCGGTTTTAGATTCAAACCCAGGACAACCAGAACTAACACCCAAGTAAGCAGGATTCTCGATTCCCGCAACGGACTAAAGACCACCAAATCGATGCTGGGCCCTCACTAAGTCTCCTCACTAAACTATGCTGGGTTAGAAAACCAGTCGCTATGACAATGCTCTTCATGATAATCCGCGGCTACTACCGGAATTCGTTATTACCATACTATTCCCGGGCTCATGACCTAGCCTTGTTGCTATCTTGGAGCCGGAATTTACTTTCGTGGAAGTTTTGGAAGCTATTTCGAAATTAGCTGGGTAAGGCCCGCCAGGTCCGCTCACCTTATCGCAGATCCAGACCGAAGCTGTAACAAAGCTCGCGGTGCTAGCCTCATGCAGTACAAGGATTAAATCCAAACATGTTCATGTTGCGATTTACATAGTCTATTCTTTTCCATTTTCATAAGTGTCATGTGTCCGGCTTGAGATATCATCATCCCTTTTTGCTTTAGTATATCTGGATTCGTATGCTCTTTCCCTTAGTCCCCTTAAGGTACCTATATATCCCGTGTATCTCTATATGGAGGGGACGTGTATCTAAATACGGAATAACTAAGTACTCCACATGTAACTATCCGTACCTACGTCCACCCACTCTCCTGACTTAAGTGCATATCTAGCCCCATAGGTTTGCTTACATGAACAGCCTTAATAGTAACGTGATTGATTCGAATAACCAATCCTTTTTTTTTTCTCCTCCTTTCCAAACCACACGATCCGACAAAAGAGCGTGTGGATTTTATCAAATCTCAGGTTTCCCACCACGTGCACGTGCCCCAGCCGTTCCCCATGACAGCATGGTTGATCTCTTGTGCTTTTCTAAGATCGACTTGCATCAGCATGCCGGGGGCATTGGAACACTGGAACACTAATATGCTTCTATTGATTCAGATCGTCAATCCTTTTCGATATCTCCACGGGGGCTGCGGGCTCTAATGTGGGAAGCAAAAGATCCTGCTCATACGCACTATGTCCTGATAATTATGAATGGAAACTAATCCAACTCGCCCGTGCGAGTAAATGGTACAACTGATGCATTGGCGGGTCGCCTGGATCTGCGAGTCTAGAACAGTCTGAATCACAGAAAAAGACGCGAGTCCGGCCGACTCGGTTGGTGCGTTTTTGTGTACTCGTTACTCATGTCACGGGCTCGGATTCTCATTCTACACCTCCGAGCTTATGGCTGACCGACAAGAGATCGTCGATCTTTGACTAGGCCGGCTTATTGTCGGGGAGGCTTTTTGTTGGCTTGTCATTAGGAGCCTTCATATAAGATACCAGGCTGGTATATACATCCACCATCCGAGCCATCAAACTCAGCCAGCCATCTCTGTGGGGGTTCTCTTCGGACAATACATAGTAGAGATCTTACCCGAGCAGCCCCGAGGCACGCTGTCCTGGAACAACATTCGTTTTGGATTTTATTTCGGCTTTTTTCCATCTAATACTGCGACTTTTTTCTCATTCCTTTTCTACCGTGAATCGCCTTTATTAGTCTTTATTCAAGCCTAAATTTGACAAATATGACAAGTGTGTAGAAATATACCTGGGGATGCTGGTTCCATTTTCTCAATTCGAAATGTTTGGCCTATTAGCGCACAAGAAGTCATATTCTCTATTCGAAGTTTTCTAGATGCACTAATAAGAATGCGTATTGCGCCTTCAAGTGTAAGAAAATATGGCATACGCGTCCACTACAAAAGCACAAAAAACTGGCATATGCAAGCGGGCTAAGAAACCCCGAAGCTGGCAGCCGGATGGCCTGACTAGAAAAGCAAGGTACCAGTCTTGTCTCGATTCATTTGCGAATTTTATTACGAGACCGCAAAGGCAACTCTGCTAAAAGACGATGTCTTCATGTCCTCTCCTTCTGTTTTCGTTGATGTTTGTTGAGGCTCTGCTGTTTGCCGAGCAGCAGATATCGCCTAAGAATAGCTTCTTTCAACCAGAGAATGAATTTATGTCTCACATCTAGATGCGAGAGCCCGTCGCAATTATTCGTATGAGCCAAGGCGCAGCCGAAGCGTTACTGCAGCATAGTAAGGCTTCCTCATAAATATAGATGGTCGTCCACTGCAGAGTATCATGAACGCACATCATCGGCGTCGTGCTCGATAAAGATAGATGTTTGTGAGTTGGGGGCCGCAACAGAATTGGCAAGACATTCAAGACTTCGACCCCTATCCTGGGTCATGGAGGGGGCGGTAGGCTCATCAAAATGGAACGGGATCTGCCACCAAGATCCGGAAGGGATATCTGGGGGCACACACCAATGGGAATCCCGGTTGTTGTGTGCAGATTCCGACCAGCGTCTCGCGCAGCCATTGGCTCGTCTCGTTCGAGGTTGGTCACCTCGTTGGCCAATCTCGTAGCGGCATACTCTTCTCGCCCAGAGGCGAGCCGGGGCGTAGCGCCCACTGCCGTACCACAAGCCGGCGCTTACAGCTGCTCAGAGCCGCTGTCGCACGCTCTCATTGGCCTTTATTGGCCATACACACCATATCACAATGCACCCTTGTGATTGACCTGCAGCCACCCTCCCGGCACCACCTGGGTCGTTGGCGCCCGTTTCCATTAAAAATGACCGACCGACCGCCAACTCCTCTTGACTTCAATCTCCTTCGCGAGTTTCGATGTAAATGCTTCAAACCCTTCCCAGCCGAGATCTAGGTCCAAATTCGTACGACGAAAATCGCCATCGTAGGCGTTCCGATGTGAAGTACTAGTCGGTTTGCTGGCTCACAGCGACGTGATACCAGCCAGCTCTGAGAAAACCGCGCATTTAGCCGACTTCTGCGAACTAGGCGTCTTGACCGGTCTCCAAGAAGCTAAACGCCCTCAGCTCTGCATTCCAGAGATCCTTCGGTGGCGCGGGCTGTTTCATCATGGCCTATAAGCTTTTGCGACGGAATTGGAGGTCGACGAGGGCCATGTATTTTACGATGATAGCGGAGTTGTTAGGGACCGTAGGCGTGTTGGTCATGTTCGGAATTTCGCAACCGGATCTATACCGAACCAAGTTATGGCGGGCCGGCAGCGAACTTGGATTCAACTCGAGCCCTAACGTTATCCTATGGGCGTACGCCAATTACCAGCCTCAACCGAAGCTACCCTTCGTGTGGTCGCAGACGTACGTGATGACAAGGCTCTGTTCTATCCTTCGGAGCAGGACACTAATAGTGCATGTAGATTGACCAACTTCAATGTCGCCATATCTGTTCTCAGTCTATTCCTCCTTCTTACCAAGCTCATCGCATTTATTATGCATGTCTGGTTCCCGATCATCGCATTGATCATCAACATCTCACTTATAGCATTATACTCGACGAGTTTAGCTGGCCAGGCAGGTCCAGACTACCTCGACCCGGAACATCCAAGCCGTATTGCTTGGTATATCGCTAAACCATGCACCGTAGCTGCAAACCAGAGCGTACAAGGCTCATGCCGCTTGGCTAAAGGCGGTTTTGCCGCAGCATGTATCATGCTGTAAGCTTAATCCAACGCATTTTGTTACTTTCAGAGGTAGTATTTGCTAACTGTTACGACAGTGGTATCTACGCTATCAACTTAGGCCTAAATATCTGGGCTCTATTGCCAAATGAGGACGACAGGAAGGAGGTTGTTGACGACGATGACGAGAGTACGTCTTCGCCAGCCGCTTTGAAAAGGGGAAGCGAATGGGAGATGCACGGTGTTCCTCAGACACCTAGGACGGGAACCGTACCGTACACGCCACGAACTATGGCTTTCAACACGCTCGAGAGGAAATTACCTCTACGAAATCAATACTAATGAGGAATCGTATTCTGTCCCTGGGAATAGGAGTGCTCTAGTGGACGCGGGATAACCCCACCGCGCTTGGAATGAATGGTGGGCTTATCATCTTGCTCTGGAAGCGGATATTATCGGGATGCTATAAGCACGAAGTCCACGAATATTTGGATATAGGAGTTTTCTGAAAAACTCCTCTGAAAGGCGCGCTAATAGGAAGACGTGATTTGGATAGGATACTGCAAAGTAAAGGGGTTAGAAGCACGAAAGCATACATCATTCGAGGCAGATATGATACCATGTGACGGAAGGAGGAACATGCCCCTATTTCAGCACAATGTACACTACAAGATCTTGAGGTCTTTTTCTCGTCGATGTAAAGGGTTTAAATACATATTCTAAATTCAACGATCATCGTCATTTCGCTGCTATTCCCATGCTATTCTAGTGATGGTCCCCAGTTGCAGTGCAGCGCCCTGCAGCTTTGCCTACGGATGTTACATTCCCGATGGGAAGTGATGCTGTCAAGCGAGCATGGGGGAAAATATGCAGGTCGACGTATGGAGCGTCATCGGGACGTACTATGTCATGTTTCTTGATGAGACAACGTTGTATCTGGATCACGGGTATAGCGTCTCCTCGGCCAAATAGGGCTAGGGTTTTGTGTCGGCTACGAGGCTTAAAAGCAGCAGATACTTCAATGTCCATATTGTCGCTAGGTATATGCGATGCTTGCGGTTTATTAGATTGAGTATATATCACTTCATAGATATCCACAAGGGTGACTATCACCAGCTATTTTAGTGTACATACACCGATCTACTTCGACACCGTCCCGAAATCCAAAACCACAACCTCCGAATCCGGGACCCCAACCTCGACCGAACCATTCACCACCTGCGCCGTCTCCCCCGTCGTCACATTCTCCAACCTCACGGGCTTCCCGCGCTCCAGCTCGTAGTTATAGCTCCAGCCATCCCACGTGATCCCCGTTATCGCGTCGCTGCCATTAGCATGCAACCTCCTGATCGTAGCTTCCGCAGCAGAGCCGAGCCCCGTGAACTGGTAAGTCCGGACGGGCCGCGGCTCCTGGTTCAAGCCCGGACCCGTGCCGTTAAGCGTGTAATTGTATTCCCTGAGATTCAGCACCAGCAGCCTTGCCACTGTGCCATTCTCGTACGCCGCGTACGCGACATCAGTCTCCTGATCCACCCCATCACCCCCAAGCTCAATCTGCGCAACCCCCGTTCCCGTCCCCGTCACCTTCCCTACCTCCTCCCCGAACTCCCCGGCCCCCAAACCCGATCCTAAGAACGCAGCCGCAGCCACGTCCCCGTAATACGGCGCCTTGGTCCCGACGGTCGTCTTGTTCGTCCCGACGGGCTGCCACGCGGCGTACCGATAGTCGGTGCCCATATGGAAGTGCACCCTCCCGATGCCGGCGGCCGCGCAGTAGACGGCGAAGTCGACGGCCCACAGGGCGGCGCCGAACGCGTTGGAGAGGCCCGGACGCCCTTCGTTGTACAGCGAGTTGGTCTCGCCGAGGATGTACGGGATGCCTGGGTTGATGGCGGCGTTTTCGGTGATGTGCTGGCCGACGCTGAGGGCGGTGCGGGTGTGGTTTAGGAGTGTGCCTTGTAGCGTGACGCCGAGGCTTGTGGCACCGTCTATGTAGCTGTTTGTAAGTGTTAGTGAGTTGTAGGAGAGGGTGTAGAGATGTAGTTGGCAGGTAGGTAAGTAGGTAAGGGGGTTGGGAGCGTACTTGTGAGAGGAGAAGAGCTTGATGTCCTTATCGACGTCGACACCATCGGCCCAAGTGCGGACCGCGCTTAAGTGGTTGGCAGTCCCGGCAAATGAGGGCGCGAGGAACTCGTACTGGTCCTCGCTGAGCTCGGGACAGCTTTCTTTGAAAACGCTCTTGATAGCTCGCGTTCCGTTCAGCCATTCTGCCACATACTGCGATTCGTTCCAGTTGGACGGCCTAACTGCTCCGGCGAAGAGATCCGGTTCGTTTCCGTATTCCCATAGATACAACTTGTCACCGTTCAAGACTTTGCAGACTACGGCCGCGGTGTCTAGAAGCGTCTCCCATGTCCTGTTGTCATGGTTGCCGCCCATGTTGAAACCGTGAGAGAACTTGACGTCAGGCCAAGTGTTGTAAGACTCGAAGAAGGCAGGCCCGATTTCAATTTTCGTTGGATAGTCGACGGAGCTCGAAAGGTTGTAAGTGCCATTGAGAGCGATTTTCAGCTCAGAGTTCCATATGGCATAGTCCTGAGTATTACCTCCGACTCGTATATACGGCTTAACCCCCGCGAGGGCGCCAAGGTTGTCTAATAAGTTATTCGAGAAGTCATTGGGTTTAGAATTGTTGCCTGAATGATATGTTAAATATGTCTAGTGAGACATCCTTCTTAGGAGTTGAGCTTCCTACCGGCGAAGTCTGGAAATGACGAAAGTTCTATGGAATAGCTTATGAAGCCATTCAGAGGCTGGGTGATGTTTACAGAGCTTGCTATGCTGCCAATAGCAGATACCACAGGCTTCGCCATGACTAAGCTGGTCTGTGCTAGCAATATGCTGAGTCTGTTCATACTGTTGACTTTCGTGGGTATGTCCCGTAACTAGGTTCTCTAGTTGAATATGAAGAGCTGGTTCATGAATAAGATGGTTGTGAGCTTCTAGAGAATCCTATAGAGATATCTTTCCGGTGAGTATTCAAGTAGCCGAATCACCTTGAGGTCGTTCTCATGCCTAGTTCCACGATTGCCAGAAACGGATTTTTCTTTTGTTATTTCTAATAAAATAATGTAGAACTAGAAGTGGGCTTCCTGCATGTACGCTCGAACCTCGACATAGAGGATAGATCGGTGGAATAAAAGAATTTACCCATGGTCGAGGCACAGTACAGCTCTCTCTTGTTTGCTAAGAGACTGGTGGAATATTTTCAGCCCGTCCCATTCGTCATCGGCACATGTTTACTCTGTAAGCTTCTTTATTTGGATACGACAGCTTGAATTGGAGTTCATCTCCAGGATGGCGCCATGTAATAGATGCGGGGAATTTTCTATAGCTGAATACATGGTTGCATCCGAAGTCCTGGGTTACCATGAGTGAACTGGAAACTGTAACTCGCTTTTCCCAGAGACTTTGACTTGATGAGGTCAGCCCATATTGCCCTGATGACATATATTTGGCTACCTTCATAAGTGACGCAAGGAATTATATGAGCTAACCCTTGCGTGTAATCGAAGTGTAATCCGTTAACCAAAAGAGAACAAACTTTAAATAGCGTTAGTTGTAAGTAAAACCGTGGAAACAATTATACCTCATGGTGGTAGAGAATTGTTGCATGCGGCAGTACACGGAGTTATAGCAGGTAGTATCGAAATGCCTGTCGGAGTGGATGGGTTGTAGTCTCATATTGAGTCCCTTTGGATACTAATGTGGCATTTCACCCCAAGTCTGAGATGTTTAATTGCAAGACAAAATCAAGCCTCAAAATATTAGCGACTTGTATGTCCCAACTCCGAAATTCGCAAATAGATGAACTGATCCTATGAAAAGAATTTAAGAGAAAAAGTCTCAGACAGCTAAGACAGCTTAAGGGTATAAAAAGACTCGGGATGGACCTGCTTCTTTAGGAAAGCTATCTCTAGGTACCTGGCCGCTGAAGCTAAGCTTCTTGCCGTTGTGGCTATAGGTACCCCGTAGCTGGCCGTAGATACCCCACAGTGAGCTTGTCTTAAGCCTAGTGCCCCTCCAGAAAGACCGATGTCGTCAGTCTTATCAATCCGACGTCACCTAATCGTATCCCTATCTAAAACTATCCAAATCAATTGTCGTAGATGTCAACGACAAATTGGGTCCTGAGCTTTCTCTGACAAGTTGGCTGGGTTTTCTTGATGCTTCTCCACTGGATTGTATTCTACTAGCTTGAGTTTTAAGCAATTGATACCCTTTTCCCTCCGATCCCTCCGTGTCTTTCAAAATGAGTCTCTTAAGGAACTTACCAAGAAGTGTAACATCTTCGTCGAGGCTTGTCGTAAGATCGCACTTCCAAAGGACGACTCTCCCACTCGTTATGTCGCGGTCAGCATCCAGTAGGGCACCAAAGGTAAGCTGCAATGTGTATACTGTATATACCATACTAACTTTACGCCTATCGCTATAGCTCAACGACCCCTCCCTCTTCAAGACTGATGTCTGCTACGTAAACGGAGAATGGGTGAAAGCCGCGTCGGGTAAGACTTTTAGTGTCTACGACCCTGCCACTGGCGAACTTGTAGGCACTTCCCCCGAGTTCACCGGAAAGGACACCGAAAATGCCATCGCCGCAGCCGCCGCGGCATTTCCCAGCTTCAAGACGAAAACCGGTCGAGAGAGGGCCAAGTTGCTACGCAAATGGTACGATCTTATGGTAGAGAATGCGGAAGACCTCGCCAAACTAATTACGTGGGAGAATGGAAAGCCGCTCGCGGACGCGAAAGGAGAGGTCAACTATGCTGCTAGTTTCTTCGAGTGGTTTAGTGAAGAGGCTCCAAGGATATATGGTGATTCCATCCCAGCTACGGTACCAGCAAATAGAGTTGTAACTATTAAGCAGCCCGTCGGCGTTTGCGGTTTGATTACACCGTGGAATTTCCCAGCTGCGATGGTTACAAGGAAACTTGGCCCCGCGCTGGCAGCTGGCTGCACAATTGTCGTAAAGACACCGGGGGAGACGCCGTTCACGGCTCTGGCCTTAGCCGAGTTGGCACACCGCGCTGGAATTCCCAAGGGTGTTGTCAACTTTGTGACGACCCTAGAAAATACTCCCGAGGTTGGAAAGACGCTGGCGACTCACCCTACTGTACGAAAGATTTCGTTTACTGGATCAACAGGTGTGGGCAGGCTTCTCATGAACCAAGCATCCCCAACCCTGAAGATCTTGTCTATGGAACTCGGTGGTAATGCGCCATTCATTGTATTTGATGATGCCGATGTCGATGCGGCAGTTGCAGGGGCCATCGCCTCTAAATTCCGTTCGTCTGGACAGACCTGCGTGTGCGCAAACAGGATATATGTGCAAAAGGGTATCTACGACGAGTTTGCCAAGAAATTCGCCGAGAAGGTGAAGAGCTTCAAGGTTGGTAACGGATTTGAAGAGGGCATCACCCACGGACCTCTAATCCACGACCGGGCCGTCTCAAAAGTGGAAGCTCACATCAAGGATGCCGTTTCGAAGGGAGGTAAGGTTGTGATTGGTGGACAAAAGTTGCCAGACCTAGGTGCCAACTTCCATCAACCTACCGTCATAACGGGCATGACGAAAGACATGGCTATTGCGGGCGAGGAGACCTTTGGCCCTGTTGCCGCTCTATTCCCGTTCGCATCAGAAAAGGAAGTTGTGGACCTAGCAAACGCCGCCGAGGTCGGTCTAGCAGGATATTTCTTCTCAAGAGACCTGGAACGTATTACAAGGGTAGCCGAGGCTCTAGAAGTAGGAATGGTGGGTGTTAACACCGGTTTGATTTCCGACACTGCTTCGCCATTTGGTGGTGTTAAGCAATCTGGATTCGGAAGAGAAGGATCTAAATATGGCATTGACGAATACTTGAACATCAAGACGATAACATGGGGAGGTATGGACAAGCCGTTGCAAAGTTAAATGGCTTCCTACGATGTCATCTGTAAATAAGGCGTTAATGAATAGAGAAAGGGAATTGGACTACTTTCTATAATTAAATTAATTTACATATGATGCTCGGCTCTTACTGTGCTTACCTTGTCAAATAGGAGAAAGTATATTACATAATATCGCTTAATGCCACATTACCCATCCCCACACTCGCTTAAACGCATACGTAAAACTCACCACTCCGCCAAAGCTTCGGAGAATATCGATTCGCTATCAAAATCTCGAAAATTTCCAGAGCCTCAATCAAACTCCCAACGAATCTGAGCCCACGATGATCCGGCACCCGCTTCAATCGGTTGCCGGCCGCGCGAGGCCAGACCTGAATCGGGTCGCAGACGGCATCGCGGCCTCGCTGCGGCAATTCTCCATCTCTGCGCGGCGGTGCGCGGCAGATCAGAACGGAAACGACGGCATCAACGACGATCCCCGCCAGCTCACCGGCCGCCAGCGCGCCGCCGCCGCGGTCCAAGAGCTCATCGCGACGGCCGAGGCCGCCGTGGACGAAACCCGGAACCGCGGACCGCGGCAGTTCAGCAGCGCCCCCAATCACCTCCAATCCGACAAACCGCCGGCTTTTTCGAGAGCCCAGGGACAGACACAAGGGCAAGCGCAAGCACAAGCACAAGGACCGGCTATTATTACCACGCCGCAAGGCTTCAAGGGCGTCCAGCGCGTCGTCTTTGGCGGCAATGGCGGCGACGTGCCCGTGAGGTCTTCTAACGGCCCGAATATCATCCGAGGCGGGTTCCGCGGCCGCGGAGGCGGCTCATTTGCTCGCGGAGGAGCGCAAGGCGGCGGCGGCGGCGGCTTCGGCGGCAATACGACAGGCAGAGACGACCGGCCCAGTCGCCGCGGGCGCAGACGGCGGCGAGGCGACGACAGAGAGGGCAGGAGCGGACGCAGAAGGGATGGCAAGGAGGAGGAGCAAGAGGAGGAGGAGACGGGCCTAGATTCGTTCCCGAAGATAAAGGCGTACCTAGAGATGCGGGAGACGGGCGAGACGATGACGTACAACCCGTCGCTCTCGCTCGAGTCGCTCGCGGGCTGGGGCCCCGGGCTCGCGACGTCGGCGACGCCGTTCGCGCACAGCGAGGCCGTGATCCGGCAGTGCAGGGTCCTCGGCGGCGGCTACGCCTACGACCCCGCGCACCTCGTCGACCCGAACGTGCTGCGCAAGGCGTACGCCGAGGGCCCCGGCGTCTTCATCGCGCCGTCGGAGGAGGCGCGGCAGTGGATGGGCTCGGTCTTCACGTACAAGTACTACTGGCGAGGCGAGAAGGTCCGGATAGCGAGGTTCCTCAAGAGGGCCCCCGAGGTCGGGACGGCGGTGCTCGAGGACGTGCTGCTGGGCAAGTACGAGGGGCCCAAGTACGTCGATGCTACGAATACGCTTGGTGTTTTGACGAGCTACGTCAAGAGGGATAGTACGTGGAACGTGGCTGCTGAGAGGTCTCTCGAAGCGAAGGTTGCCGGTTTGATTGCTCCGCCTGCTAAGCAGGGTGGTGCGAAGGAGGCTAGGGCTTGATGGCTTGGAGGTTAGACATGTCTACACTTCTAAAAACTCTGCTCTGCGAGGATGGAAATACGTGGAGTTCGAAAAGCCGGCTCTAGATTATAGCTCTAGCTACGTCTCCTCTCCGTATCATCACGAGAGGGGATGTCTGTAAAAACACACGGTCTAGTGTACATCTAAATTATACACAGATATACGAACCTTCATCGATTCCATGGTATCGAACCCCCTTTTGATTGATTGATTGATTGATTGATTGCCCCTAATGCCTAATGCCGATACCTTTTTACGGACACCAGCTTCCCAGAATACGTAGCAAATCTTGTAGACCCCTAGCTATTTTCACTTCACTTGGATGATGACTCGACAGACTTAAGCGTCTCCTTCTCAACGCCGTCGATCTTCGTCATCTGGGCCTTAATCACCTTATCGAGCTCCTTATCAGCCGACCTCTTGAGATCGGGCCCTATGACCTTGTCGCGGAGCCAGGACGTGTGCTGCTTGTCGCGCTTGTGGCGTATGCTGCGCAGGCGGTCGCGCCACTCGGTGAACATGGCCTTGACGCGGCGGAGCACCTCGTCCTTGGTCTCGGGCTCGATCTTGAGCAGCAGCTCGAGCTCGTTGTCGGGCACGCGCTGCGGCTGCTGGTTGAAGTCCTCGCTGGCCTGCACCGCGCTCATGATCGGCTTCACGTACGCCTCCTCGTGCGCCAGGATCGAGATCGTCCGCCCCCCGCGCGGCACGATCTGCGCTACCTCCTTCAGCGGGTACGTCGTGCTGTCCTTGCGGTCCGGCTGCACCCGCAGCGCGCCCACGACGTCCGGGTTGAAGCGCCCTCCCGACCGCAGCTTCTTCAGCACGCCTTCGAAGTGCTCGTTCGTTCCCTTGATCCGCGACTCTACGTCCGCGAAGTCGAGCGGCTCCTCGGGGTTCGCGGACGGGTGTCGGCCCGGGGTGTCTGCTGCGCCGGCGCCGGCGGACGAGGAGCCGTTGGAGTCCTTGCCGTTGTCGCGGACTTTCTTACACCGTTGCGCCGTGGTGTGGAAGGCGCGCGGGCTGAGGAATGCCGGGGACGGGCTCGGTGCGGCGAATTGGTTCAGGCATTGCTGCGGCGGAAAAAAATTCTGGCCGGCCGCTGTGAAGCGCGGTCGAAGAATTACATCCTGACTGTTTTTGGCGAGCGTTAGTCGACGGTATTCTCTACTCTCTGGTCAATTGGGTCAATTGGGAAGACGGACACTCTCGTGAGCTCGGGACGAGCGATTCTTTGCCGTAGAAGTGATCTAGCAGCCGTATTTCGCATGTTTCTTTTTTATTTTTATATTTTTTTATGATAGATTCATGCCGCAACAATTTGTGAGCTAATTTTTTAGGTTAGCCTCAATCGCCAATTCAGTTTACAGGTTCTACTACGTAGTACGGTGTTTCCCCGCCCCTGGACCAGGGTAAATTCCAATCGCACGCCTGCAGTTTCCAATCTCGGGACTTATCGATAATCAAGTTCCTTCCGCTTGGGAAGCACCTTCCCAAGCTTCCCTGCTGCAATATGTATTCAGTCCAGTGCGCCGGCATCACGAAGGGAAAGAATGAGTTGATGACCGGGCGAAGGAAGGTAGTTCATTTTGACTGGGCCTCGAATTGTTCCCATAGAAGATATCCTATTTGAGTGAAGTTGATATATCGTATGGGGAATTCTTAGACACGTTAAAGTTGATTTTCGTTTCTTTTTCATTTTAATACGCCGTACTAGGCCCTAACAATACCTGGTCACATACATTGTCCATTTTCTTCATGGCTTTACGATAACTACCTAGATATGTTAGCGCATCGAAGCTGAGATCCCCAAAACAAAGGATAGAAGTCATCCAGACCTTGAGACATCCAGGGTGTTTGTGTCGAATAGCTAGCGCAGACTCTAGCGCAAGCAGGCCTTAGACTTGGCGCCGCCTTTTCGGCATAGGTCCTGATTAGCTACAGCAAACTATCAGACTGTGCTGCCAAAAGTTTGGTACATAAGCGCATGCTTTTACGAAATTTTCAACCCGGTCCCCCACCTTGGGGGATTATGTCAGAGGGTCCAGTCAGCAATAGACTGGATCCTTTAGGGGTCGACTGGTGTAGTGGTTATCACGTCTGTCTTACATTCACACCTTGACGGTGTATTGTGAGGACACAGAAGGTCGCAGGTTCGATCCCTGCGTCGATCAACACTAGGAAAGAATTACGTGGTTCTTTCCGTTTCTTTTTTGTTGATTTTTTTTTTTTATATCGGGGCAATAATATGGATGGAATAAACAGGATAAATACGTAGGTAATATGAATAGCGATTTACGCGAATAGGTAGCGATCTAGAATAATCTAGGATAGTCGACTATCCGAGGCAATCCGATTCTTTTTAATATTAGATGAATACGGTAATGATTATGCTTCAATTTGTTGCGTAAACGTAGATCACAAGGTGTAGCTAGCTTTAAAATCTGGTGCTTAAAAATTTGATAAGACGTGATCGGTGTATATTTTATGGAGGTAGTGGACTAGAAATTATAGGATGCATCTTCCTCATGGCAATGCTCGAGGCATTGATCATAACGAAAATAAGTTTGTGAAAGCAAAAATTGCGCTCCCTACGATCCACGAGGGATAATAGAAGAGGGTCGACTCCGCGATGTGCAATGCAGGTCTCCCCCCTTGCGAACCCCGATGCTTGAGCCGGGGTGCGCGGAACAAGGTAAGTATGAAGAAGAAAGGAAAAAAAGGTGAAAATGGTGGGAGGGAGGCCGGGTATATGCCCGACTTTTAGGAGGGTTATTGTCACAGGTTGAGAAAAAAAAAAAAAAAAAAAAAGATTTTACCGGATTGGGACTAGTAAGATTACTGAGGTTGGAAAGAAAAGAAAAAGAGTGGGCCCGTGGCTAGGTCTGTGGCTAGGTGTGGCTGGACGTGGAGGGGTAGGGTGGAGGAAGAGTGGGACCTGTAATAGGCAAGTCAAAAGGGGAAACGTGTGATGAGTCAGCAAGGCGTGAGCCAATCAGTGAAGATATAGTGGGTCCAGCCCGATTCGGGTGCGGATTACGTAAGTGCTGATTAGTCAGTTCAAATGAGGGTTCAACTTTAGTCCTAATTGACTGATTATAT